GAGTGAAGCGAATGTGATTCGAACTTCGATTTCGATTTGGGAATAAATTGAATGTTAACGTGTCATAGACATTATTTTGAACAAAGCGAACTCAAGATTGGTGATGCCAATTAGAAAAAAAGAAATAAACAAAGTCTATAAAAGCAATAAAGTAAAATAAATTATTGTATTCTTTTTCCGATATTTATTCATTCTATAATTTTATTCACTCGTACATGCAGCACCATTGATATGCTGCATTTGAGTGTCCGCATATCTGTGTAAATTAAAGTGATACATTGACACAACCGAAGCTCAATGGTGTTTAAACAAAGAAATTAGAAAATTTCGACATGAATAGAGAGACTTTCAATTGAATATCAATGTAACAATATCTCTTCGACACATAGAAACAATTCCCTTAACACTTTTCAATTTTTCATTCTATGTACCGCATCGTTTTCTGTTGCCGAGCACATCGTCATTTTATCGGTCTGCGGATGAAAGAGTTCATCGTCGATGTCAACAAACATTAAAAATAATCGCGGTCCTCATTATTCGTGCTCTTGTTATCAAAAACATTGTTTATATTGATGAATTTTTCTGTAGAAATAGACGAAACCAATTACTCACAGTTAATACAAAGTCAAACGAAAAAAAAAGAACTAAATAAAACATACACAATCATGACATTACATAAGCTTATATATGATTGGATCGGTCTTGGTTGTCGTTTTCAAATGCGATTTATTCTCGATATTCGTCAATTGGAATAACGATGGATGCATGATTGTGTTGTCATTGAAACTTGAACACACAAATGCATTTTTTTATTATTATTATTGTCATCAACGCGTGTAGAGCGACGAACTGACACACTGCCGATAAGATAAACATGCAACAAAATCACGTTTCGCTTGAAATTGTAAATCATTTTGGTGTGATAGCCGCCACACACACACACCACACATATATCGGTCTCGTTCAACGTTTTTACACCATATGTGTATAGCAAGGCGCACGTTAAATAAATCAGAATTTCTATTGATTTTGTATCGATGATTTGTTGTGAATCGACATTGGTAATAAAAATGTGTAATGAAAAATGGGCATTTTCATTCAATCAATCAGGCAGACAAGAGGGACTTTTTTCACCGTCCCCGAGCCAAACAACAACAATCGATAAACATGTTAATTAAAACATATTATTTGTTATTTAGACTGTAATATATATTCTTTGCAATCAAATGCAGTGACACGTTGTCAACGTGATTGTTACATTTAATTTCATTTTAGCCATTTGTTTGTTTTGATTCGATTGAATTCGATCTATGGTGCGTGGGACGATTTTTCACATTCGAAGTGAATGGAAAAAAGGAAAACATAAATTTGTGTATTCTCTCTCTCTCTCTCTCTCTCTCTCTCTCTCTCTCTCTCTCTCTCTCTTGGACGCTGTCGCACTTGATTTCAATAGACATTCACTTTATGTGCAAAATAAATTGCGTGTAATTTGTTTGATTTGGCATGGTAAAGAGAACAAAACTGAAAAGTCCTCTTTTATTTTCGTCGATTTGTATCGTATTCTTTGTTCTATGGATTCTTTCATAATATATTTTCTTCGACTTCGTCATTCATCAATTCAACTGAAGTTTTTCAATAAAACTAAAAAAAGAGACGAACAAAATCAATGTGTATACACAATTTTCGATAATAAATATGGCCACATAAAGGTTTCATTCTTCATGTATACTTGAATGGCCGATGCGAAACAAAGCAACAAATTTGATGTCAAATAGAAACTTGTATCGTACACTTGGCAGGCATCGGCATCATGTAATGCAATTATGAGAAATTCTTCTTCTTTTTTTTTGTTCAGCATTTTTGCAAAGATCCGTGTGAGTTTTTGTGAGGAAAAAGGAAATCTTCCTGGAAACAGTCCTTGTTTACATTTGCCGATTTCATTTCATTCTTTCTTCTTTCTCTTTTGGTTTTGGCAAAACAAAAAAAAAGAAAGGAAGCGAAAATTCCATGAAAGTTAATGCATATTTACTTGTGTACTTAAACAGCTAGATTCCCCATATGTGTTGTTGACTGCGTGTGTGTGTGTGTGCGTGAATGGATTGCTCCTGCTGTGACAAGGCTGAAATGACAATGTATGTGCTCTGTGTGTGATAGCTGTATTTTTTTTATTAATGTGTGATTTACGATATCTGGTTCGTACTAATCGATGCGACATTCCGGCATCGCACGGAAACAAAGTATGTTTAATCGGTTTTCAGCATCGTTTCATTTTTTGTTCATGGTACAAAATCTCCGGTTTCCAAAACATAAATGAGAAACGAAAACAAAAAGATCCCAACATTAACATTCAATATTAAAAATTAATGAATTTTTTCTCGTTCTCATTAATTGCTGGCACATGGAGTTCGTTCTTTGACATTTGCCTGTGACAATTTCTACTATGAAAATAGTTAAAATCAGATTAGCATATAGATGCTATCGAGTGATGAGAGTTTCCAAAATAAGAAATCATACGTATTGTATTCGACGTAGAAATATTTCTGTGGCAACTCATACACATGATTCACGGTGATGTTGACAACGGTCTACTTGCTGAATACGCGTAGTGTAATACTCGGACTAAGGGGCTCGCAAGTAACATAAACAACAACAAAAAAAGAAAATACATAACTAGAAACATTCCTCAATACAATGTCGTTTTTATTATCGTCTTTAACACATCGATTTATAAACTATATGATCGTAGTGTATGCGTGCGCTTTTTCTAACTCTTTCTCATTTTGTGCTTGTTCACGAGTCGAGGACTTTAAACTTTTGAATATCTCGCGCTCTGTGTGTGTGTGTATAAATTGTATGACCGCATATCTGGTATATCAACCTTAGAATATTTTGTCATTATAGTTCTAAACAAATCACAATTACTCTTTCTATCTCTCTTCATCTTTCTCTTCATCTGTCTCTCTTCCGCGCTCGCGCACATCCCGATTGATCTTAGAGCACATATGCTCGCTTCGATTTGGACGTTCTAACGCACGAGCGTCTTATTTATTCATTATTATTGGTATACCTGTTCGGTTGTTCTGTGCATCTTTTCTTTTATTTCGTTTCGTTGACGAATATTTAACAAACACGAATATAAAGAATATTTTGACGACGTTTCTTTGTCTTGGTCGGTGCGTTCTTTCTCTATTCCGCTGGTGATGTTCGTAATAATCGACACAATCGATGGTGAGTGTGTGTGTTTGCATAAAAATAAAAGTCAACAATAGAACAAAGAATAACGAAGAAGAACGAGAAATGTTTCGTTTTAGATAATAGGATTTGCTTATGATGTTGAAATAGAGAAGAGACCGCTGCTTCAAACTGGAGCCGAAGTGTCAACGATGTTGTTGATTTCGTCTTCGGTTGGTTTTTTTTAATTCATTCAAGGCGATTAGAATAAACAGAACATTGACCAACCTGGGGCATCGTTCATGTGATTCAAATTAATATTTTTCGGCGTAGTTTTCGTGTGTTCCATTCACTCATTTGCGATAAATCGCATGCTCTTCTTCTATTTTGGGGATATTTTCGACTCTAGCAACAATTTTAAAGATGAGAAATTATCGCTAACACAACTATCGCATTTTTTTCCACGATTTTTTTTTATGTTGTCATTGACGAAGAGTTGAATATTTCATTTGGCAACGTATGCGCATTGCAATGGTGAATAGACAATGTTCCAGTTGGATCGTTTTGTAGGAAAGAGTTGAAACGCTAGAGTATGAATACCGCGGCACGGAGATAAAAATGAAGATAAATTATCATACGCATGCAATTATCACATTGATGACGAATAATGTAATTTTGTTAAGCGATTTCATCCATTTATTTTACGTCAAAACCACCAACAACAACAAAAAATCGATTTTCAATGGCATCGACGCAAATCGAAGGCACGGATCTCAGAGGGAAAAAAACCAGATTGCAAAAAATATATTCGCTATTCAACATAGGCACTTTAATATTGATCGTTTTTTTTATTAGCATGGACTTTATTAACCACACACAAAAATGCGGAATTTCGATAAAAAAAACTGTTGTGATCACGATTTTTTTATTTTTTTTGCCAATTAATCGATCTTTTCCCATCGAAATGATTTTTTTTATTTATGTTAATTTTATCGCTTTTTTATGTGTTATTTATTCCGGTGTGAGAATAATAATGAAATTTGAATATTTTCTATTGAAAATGATTCGAATTCTTCTTATATTTATTTCGCTTTTGTTTCGCTATGATGTCGACTTCTGTTTTAACAGTCTTTTGAAAGCTTAAATGATTTTCAATTAGAAAAACGAAAAATATTAACGATTTTTCTTCCGAAATTTTGTTTGGTGTAAAATGACATGCCGTATGCGTACAATAGTTAAATAAAAGTTTGAAAAGATAGCAATTAAATTCAATTTGAGGAAAGAAAGAAAAATCAAAATCCACATGCTATGTAATTAATCAATTTGATGAATGAAGCACTTTTTTTTGTGTAAACAAAAAAATGCGACAAAAAAAAGATGGAGAATCGAATGACAATAATTCATGGTGTGTCAAGCATTTGAGTGTATATTATGTAAACCATTTTTATTCAATACATTAATGAATTGTAAGAAATCAAATACAAAGTGCTTTACGCATGAATGAAGTAATCCACACTGACATCAAGAATAAAGCGTACGAGAACAACAATGGAATGGGAAAGAAGTCTTTATTTAACTATGCACGCCTACTCGACGCGTCGCTCAGCATCGTTGTCATCGTTGGCCTAGTAAGCGATATGCTCTTTACGTTTTTGTTTTCTACACTTCAGGCATATGTTAATTGTCCAGCCTTGTCGCTTTCCCCATATCACTGACCTAAACTATCTTGAACTTGACCACGCGCATAAATTTCCACACGCACACGCAGAACGACGAAAAAGAAAGAAAGAACAAACAAAAGAAAACACGCACCGTTTTTTTTGGCATAGTTTTTGGTTTAAATTTATTTATTGTTCTTGAATAGAGGCATAACATTTACACTTTTTGAAACGCATCTTCTTTATTCTGTTTCTGATGCTGTTTCACAATGAGATTTAATAATTTTTTTGTTCCTTTGATTAATATCAATGTTTCTTTATATTTCAATCTTACATTGTTCGATTTTTTTTTTGTTTATCGATTTTTCTTGTCTTTTGTCTTCTGATTTTAATTTAAATGATTCATTCAAAATACGTCTAAAGTTTGAATAATGACACATAAAAGTGAGTAAAACAAATGTCCTCAATATCTTCTGTGTGAATTATTATTTTTTTTTTTTTTTGGTTTTCTTTTATAATATAACATTTTTGAACTTCTGTTTGACATCTTTAAATAGAGTTAAACGGAAAGAGAATTAACAGAACCGAAAAACTTGTTCAAATACACACATTCATAAAACATTTGATATGATGATATTTAATGTAAAATTGCTCTGAAAATTAAACGGACTAGAAACATCAATTTTTTTTTCTTTTTATTTATATACGTAAAATACAATTGTAGTTTTAATAGAAATTTTCTTATGCATGCAATAACTTCTGTTTTTGACTTTTACCAAACAACAAAAGCCAACAAAAAATAAAATATACGAAAACCATCTTTCGTGTCACTCGCTTGCTCGCTAACTGTTTGTTTTAAACGTGTACACCTCCTTCGTTTCGAACACCGAAGCCGCCAATTAATATATTGATCTAATTATATCCGCCTGTTGCTGGGTCGAATTGTTCAACAATTTTTCGGTTTTGCCCTTTCGACACAGAAAAAAAACTGTTTAATTCTTGAGAATTGAATGTTTGTATTTCTCATGGTTTCAACAAAAACCAGAAAAAAGTTCAAACGGAACTAACAGCCGAAGAGACATGAAATCATAGTCGAGTGTGGCAACAGGATTAACGGCCTCAATCGAAACCAAAATCGAGTAGATGAACGAGAACATATGTGGCCCGAAAAGTTAAAAAAAACCATTGAATTTTATTCGCTTAATCACCAATATTATTAACCCATTATCAATTTAATCCAATTACGGTCATATTTTCATATGCATGAAAGATTTTTTGGTTTTGTTTTAAAAAAAACTAGTTTTTTCACGATTAACAAACTATTTCTCGTAGCGATCGAGCTTTATAATTATGTGGACACTTTGAGAATATTTGATGGACCCTCTGTCGGCGAGTTTATTCCAATGGAAAATTAATAATATTTCCCAAAAAGGGGACAAACAAAAATCAGTCTAGCGATTCGGTTAAATTAATAATTCGGAACTCAATGGAGGTGAATTGGAAATTTTACACAAAACATGTTATCGCGTGAAAAATCGAGCTTATGTATAACCAAATTTCAAATGAGTGTTCGAAGTAACCACAAAGTAACTGTTCGAACTTAAATTGAGGCAATTGTGGTCATTGCATTTCATTGAAATTGGCATTTAGTGCCGTTTTGAATAAAGTACATATCCATCTTCATGCAACATTGATGCAGTGCTTGTATTTTACACACAAAAGAATGTGAATATTTTAAGGAAATGTAAAAATACACAGTAAAATTTGTCGTCCATTGCTTTTTCAATAATTAATTGGATAAACTTCAGCGTTCGTTCACATCTTTATTTAATTGATAAATCGATTGATAGTTGTCTTTTGTGAATTCAGTGAAAATAACCGAAATCAATATTTCATTTATGATATATATCGTTGTTAAACATTCGATAGACAAATATTTTGATATGATCGACAGTTATAATGTCACTCGTCAGTTGTATTTATTATTCGATTTAATTTTAATTGTGTGTAAGTGTGTCGATTTGAACTTTTCAGCTTTTGAACTGTCTTTTGAACGACGGTGGAAGAAGTCATTTACCATTACATCGATTCTATTTCTATTTTTCACCACATTTTCATTAAATATCAATTCACTGATTGATACATTTTCTATGTATATATATATTACTTTATCGTCTTTTTTGATAAATTCTAATGGTTTGAGTAAAACAGTACATTTTTCTTTAAATATAATATGCGATCTATAAATTCACTGTATAACATCATCATATAAGATAAATATATATGTAGTCTCTGTAGATATAGTTGATGGGTTTTCATTTTATTATTTGATTTTATGATAATTTGGTATGTATAGTTTTCTTAACCGCTCTTAATATATATATATGTATTTTAATTCATCGAAATTATTTGTCAATATAAACATTTAGAGTTAACAATATTGTTTAAGTATTCGCGTTCAAAGATCCTTTAAATAAAGAAAATTGGATAAACGCCATCAATTCGCATATGTATTAGTGAAATCGAAGAAACAAACATTCTTTTCACACTTTTATCGGATGATTATGCATAACTGATGAAAAGTTAAATATCGATTTCTTCAACAAGATCAGAGCTGTGCTACAATTTTGGTGAAGAAAGTGTTATTTATATCAATTGACAGTTTGGCAAAATTAACAGCTGAAAATTGTGTGAAAAAATGTACATTCGTTTTGACGTCACTGATAGTTTTTGAATATATGGAATTTTGAGCAAACAACACACACAAAACCACAACTAATGAATAAAAAAAAATTAAAGTAAAAAATGTTGAAAATATTTTTTTTAAGCTGGAAACTAGAATTTGTGGCTTTAATCGAGGTCTGAATACTCATGGGTGAATATTGGGTCCGATAATACAATATCATAATAGTTTTTGTGATAAATGTCCTCTCCCAAATTCCTATTCGAGATGTTTCATTGAATTACTATAAAGAACCCACTTTTTTTTTCTGTGTAGAATAAATGTTATCTTGTTGCTTTCGTGCAAAAACAAAAACAACTAAAATAGTATCTTTCTAAGCGCCCCCAGTAATTCTTATCAATTATTTATACAACAATTAATACAATGTATAGCAGTACCGAGCGCCGGAAATAATGGAATCAAAACAAATACAGAAATAATGATGGTTATCAGACTAATCAAAATGAATGTGAAGACAATTGTTAATATTACACACTTGGCATTCGTACACCCACTTTCTCTCTCTCGCTCACTCAGAGTGCACAAATTTACTCCAGCATGGAAATATGAATATATTTTTTGCTCAAAATCCAAATGAATACGCTACGATACACGATTTGATCGATTAGCTTAAAATTACACGTTACTATAATTATAACATAATGCAATTAGAATTTTTACAAATAAACTTGGAACATATTTCTGAATCAACACAAAAAAGGGGTATGAATTTGATAATAATCAATTTATTGTCGTCACTAGTTCGTCTCGCTAACTTGCTCTACGCTATATATATATGAATTTTATTGTCAGAGTATTTTTGCGTATCGATTCTATCGACTATGGAACTCTCAGCATGCAAATGTCATGCCCCTTTTTCGTTTACCTTATTTTTTGGTTCACCTATATAGTGAACGGTATTGTATGTGAATTTTACATGAATTATTACGAGTAAATGAGCTAAAAATAATAGATCCATGCATTTTTAGTCTTTTGAGCAAAGTCTACGGTTTACATGACAGTGTGCATGGGGTGAACATATAACAGCATTTCTGCATTTATTTTCATCGTATTTATGTTTTTATTGTCGGTTTTATGTTATGCCATTCGTCCATTCAACGGTGATACGAGCAATGCGACTTTTCATTTCAAACGAAAACACAAAAAAAATATATGTCTTACTATAACGTTCATTGAGTATATTTGTAAATCTATGCGATCATGCTGAGAATGCGTAAACATTTTCACTCTCTCTTGAACTAGATGGTGGGATTTACAATTTTGTGTGCACTTGTGACTTCTTTTATTGTCAGTAATATGTCCAATATGTATGTATATATATTATGATAACCATTCGATGTATAAATTACATCTCGCTGGGGAAAAGAAGCAAAAATATACGTGTGAGTCTAAAAATTTGTCATTCTCAAAAACGAGCAAATTTATTGTCAGGTTTTTTACAACGCTCTCTCTCCATCTGGTTGTTTACTGTATTAATTTCGGATGGAAAATTTCATCATCACGATTCACTTGTTAACTAGAAGAAAAATATATGTATATTATGTGTGTGTGTTTGTGTTTGTGATATTTTCGAATGTTGATTTTTTTCAAGCAAAGCCATAAATATTTACTAATACTCGTAGTATGTTTTTTTTCTTTTAAGTCTTATTTTTCCAACATAATTTTTCCCAATAAGAGTCTTGTATCTTGGTTTTAATGAAATGAATTTCCTTGTCGCTATCATTCAACACACATTAAAATTATTATTATTACTGATAATTGCTTAATCGATAAAACTTTAATAGCAACCATTCGTTCGCCGTATTAATTTTTTCTTCTTTTCGTCTATCTTTTTCCCCCTTGCGCACCTATTCGCCTTTTCTCATTCTAAATCGCATTCCGAAGTTATGGACTAAATACATTACTTGTTATGATCTTACAATTACGAACAAACTAACAATTTAGTGAACTTGATTGGGCGCTTACAACTTACATTCGATTATTCTTCTTCCTGTAATTCTTCTTCAGGTAATGTGTACGTTGGACAACAGAAACCCTCCGAACCATCTGCTTGAATGCAAAACAGTGTACGTTCGATTTCTGTTGGTTCGTGTGGCACTATGCCATGCACTTCACGTAGCTCGTTTGCGGGAAACCAGGCAGGCTCTGTATCTTCTACAATTACAATGCCGAAAAGTCTACGAAAATTTAAATAAATTAATTAATAATTTGCATTTATCACCATCTTCAATCAATTTAAAAGGGAAAAAGAATTGATGTGTACCTGGCTATTGCGACGACAGGAATCCAAATGACTGAAACCAATATCATGAATATTGCTAAAAGAATGCACCAGTGTGGCCATTCTTTCGGTTCGGTTATTCCTTTGACCGGATTCCATGCAGGGTAATTGCTGCCCGATGATGACAGTTCCAGAAATGATGCGGTCAATATTGTGAGCATTGCGGCTGGCGATAGATATTTCCAACAAATCATCCAGTACAGGGCGGGTCGTGAACCAGTCATCATCTCAATGTCGTCTGCAAATCTATTTGGATGAAAGTCGATTGGGGAAAGTTTGAAATCTGTCATTGATTTTAAATCAAATTCGAGCCCATCATTTTTGAGCGAAGGTGTGAGTATTTTAAATTAAAAAGTAAATAAAAAGTCACCTCTTGATTCCATAAACATATGCCACACCGATACATTCAAAGAATGCGATGATTAAAAGGGAGTAACTGCCTGCAAAACTGTCCATCAGTTGAAAAATATAACTGCCCGCACCATGAGCGAAGACAATTGATATGATGAAACACGATAAACATAAACCCTAAAAAGACAAATATTGTCTTCAAATCGTTGAATATTTCGAAATTCTCACGTAAATGTCTGCGGCTAACTTCAATAAAATTATATTTATTTAATGTCAAATAAATCAAAATTCAAATGTATTTCCCTGGCTAAAAGTCAAGTGTATGAGATTAAAGACTAGCATTACCCCAATAATAACATCTTTCGGTAGACCTGGGAATAATTTCATGTCGACAAGTGATGTGCCAAGTCCCTCGAGCATTCCGAATTGTGAGTCAATTCCCAGTGTGAATAACATGAGGAAAAATAATACTGCCCAAAATTGTGCGCCCGGAAATTGATTGATTGCTTCAGTAAAGATTATGAATGCCAGACCGGTGCCCGACGCACTCTGTTGAAAGGACAGACCATAATAATAATAAAAACGTTTAAATTAAGCACAGTTTTTCTCTTTCGAAAACAAATATTTTCATCACACTGTTGCTACGTACATTGTCCAATTCCCGTTGGAGATCGCACACCGGTAGATTAGTGGTGACATTGTTCAAAATGGATGCGTTTCTATCGGCCAAACATTTTTCGTACGTCGACGTTGCTTTGAATCCAATGATGGAAAAGACAACGATACCGGCAAACATTGATGTGGCACAATTCGTCATCGATACGATTATAGCGTCTCGATAGCAATTATTATTTGCTGGATTATACGAACTGAATGCAATCAAACCACCGAATGCGAGACCGAGTGAAAAGAAAATCTGTGTGCCCGCCTCCAGCCACACAACTGGATCCAAAAGTAATTCCCAGCGCGGCGTGAAGAAATGCATAACACCACGATAGGCGCCGTGCAGTGTGATGCCACGAAAGAAGAATATGATGAGCACAACGTATGGGAAAATGGCTGTAATGTAAACAATTTTGCCGGATGATGTGATGCCTTGTACCATACAAATATAAACGAGAAACCATGCGACGAGCAATGCAATCGCCACCGGATAATTGATCGCATCGGGTTCATTTACGCTAGCCGATGATTGCAATGTTGATCGATACCAATAGTATTGTGTGGGTGAAGACGCAACGCATTCCGGTTCAATGTCATATGTAAAATTCTTATATAGACGCGTTGGACAATCGGCCCAGGGTAGCGGTGATTCGAAACTATGTAGAAAATATATCAGGCACCAGGCGATAATTGTGTTGTAATATAACGCTACGATGTAACTAACTACGGCCGACGAAATTCCGATGCCACCCAAGTACGGTGATACCTAAATCAATACGCACACGCGACCGTGACGGAAGTAATACGATTAAAAATGTTAATCGATTCGGAAATCAAGGTTAGAAATTGATTGTAATTAATTACCTCGTGCCATGCCGCAATCGCTCCCTTTCGAAGCCTTTGGCCAAACGCTAGTTCCAAGTAGAAAATTGGCAATCCTTGTATCGCCAACATTGTAAAATATGGCACCAAAAAAGCACCGCCACCATTTTTCTGCAAACCAACACGTAATTTGAATGAGTTATTATCATTTCTTTTTTTTCGTTGAAAAATTGAATTCCAAAAATAAACATTTTTAATTATGTACCTGTGCCAAATATGGAAACCGCCATACATTGCCCAGGCCAACAGCATATCTGTTAAATAATACACGGTTAAGTCGCAATTATAAGACATTGAATTATGGAATCGATCGTTTTTGGACAAAAAACTCATAAAATTTACGCTAATAATAGTTGAATGCGTGTTTCATTACCCAATTGTTGCTAATAGAAACATCAATTTGCTGTCCCAACTTTCGCGTTCATCTTCGGGTTTGTCTTCTTGAACGATTTCGTTCGTTTGACACGGCAATGTTTTCGGTATGTTTGGGAATAGCTCTTGTTCCTTTTCATCTTCGGCATCTTCGGAGAAAAATGCCGGATTTGTAGCACCATAAAGAGATTGACTGTGTTCAGGTCTCACTAATCGTCCACGCATCTCCTGCAAAGGTAAACACATAAAATGCAAACATCAAAATTTAGAGACCCAAAAAAAACGCAGAAAGCTAAAACGCAAAAATGATTCCGATTTCTTCACCCACATAAACAGACAATAAAATTTAAATTTGGACCAATTAAATGTTGAGTGCCACTTTCAGATCGGTTTGAAACGCATTTTTGTGTTTTCAATTTTTGCATTTTAGCTTAACAACGTTTTATCCAAAGCATAAGAAATATGATTGTGCGACACAGTCGGCTGTGCAAAAACTTTATCGCAAAACCGCAAAAATGTCATCGATCATGAATTTATTGATTGATGCCAAACATAAATTATTACAGTATGCGTTGTGTATGAATGCAATGCAGGCACGTTACCTTTAATTCTAGGTTATCTATGCTTCGCTGTTTATACGAGTTCAAATCTCTTGAGCTTTGCCTACGAAATAATTGTGCTGTATTTGCCATGATTTCTTTTATGTTTGGTTATTCGGTTTTTTTGTGTGTTATTTTCTAGTGAACCAGTGCCTTTTTTGTGGTTTTGTTTACGACGAAAATTAAATTGAAAATGTAAATTGAGCGATTCGTGCTGAATTTAGATTTTGGATTATAATTGAATGTGAGTATATAAGTGACGTTGTTGTTGTTGTTGTTGATTTTGATGAATTCCACCGTAAAATACGTTCATTGATATATGCTAAATAGAACATTCCATTCTGTGTTCGGTGCGTATAGTGCAATAATTTTGGTGGTGGTGCTTTGTGCTTGTTTGCTGAACTGATTTGAATTTCTAAAATGTGTGTATGGTCTTTTTTTCAATTCTGCTAACACGGTGACGACCTTTGACCTTCTACAACGACAACAGTTGCCAACCAGCTGATCTGTGCGGATTGTCTTTTTTTTGTTTCGTTCAATTTTTAATTGTGCAAATCTGATTGCTGCATGATACTGAATTTTCAATATTTAGAGACTGTGTGTGTGTGTGCAATTTACGGGAATTGTGTGTTGTGCAATTGAGATTTTGTCACCGACAAGACGGTCAGATCGAATGGAAAAGAAGAAAGAGAGAAAAAAAACAGTGGTTTATTGCAAGACAGTATCACTGTGCATAAATTCGAATCAATCGTGACATGCATTTTAATTAAATCATCTACCATGTTCTGCATTTAGATTTGTCATTAAAAATTTATGGTGATTTTAACACTTAAATAACAAGATTAAACCAAGTTAATAACGAGTTGTATATTTTTGAAGAACTTTTTTTTTTTAATTTAAATTGATTTAATAACAGAAAATGTGTACATTTCCAACGTAAACTATAAATTGATCAAAACATGCCATTAAAAATAATTCATTTGTACTTTTTTTATGTAACAATTTACTCATGCCAAACAATCTGCAATATAAATGCTTAGAATTTCAACACAAAACCATTACATGCAAAATTATGGTCTGTGTGTCAGAAAAGATAAGGGGCCATCAACCACAATAATCCCTTGAGATTATATCTCATAACCTTATTAATGTAATCCGGCAAAAAAATACGGCTTCCAAATTCAATTTGGAATTTGTTGCAAATGCATATATCTACTCTAAAAAAAATATAAATATTATATTTTAACTCACCAATCAAAACTCTGTTTGTCTGTTGATGGATTTGTGGTTTTAAACCGAATGTTTGGAGATGGAATCTGAAAGGAAGGAAGGCCATTCGGTCAAAATGAGTGATTTACATAAAGGGGTTGATGATTTGTGCGTGGGTGCACAGAATGATGAATCAGCACTTGGCGCGAATAACTTTGCTTGGAAACAGTGTAAAACAAAAAGTTCAATTCACAGGTGATTTTCACCCCAAAATGGCAAACACTGTCTAAATACAAATTGATCGCAAAGATACAAAATGTGCATCACGTTACACACTACAATTTCTATATTCTTTTTCCGTTTTCTCGTAACTTTTTTAATCTCGTAACTTTTGTCGCTTGAGAGTATTTGCAAGTAAATACCATTAAATTGATTTTTTTTCTCTTGTCAAGAGAGTTGCCAACAATGGCAGCATCAAGTGTATCCTTGTTTATAATATGAAGTATTTTATTTTCAAAGTATTCATATTTCTTTCACACAATAAAAGAATCTTTTCTTCTGTTTTTACATTCCACTTTACAAAATCACTTCCGTCGTCTCTGAAGAAAATGAAAGTTTTTCGTACATTTTTCTCGCTACATATATAAATGACACTAATTACCATGAAAGAAGATGAACTGTTGAATCATTTTTGCTATTGTCCTGTATGCGCTCGTTCAGCGTTACATCAGAGGATACTGAAAAAGGACATCGCAGTCACAACAGACATTTAAAATGCAACAAAATTAAAAGAAAACTGATTTCGAATGAATATTGTACAGACTCAGAACGAAAAAAGAATATGAGAGGGTTGCTGTTGTTTTTTTTCGCAACCTGAAATCAATATTCACATCGAGCGTAGCAGAGCAATTTGAACAAAAAAAAATTGAAGCAGGAGAATGAATTCATTGATAAGTTGACACTGCGTGCATTTGCGCACAAAATCACATCTTCTTCAACAATGTTGGATGCCAGTTAGTAATGTATTTTTTTTTTTAATTTTATCTTTCATAGTCTCTCCGTGTGTCTGTTTCAATATTGTGTGCATATGACAATTGGTGTAGACCCATTTCTTATTACTGTGGAAATTCACTCTCACTCTTTCGCTTAAGTTAACTATTTCGCTTTTGATATCGAGTAAAGTGGCGTATTATCCATGATATGCTGTGTTTTTTTTCTGTTCGTTCGGATATGAATGAGAAATTTAGGTTAGTCGGGTCATGAGCATTGACACGCAAATCGTCAATATCATATGTGTGCTATTGTCATCCGTGTTTTGACATGAATGCATGAATAAATAGACTAATGATGATTCATTTGTGTACGTTATTTATTTTTGTCGGATTTTATTTGTACAGCTCAAAAAAATAAAAGCAACAAACAAAATTATCACAATATTGCAATCTCTTTGAATTGAAATGCGCAACGTTTCGAATTTCACTTCTGTGCGAGCAAAAATGTTGAAAATAGCAAATATCGGTCGAGATTCATTGATAGACTCGCATTCAATTGAGTTACGGTCTCGAATTGCCTGATTGATTCATCGTTTCTCACTTCGATTTGAGACAGCGACAGATTTAAGGATTGCTGGTAAAGTTTCCATGTGTACAAGATTTGGCATGCCTCCTCCAAGTAATAGGATATTGGTTTTTGCTTGTGATCACCGGCTATTATCGAACCTTCGGTTGTGATTATTTGAAGTGAACATGCGGAGGCCGAAAGGTTTTGAAAATCTACCTTCAATTCAGTGTGAAATTCCTCTACCTCTTTGCTAAAAATTGAGAATTACATTTCGATTACAATTAAACATTTAGAATTACATGGAAAAGCGGGGAAAATCAAATATCTTACATTAATTGATTGGCAGTAATAACTTTTTGATTCATTTGATACAAAATCTCTGCCAAGACTCTGTCTCTTTGGTCCATAGAATAACATCGCAAATTCTCCGGTCTAAAAAAGTATAAATTAAAGAAATTCAGCTCAATTTAATATTTAGGCAAAAAAAAGTCGAAATAAAATATGAAAATTTCTATGAAAACTCACTTGATATTTTCCAATTTCTGTAGTTGTTGTGATTTCATCACCAAATCTCCTGCGATTTGTTTCAGCTCCGTCGAATGTTTCTTCAGATTAATTGCATACTGATTTAATTTGCTCACAAATCCGCTTAATTTCTTATTACAATTTAATTCTAATTTTTTTGTATCACCACCAATTGAAATTTCTGTCATGATTTTCTAAATAAATAAAAACAATTTCGTATTTGTCTCGAATATAATGTCGTGCACATTTGTTTTGTTGACAATATACACATGTAATGAAATGAATGAATTTTTGACATCGAGCAAATGTTCATTTTCGTTCGAAAAAGCTCAAAAGATGTCGCCACCGATCGCTCCAATGCATGTGTTGTGTTGTGACACAAATTGTCAAATGATTCATTTTGATTGTTCATCGTTGGTTGGTAGCGCCGCACATCGGTGAATTGAAAATCAATGGCATCGTAACCATATTCTCTCTTTTCCGTTTGCGCAGTCTGACAGTACGGACACGTGAAATTTTTTAGCTTGCTAAAGACAAATATTTTCTACACAAAATGGATAAACCAGTTGTTTTGGCTCGTGTCATGAAAGTTTTGGGTCGTACAGGATCCCAAGGACAATGTACACAGGTGAAAGTTGAATTCATCGGAGAACAAAATCGTCAAATTATCCGCAACGTTAAGGGTCCAGTACGTGAAGGCGATATCCTCACCTTGTTGGAATCTGAACGTGAAGCCAGACGTCTTCGATAAATTTTCAACACACAATTGTAAGTAAAAGTTCAATTGAATTCGAAATAAGTGTGTTTGGAACAATTTGCTAATGACGGTGCGTGTTTTGGATTTTCAGATTCGTTTCTTAAGACAACAAAAAGCGAAAAATGTTTTTCATCAAGTGAACGGACACATACACAACAACAATTGCACGGTGGCCGCAATTTGTCATCGTTTGCCAGCCCCAGTTCGAGTGCATTTTAATAACACACATGTAATCGGATTCGTGCATTGAATAAAACTTATTCATTTGATGAACAAACATTAAAAATGAAATTTTTGTGATTAATTTTTTCTTCAGTCGTTGTGCATGTATATGCTTTTTTCGAAGAAACATTGGTGCTTATCGTGTTTATAGTCGTGCATAAACCTAACCTCAAACTCGAAAGTAATGTTCGGCGTTTCGTAAAACACCTCAACAATTCAACTCATTGAATTGAATTGAGATTTTCTTCATTTTTTTGTCCTTAAAATGCAACAATGCAGTAGTTTATTACTAAATTTCATTGAAATACGGAAATCAAACGTGACATCATTTGTTTAATTTCCATTGTTTCCAATTTAAATAAAAGTGCTCAATGTTTCTTCGGATTTATACTTTTTTCAGAGTCAACTTGATTTTTAAAGATAAATCTGGTGTTCGTAACATTAAAGTCGAACAATGACAACTCGCTGAAATGTGAAGATTTAGTTAAATTTGAATTGTTACGGTAAATTACTGTAATCGCAGATAACACTTAAACTTGACATTGAAACATCAGAAGAAAATCTTTTTGGTTCAAGGAAAAAGTGCCAACACTTCAAACATCGACCATTTTTTCAAGTTGATGTACACTTTCTACTTCTAATATAGACGCAACGAAAATATAAAACAAAAAAATCAGTAACCCTTGATTACAAGTCACTTTCTGATCTACTTTTATTCGATATCTCTGCCTCGATTGCTTGATTTCCAATATTCCAGGCTTTTTGAAAATAAATATTCTTTTCAAATCCAATTTAGTACTATGTTTTATGCCACTAATTTGGACTCAATTGGTAACATCAATGAACTTGCAGAAAATACCAATAGTTTGTGCCTTTGCACTTTCACCATACTGCCAAATCATTCTGATGATCTTTGTCTACTTAATTAAATTTGAAAAAAATGCGAGTTTTAGTAAATTATTTTCAAAAAATGCTAACGGTAATTTCATAACAATAGTCACTGTCGAACAGCGACATGATTCCTCGCCATGCAAAGTTTATATTGCACACACATTTTTATGAGCACTTCAATTTATGTTTCACTTAATTGAATGAAATGTTAAACATTGACGATGTAAACAATGAAGTTGAGTTTATGGTATTTCGGGATGACAAAAGATGAGTAAATAATTGAATGGAATTGCGGAAGGTAATTCTTTTTAATCGCATCGTAAGCGATGACAGATAAAAATACAGTTGAAGTTAATTGAAATATTTATCATTTGATCAGTAAAAGAATGTAACATACCCCTCTTTGGCGTATTAAATAATATGCAATGTGTATTCGACCTAAAATTCAGCTTCACCATAGTAAAAAAAACGAAATAAAATAAAATAAATAAAATCTATATAAAATAGAGCAGCGAGTTTTTTTTATTGATACCGAATTTATTTATGATTTAATAATTCCAAATTTCGGAACAAAAGAAGCCAAAAAAAATTAGTGCTGTAAAAGGTTCACAGAAGTCAAGAACTGTAATCTATTTTTGTCTAATTGCTCAATTATATTTGAATCGATCGGAATATTTCTATTGATTATTTCAATAGCTGTCAATTCAGCTTCGTTATTACGATTAAGTAATTTAAAGCAATATCAGACATTTATCATGCAACATTGACACCTCGATGTCTTTTACTTTTCACAATCATTTTCTATATCGGAAAGTTGTTTTGCGTGACTGGATTGTCTTGCTTCGACAAAAATAAAATATGAAAACTGTGAATTATTCAAATGAAAACTTGACACGGCACTTCATCGATACTTACGCTTCTATAACAGTGAATTTGATGCAAAGCAGTGAATTCTTGTGCTTCAATGCAAAAAATGCACACCTGCACCGCACCGACATTGATCGATGTTTGTGTTTTGTTTTTAAATTTCTTTATTTCAAATGGAGGTCGTTTTACAATGATAATAAATATAAATCTATGTATTTTACTGACTTTTCGATCAAAATAATCTAAAGTAAGTACAATCAAATTTTCGTTTTTAATTCAATTAAACCATAGTATGACAAATATTGTTCTCCCTTTCGTGCATTTGCTGCTGCATCAAAACTATTAGATTTTTCAATAATGCTTGTTACCACAAGATGAATCCTATTAAACGTTCCTTTTTTTGTCGATCTGATGTCTAAATTGTATTGTATTTTGTTTATTCAAACGTACTCGCTAACTGTTTACTATCCATTCATATCGTCTTAAAACTAAAAAGAATTATATATCAATGTTATGTATGTTTCACTATTGTCGTCGTTGTCGTCATTGCGTATTTCTCTCAATCGGATAATAATATCATCCTTGGTCTAAAACAATGTCAGAATAAAATATATGCGTATATTAAAATGAAAATCGTCTTTACAATATATTTTTCGCTAATCGCTAAAAAATGAGTAAATTTCTTGGTCGTCGCCATATCATTTGTGTCGTTTTCCTATTTTATCAGCAAATTTGTCTCTATCTATTGGGTCGTTTATTCTCTCTGTAGTCCGCTTCTCTGTTTGTTTTTTAAATGTCTTGATTGTTGTCATTTCCACGTTGACCATATTATCTCACTCGATCGTTTGTTTAGTAGTTGTACGGACCATATTGAGATCCATGATACGGATGAACTGGATACATTTGTGGATAGCCACCATAAGCATATGGAGGTTGCTTTTGTGGATAAACTGTAAAAATAAAACCACGTGAAATTAGTAAAATTAAGCGATTTAAACAAATTGAGTCAAATCCCGTAAGTCAAGGAACAAACATTTAGTGATGAATCGAAATCTAATTTCCACATCGCAGTCAAAACAACGGGCAAAAACATCTCTTGATCAAACACAGTGAGCAACAGAGTGGAAAATGTTGTTTAGTCTCGTCAAATGGCCAGAATTTCAAATCGTTTGTCTTATTGTGTATGTTTGTGAATGATCTCGCTCGATCGATATACGGATTTCATTATCGCTACTTTAAATACAATGTGTTGCGGAAGACTCACTGCAACAATACGACAAAAACGAATGTCGGCAAACTCGATGAAATATCATTAGCCACGATGGAATAAGAATCTTTCAAGCGCAACGAGCGATGTGCAATCGAAACTCGCCAAAATATTTGGAAAGAAAAACTAAGAGAAGAAGAAAATCCATTTAATTTTGTTGCTTCGTTTTGTTTTCGTTTTCCGCCACAGAATCAAGTTAAAGCATGACCCAAATTTATGTAAGCGATGCTCTCGTTTTTTTTCACCGCTGTATATTCTGTTTAAACAATCCACTCTTTTGTGTTTCTAGGTTTTTTTTGACAAGCTTGATCAAGAGAAAGATATGTTTTTAAAAAAAAATGTGCGGAAAAAGCCAAAAAATCCGCTTAATGTTTGTGTAGACACTGTGTTGGCAATTTAGCCGAAAATATTAATTAATTTCAGACAATTTTAAGTTGATGAGTTGCGTAATTGTCGGCATCACATGAAAACACTTTAATTGGTCGGATGTGTGCGCATTCGAAACGACATCGCGATGTGTAAACGAATCGATTAATCTTTCATTTTTGTTGGGTGTCTCGACGCCAAAATTAACAAGGTCTAAGTGACAATTACCTGGCATCAAATATTGCAAATTCAATTGTTCTTCCTTTTCGCGTTCGCTGCGCAAGCAAACAGCGGCGCCCGACAAGAGGATGGCAGCAATTAAGCTGGATGCAACACCAGCCCAAGCCAAAACGTACGACCAGTCATAAGAGATGCGAGTATTGTCACGCAACACATTTGTCCATTGTTGATAGAATTCTTCGCCGACGACCTTTTCCTTTTCGAAAAATTCAACCGTATGCCAAAGTCCCATTGCACCAGCAGCCAATAAGCATGTCAACAGCATTAAAATAGCTGTGGCTGTGATTGCACCAGCCGATCGACGCCAACATCCCGATAAACCAGTCCAAAATGCACAGAACACCGATACAAAACTGCAAATAGATAACGGAACATTTCACATTAAAAAAAGAAAAATAATTCAATTCATCGTTACACACACACATCCATTGCGGTATAGATTCATTTTTTTTTATAATAAGAACATCGTAAAAATTAAGAACGTATAGAATGTAAAGTAGCGTGCCATGCACACACTCTCTGTATGTATTGTCATGTGCTGTTGTTGTCATCATCATCGTTGTTCGGGAAAACCAGTGAATTACTGAAACCTATTTCATTTAATTCATGCGTATTTATGTGTGCTTATTTTCAATATAAGTAATGTACAATGAATTGGTGTCAGAGAGTGTGTGCGCGCGCGTCTAACAAACGATAGATAGAGATATACATTCCGATTCGTTACGCTTCTTAAGGCCGCAAATGAAATTGAACCAGTTACGTATTAAGAAAGAAAAACACGCAGAGGCAATTGTTTCTTTCGGCTCATCAAGACGTACTTATTCTAGCTCTGAATCAATTTGCTCTGTGTAGATTTGTGCTGCTTCGTCGAATAAAGTGATTGTGCCGAGGCAAGTGCGATTCATACAAATGCGACACGATGAATGATCTTTTCGTTACCAACACATTCACTTGAGCATGACTGCGTGAAGTACAAACGAGAAAATGTGCGATGTGCATCGGCCATAGTTTTTCTTTTTCGTTGTTCAACAGTAAATGCATCCAAGTAGGCGGTGGCAGATATATAGCAAGCACAATTGGCACATAATGTACATTCATATATTAACTTACCTCAAAATGAATAGAGCAACACATGAACGGGCCAGATGAAGACGAGTGATGGCATCATCGTTCGGCTGCAATGTTTTTTCGTCATCCAAGTCGGGGAAGTAATCAACATTTGAACAATGCGTCTCCACGGGCGACAAATAAATTTCAACTGCACACCCATCGCATGTGATGAATGGAATTGCCATCATTTGGATTTGTAATTTCGATTCGAAAAATGGTGTTTGTTTATGGTTATTGTTGCAACAAACGAGCGACACGATAAAAAAAAATAGACGAAAAAAAAGGTGAAGAAAAAACAATAGATTTAATGAGATTAGCAATAAAAAAAAGATTGTTTTGACGGGTATTACACCGAAAGTCGCACACTAATTCAAAAAAATGCCTTTTTTCCTCGCAATGAAATGTCTCAATTTTCTCTCGCATGCCGCTGTTTTCACTTGGCTAGCACATTCATCAACGGCAACCTTTAACCACTCAGCTTCAGTTTTTGTGCTTCTTTTCTAGTTTTTCTGCATTTCTTTTCATTATTTCGAAATTTATTTTACGTTAGCACGAGTGAGAACCGAAATTAACAACAACAAAAAACGTTGTGGTTTCACTCAATGAACGCGTTGAACGAACGTGAATTTTCAATGAAAGAATTTCCAAGCCAAAGTCTTTGAAATATTTAATTCAGAACTGTCTGCGCTGTGAGTGAGTCGATAATATTACATTTTTGCTATCGCTCTCGGTACGGTGCAAAATCGTACCAGCGATAATTGAATCTCTGTTTATACATATTCAATCTGGGCTCATATTAGCACACGCGTGCGAGAAAGCGGATTCCTCATTTTGTTTTACAACACAGTGCGTGTGTATGTGCGCTTTTTTTCTCACTTCGACCAAATTTCACTTCTTTCTTATCACACATATATGCTCTGTATTTTTTAATATCTCTCTATCTCTGGTTTTTCTCTTCATAAACTTATTCTACATAATTGGGCATAGTTTATGATGGATTTTCTTCGCGACTTAGAAAACATCGTTAAGATGAAAAATTATACGATTGCATTGTTTGTTTGCTAAAGGAATTCGCGTTAAAATTGTCAATCGTAAATTTAGTCTTTTGCTAAGTGGCACAAATAACGTATAACACTCATTCACACTCTCACCGCACGCGCGCACGCTTGTTCTTGTACGTTGGCTTGTGTTATAAATCTAAGATGAACGACATCTGACTCTTTAAGTAACTTTTGAAGATACATGATTTGTGTGTGATGTGAACATCTTCAGCGAATCATAATAATGTCTAATAATAACTTCTTCTAAATGTACAATAATAAATTAGAATATGGGAACGAGAGTGAATGAGAGTCGAAAGTTTGCTCAGAAATAAAAAATAAAAACCATAAAACAGGTCTTTTCCGGTCTTTCGACCGTTGTGATGTGGACCGTTAAAGTCATATTTCGGTGCGATATTTTCTTGCACATTTTTTTTTGCATTGGCAATTGTTTTTTTTTTTTATTATTGAAACATAATGATCTCATTATGATGATATTAGATTGAGTCCAGTTTTATGAATTTTCGTTCCGCTGGAAGGTTTATGAGCTAACGCGAGTGGTTTGAAGGCATTGTTTTTTCTTGTGTGTGCTGATCAAAGCATGAAGATAAGAGACATCCCACCGATTGGTGTGTTTTGGACAAAATGGATCGTGTTTGTTTACTTACCGGCTGACGCTGGGGGTCTTTCTTTTGGATAGCAAATTCTAAACAAGCCACGGGTACGAGTATAGTAAAAGTATTTATTGTTTACACTTTCCAATAATGATTGAGAATCCGGGTGTTTGGCCGCATAATTCTGAAATGAAAAACCGCATACAAAAATAGTTTAGTCAAAATTAGATTCGTTGTTAATGGAATTATAAGTTAAATTGGCATCGTCATTGTAATGGAACATGGGTCGATATAATCGTCCAACATCAAATAATTAAAGAAGAAGAAAAAGAGTAATATATTAGATAGTAATTATACCATACTATAACGAAGTCTTATAGAAAAAACACCTCAATTGTTGTTCAGTAGCCCGCACAAAAATTTATTATATTTCTCTCTTTACTCTTCATCTGGTGCTTTTTTTTCGTTTATAAATGTCATTTTCGATGTAATTACCGCTACTGTGTGTTCAACGTACTTACGTACAAACAACTTACAGGTGACGAACCCGATAATCAACGATCGTAAAAATGAAAGTAAAAATAATTTGAAATAGTGTGCTCGCACGCTGGCGCTCGCACTTACGCGACACAATAAGGGCAAGAAACTGATTTGAAAATAAAGAGAAAAAAACGTAGACAAACGCAGTGAAAAAAAAGAACTGGTAACAATAAAAAAGCTTAAGTTTCTGTCGCTGGACACTTTTTTTTTACTGTTTTCCATTTCTAATTTGTACGCGACAATGTGATTGCACGGACAAATAAATATATATCAATTATGAAACACGTTATGGTTCAACCGTTGAAGAGTCACAATTTAAATCGTAATTAGCCATTGAAATCAAGCGTGCCAAAGACGATGTGTCAAAATACGACCAAAAAGACTTTTTCTTTCATTCGACTGCGACCGTCAGCAATGAAAAAAGCAAAAAAAAAAACCCGACGAGTAATGATAAAAGAAATATGGTTTCTCTTTGTGTATGTCTCACCAAGTGACTGAAGGTAATTATTAGAATTTAATGAGATATAATTTGAAAATGAATCTATTCATCGCCAAGTTCAATCAAATCAAATTGATTTATTGATCAATATGCAATTGATGAAACATCAAGATTGCAATTCACCGCAATTTTAAAAGAAATTACACAGTTACCACAGAGTTCAACAGAATCGGATTAATTTTCCCATGTTTACTCTGGTTTGCGATGTTTCAATTTTGATTTGTGTGGGTCTTCATTCGACAGGCCTGAAAGTATAAGTTAATTTTGGTCGGTTTTTTTCTTCGCTCTCCGCATTTAATTGAGGAATACTCGGATCGTTAGGCAATAAATAAATTACCGACCAATTTTAGCCGATTAAAAATGTTAATCGAAACATCATCGTTTCATTTTCTGCGCATAATCAGTTTGGCCATAGGCAATGGAAATTACATCATTCGAATTGCTTGCGCTAGTATATATCTGAATCAATCAACGATTTGTTTTTTTGCTCTCTTTCGAATTTGCACGCTTAGATCATATCGTATGCAAAATTATAAATAATCATCCAATTGAGTGGTGACACTGTAACAAACAACAAACCAGAATATGACGATATAAGGCATGTTTTGAAAGAGGCACAAGCGGTGATGTTTTACGTGTTGCATGTTAATTTTAGTCGAACTCATACGGTGGGTGCCGTTTGTTGCCGAGAAAATCCATTCTACCTTGAATTAGAGCTGAAATCACATTTTAATATGACTTAAAATGTGCATTAAATGGCTTGACGTGAGTAATTGTTCGGCAGAGATAATGCGAGGTGATCTTCAATGTTTGATTTTCATCATCAGCAAAAAAACCATCGAAAATTCATTTGTTGCATGGAAACTAAATGGGAATGGAATTCAAAAAGGTTTTAGCTGTTGAAATTGTTCAAACCATTCATCAACACTGACTTGAGCTCAACAACAGCCAAACAAAAAAAAATATGGTTCAAATACAAAGCTAAAAAAAAGATGTTTCGTTTCGCAAACACTCCGGATGTTCTTTGATGATCGCTGATTTTGGCGGTTCGGGTCTTTGTGTTTTTTGTTTATGTTTGCACAATCGAAAGTTCATAAATCTAAATTTTATCGTGATTTATGGTCATGGATTTTCGCATGCCACCACGATGAAGCAGATTGGTGTGGTCAAAAGCTCAAAGTACTCTGTGCTTCTCGGTTCATTGTATAACCTCCCACTCTGTTGTTGAATGCGCTTTAATGGTCAACGACCAAACTGATTAAAAATCAATCAAGTTATCATGACATGGCCAGCAGGCAGACAGAGAAGCAAACAACAACACTGTTGCTAAATTGCAATATCAAATCCGACACCGTTGACTTTTCTTCAGAAACATCATCAAACCGACGAAACGACGTTGTGCATATTCGCTCAAATGTGCTTGATTTAAAAACCACTTTCATTTATGAAATTCGTTAATTATACACACAGCATTGAATGTTGGATGAAGCGGGTTTGTTTCTTTCTATTGCTTCGCGCTTCATCTGATTTCTTATTCCCCGCGACTTGTGGCTGTAAAAGCAATCGTTTCTCAGTTTTCTTATTGTATACTTCACTTTGCGCTTTTTTCTATCTTTCTCAAATTACACGCCGAAAAATAAAATATTTGTGCACAGCATTCGGTACTGTTTTGTTTTATTGTTTGTGCAATACAGTTTAGCGTATCTCTTGATCGTGGTTTGAATTCATTCACATCGAAGTTTGCAATACATATATATATATTTCATCTCTCGTCTTTATCAAATCGAATTATCGGCTCTCTCACGCTAAAGCCGCCGTGCACAAAGCATAAACATACCGATTTTCTTTTCTATACCTTGTTTTCTTCTCATATGTGCCGATTCATTTTTGGCGCTAGACAGTGTTTGTATATTTGTGTGTACGCGCCGCACAAAAACAAAAACTCTCGATTTAAAATAAAAACATTGAATTGTTGTTAAATTCGCATTTTCTTAAATGCGACGGTAAAATTGGTTTGCAAGATGTACTGTCGATAAATGGAGATATAACAGAGACTTTCCCAGTGGAAAGTCGTGTTTATATTATCGATTATATTTGGTGTGTTGACCGTTATGTTACTTTTCCTTTTTTTTCGGAGTCGATCGTGATTACTTTGATGCAACGAGAGAAAAATATATTCAACAAATCCCAAATAAAACGCATAAGCTACATGCAAAATGAATCGTGTATACACTCATTGGACACGTCGCCCATTTCGACGAGCGGTTGTGCTTGTTTCTTGTCTTTTAATCGCTTGTCTTTCTCTTCATTCTGGTTTCGTTGTGACTTTTCTTGGCGTGGCAACATAATTTTAGGGCATAGAAGCATATATTTCGAACAACATTCCATGGCATACACAATCGCGCATATATATATGCGCAACTCATTATCATCGGCATATTTTATCACTTGGTCTTTCTCTCTCTCTCGGGCGCGCGCACATTCTCGTTTTTTTTTCATTGTAGGTAAAAGAGATGTTGATATGTATTTTGAATTCTACTCGGCTTTTATCGGAATATGGAATATGCGCGCATTTTGGTTTCCAAATTATATATCTCTCTATCTCACGTTCACTTATATCGTTAACTTTCACTGGCCATTTTTAGACAAACTTGTTCGATTTTCACTCAAATCGAATTCGATTTCGAACTGCATTTTTGCTGATTAAAATCATCTGATGACAATCATTATATGCAGTGTATACGTTTTCATGATGGCGATGTAAATCGGTATTCGACTAAACCGTACACGATGAGACAACACCGTCTCCGAATGACTGAAAACACGATATCACTCAATTTAGCGGTTATCTGGCTAAAACAGCATGTAATCAAAACAATATTTATAGATTAATCGATGCTCGAACACTTTTCATATGATATAACGCCATTAACAAATTACCTAAACTGGTAAAGAATGGTACGTAACGAAAAATCTTTACCTAATTACTAGTTTCTTTCCCTCAAATAATGGTAAAATAGTTCCGTGTGTGTGTTGCGCGTTATGTGCATTGGAAATTATTTTAACCATTTTTTGACATTTTTTTCTCTTCTTTACGACTCAAACATATCATGTGGTTTTTTTTTTGTGCAATAATTATTTAATTGTTTTGTTTTTCAATGTGAATTTACAATCGATTCACAAATTATACCAACCACTTCAATTGTATAATGCACCAGAAAATGTACCCATAAAATGGATGAAGCATGTTTATTTGTAACATTTATGCGTTGATTTTGAACAATAAATGAAACAAACGAACAACATCAGATCGATTTCTTTCGATCAAAAACAACTGAAACCGATTCAATCGGAGAAAGTTTCAACAGACACACACAAAAAGATTAAAATAATACAAAACGCATCGAGGAAAAGAAAAATTTCGTATACAATATAAAACGTTTTGAATGATTTAAATAGTTCAATCAATGGTAGTCGGGCCATGCAGTCGTACCTCTTTTTATGGAATAATAATTAGTCATCCGTAGCAAATGGCCAATATGTTTAATCATGCCTAATGTATCGTCATGTTCGAATTTTGTATTTTGATCTCTTTCTCTCTTGCGCCCAACTTATGTCATTTGTTGTCATCATATTTGCGTTTGAAAGAAAAAAAACAGTTCATGACAATTAATGAATAATTATTATTGTTCCGTCTCAAAAACAATTGCGTCGATATGCAAAGGAAGTAAAACGTATGGCCAGTGTAATGCGTCATGTGTTGCTGTTGATGGCGACGTGCGTAATATTGAATAAATGGAAGAGAAAAACGAAACGAAAGAAAGCAACGACTCCAAATGATAGAAAATTAGAGGTTCTCGATTGTACGTGATTCTATTTAAATTTGATCCATTGTTTGTCCATGCGTCGCCGAAATGCCATCAGGTAGAAACGGTAAAATGGTTTCTTTTGTGCGTTTCTGTCTCATTCAATTGCTGTGACCAGTGTGTTCAACACCGTACCGTACGAATTCAATTCGAATAATGAAAAAAATTAAGGCGGAAAGCCAACTAACAGTATAATTCAATTCACATACATAAGAAATAATGCGGATTTTTCGTCATAATACAATAAAATGCTTTTGACAAAGGTATAGCCGAATGGACAATGCATCCATGCCCACATGTTTTCATGACTTCGAGTTCATTCTTCATTCGAGCCGATTGCATTCTTTCTCATTTCACGAAAACTGACTGAACTGAAATTGATTGTCTCGACTCTCGACAAAACATATTGATTTCATTTTCCGCATACAAGTTGAAAACAACAACACTCATCGCCGAAAATAATAACGCTGTTAATAGTTATAAAAATATGCATATTTAAATAACCCACTTTTTTATTGCGCGAACGGTGAGCGCGTGCGCTCGCATATTTGGCTAAGTTGTCAAGTGACATTTTTGTCAGCCATCGACGAGTGTATGTACAAATGAATTTTCACATTAAAACGCCATGGGAATTGTAAATAATATGTCGCGCACACTTGAGACAGACATACTCAAATGTTCATGCATGCACACAAAAACGGCTGACGAAAAGCATTTTCAGCGTTTCGGTGAATTATAATAATTCCGTGTTAGTTGTAATTTGCACATTTGTGCACGTCAAAAACTAACGCACACCGTTGATTGCATGGCATACAGGCTGCTCATTTTATGGTGGCCCCAACAACATGTGTTATTTGGCCACCATCATGTTTTGCATACCGTACCAATTTGTAGACACACAAAATGAGCGTGTTGAGATTTTAAATTCTATTTTCGACTGGTTCGATATGTTATTTCTTTTGAATTCCACAAAGAAACTATTTGGTTTTCGGAATGTATGCATTTATATGCCCATATAATCTCCATTGCTCACGGACTGTGTGTCTCTTTATGCATGTTATTGCGAAGTTCTCACTGCATTGCAACAGCAACAAGCAGCTTCAAGTTGTTCTACTCTTTTTTGTCGCTGCGCCGTCGTTGTTCCACGTATTCATCGACATTCTTTGTGGCTTTAAGAACATTGCAAAACGATGCATTTTAACATTCGAACAATCGTTGCAATAGTTTGTTTAACTATTCAGATTCGGTTTTGCATAAAACAACAACAAATGAAAACGTATTTACATTTCATTTCACGCGTTTAAATTTCCAAACTGTGTACGATGACCTTGGATACACCACAAATGGGCATTCAAAACACAAATTATAGTCAAATCTTATTCTTGCTCGAAACAACAACAACAACAACCAAAAAATAAATAAATCTATTCGACACATACGCACGGCAGTACCTTCGACACCATTTGTGTAAATAAAAATGACAAAGGCAATGAAAATTGAAATTAAAACCGACGAAACATTCCATAAAAATGGGCAATTTTTCATCGAATGTCTATATCAAGTAGCTCGTGCTCTTTTCTCGATTAAACATCTTGTCCGTAGGTCGTTTGAATTTTTTACAATTCCAAATGATATGCCAATCGATTGGATAATTGTTATACATCTATCTCTCTCCGAGACGCACATACCTTTTATGTCTATCGGCGGAATGAATGAAACCGATCAATTTGACTTTTTTTCGTTGATCGGCCAAACATTTTCAAACATTTATTTAAATGCTCGAAAATCTCACTTTGTCATGTTTGTTTTCAGGCCATTTTTTTCTATCTCTAGCTCATTTGTATACTTCGCATTGTGTGCTTATATATATGTATATTATGCATGATTCATAAACGATACATGCTTCAATCAATTTCAATGCGGTTAAATGACTTATATTCCTACCGTTCACCTTTTTCGCCATTGATGAATTGTGTATTTCGACTGCAAATTAACAATATACAAACACGTACATAACAACCTCGACGTTGCTGTTGTTATTCTCGTTTTTTTTTGTGAATCGGAACTATATACTCAATAAATTGGCAGCTTAAAATCAACCCACACACACATCAGCGAACAACACAGATAAAAAAACTCCATAGAGAATAGTGTATTGTTTGCGTAGAAAAATGATCATTTTTTTTGTGTTGCATGTAATCAATCGAATCGTCCCTTCTTCCGTCTGAAATGATTTCTGACGTTGGGAGCGAGACGAACGGAAATAGAGAGAGAGCGCGACAAAACCGACAGAGACGTCAAATGAGATTTATAGAAAAAGTGCAAATTTAACAGTTAAGCGTAAAAATATGCCTTTTGTTGGGATCACGTTCGACGAAAAAGAAAAACGAATCAATTGAATTTTATATATATGAGAAAACCGATATTTCTGCGTTCTCAGCTTGTAAAAAGAAAAAGGTTTCTTAGAATGCAACGGAACGGGCAACGACAACAAGTGTACATTTAATGTGCAATAATGTGAACGATGGTGAAAAATGCAACAACACTGACCACATTCATGTTTGCCATTTCGCCGTGCGAGTCATTTTCGATACGGGCGCAATACTGTACATATATGATATTTGCGACATTTGATTGCTCATATTCATTTCTATATATACACAACATCGATAAAAAAATGCTGACTTCAATAATTTGGTTTGTTTGTTTATTCGGTGCTGTGTCGGATTTTTGAAGGTTCTTCAAACAAATTCAAGTGACTGAGGAAGTATATTTCGGTTTGAATTTCATCATCGAATCGCGCACGCGCACCTTTACAATTTCAACAATCTGTCGGGCATTATTATTTTGTGCATGGAGAAGAAATATACACCGTGGCTGCAATTGCTATGGTACAATTTGATTAAAATTGGTCGCTGCTGTTGGCAGAATTACGAATTGCTCAACCAATCGAAAATCATGACCAGCAAATAAAAGCATTTTCTTCTATGTCCGTTGCAATAAAATTGGCCATTTGTTATGGTATCTCTCGCTCTCTCTCGTTCTTCGAACAACATCTAGCCATTGCATGTAAATTTATTGAATTCATTTGCAACCTGCAACACATATGAAAAAAAAGCAAGAAAAATATGAAATGAAATTGTAAAATCATCGGCTGGAAATCGAGATACCAAGATAAATAAAATGAAAGAAGGTAAGAGAGCCAGAAGAAAAAGAAAATACACTCTACGTATACATGGTGTGTTTTGTTGGGCCGTGGTGCATTTTATAGAATGGGATTTTGTCTGTGCACTTGCATTCCATTCCATTCGGTTATTTTAGATATATCTCTCACTGTGTGCATGTATGCGTATAACATTACGACACGTTATACTCGTTCTGGGTTTCATTTTACCGTCATCGACATTGGTTCGAACGAAGAAATCGAGCGAGCAAGATAGAGAGAAAGAGATAGATAAGGCGCGTGCGCGAGAGAGAGAGAGCGCGAAAATACTTTATTGCTACTAATATACGTTCATCACTTTTCACTTTAAGAAAGCCCTCCATATCACTATCATTTTATGTTGTGGTTTGTGTGCACATTTGTACTCATTCTAGCCCAACAAAAATAGCAACAAGTTGTATATACTCACGAACAGCAGAAAAAAAAGATCAACATTAATAGCGATGACATATTTCTTCTCTGTTCAGAGTTGCTCAATGTTTCTTTGTTTGGCGCAGGTACACGATTATTTAGCGATTCGTTTGCAAATCTAGTTGCAGAAAAGAGGCACACCGATGAAATAGAATTTCGCACATATTCAATGGAGATAGAGAGAAAGAGAGACTTGTTTACAATTGGCTAGATCGTGTTTGCTTTTCTTTTCTCATATTTTTGGTAATCGTTTCAAAATTCCACACGCTCGTCAACGAAGACGACAGCAGCAACAGTCATGATAATTGATCTAATTTAATGTCTGTTTCTTTCATATTTTTCGTGATAAACATCTTTCGATGGATGGAAGCAAAAGAAGACGAAGACGAGGAGAATGAAGAGTGAGAAGTCGAGATGTTGTTGGTTAAACAAACGTGCGCGAGCGTTCACTCAATCTCTAACGTGTACACATAATCAAATTAAATCTAAAAGAATGGAAATATTATGTTCTCTTTGTATAGTTGAAATGCTATCGGATGTGACTTTTTAATTCAATCCATTCATTCACTTTGCATAAATTTTAAATCGTATAGACACTTTCTACGATGGATTTGTGTGTCGATGTGCGTGTGTGTGAGAGAGAGAAAATAAACTTAAACATGATTGCCACATCATAATTTTCAGCACGAGGAGAACGCATACGGAAACGGGACAGACGATGAGACTAAACACTGAATTCGAATCGAATTCAAAAGAACATTTCTCCATGCCATGGATGGAAATGAATAACAACATTAACAGGCAAGAAAGCATCCAGTGTATGCGTGTACTTGTTGTACCTACACATGGTATAAATTTGTTGTTTTTTTTTTTTTTAATCTGGCAACTAAACGCAATAAATCTAGTATTCTATATGACTATCCACATATATGTTAACGTTTGTTTTGTTTCACTTCCTCCTCCGACTCTTGTGGCACACACACACACGTATATTAACGCCTATCCAAGCTGAATCGACACGATATAATTACAGGCTCTGTCTCAACTATGCAAGCAAACGCACAAAGTGAACAGAACAAGTAATCAATTCTATCTCTCTCACATACGATATTATCTAGTTCTTTTCGGTGTTTTCTTGCGAAACACTGAACACTCATCGGTCAGGTACATCATCGAAGTCGTCGTCGTAATCGACGCCATCGTTGTTTCTTGCAAATGAAGAACGATCTAGTTTGCTTTTATTTCTAAAAAAAGCGTTTTGATCGTTCTCGATCGGGTGATTAATGCGTATGCGAAGAAATTTATTTGAAATCTAATCGAAGCGTGGAAATTTCAAAAGCAATAAAAACTAAATACATACGACTGTACCATTTTATGTCTAGAAAAAGCGGTTAAACCACACACACGGATCGAAAATGACGTCGACATCATCGATCCTTGTGAAAATAGGCATTAAATACACACAAACATACCTGTATGTTATTTCTTTTGACTTCATAGCTGAGCCAATTGTCCGTTGAGAAAGCGATCGACAACAATGCAACCGAAACAATCGCTGCTATTGTGGCTAGTGATAGAGTAACTGCTGAGCACGGCATTTTTTCCAATTTTTTTTTTCTTTCCCTCCTTAGTTTGTGTGCGTGAATAAGCGTCTTCGATATATCCCTTCTCAGTTGGTGAATCTCCTTTTTCTTGTAATTTATTACTTGTTCGTTCCTGTTTGATTGTCGTTGAATTTCTTTCTGATTATTTCTCAATCACACAAACAATGAAATGACTTGATTCATCAATTTATTCGTCGCCTCTCTTGTTATGGATAACTTTGTTATGTTTATTTTTTTCTTGTTTTATTTGTTGATTTTTATTAATCGAGATTGTACGGCGATTATATAAAACACACTTTATTTTAAAACGTTAGTCACTCTTAACACGAACAACTTAAACTCCCGTTGGTAATAAACGAGTTTTTCGATAATCCATTATTTCACTGCAAATACAAAATTCTCGCAACAACTTCTTTTCAATTCTTCTTCGTGTCAAACAAATAAAAAAAAATAAACGTATTTTCAACGATTCACTGTTACGTTTTTGTTGTCCAATTATGTTGTCGTCGTTGTTATTGTCATCGTTGTCATTTCCAAAGCGATCATATGTAAAAGAATAGAAAAATAGGGAAAAAAAGAATATTATATATTATTTGAAATGGAAAAAAAACATTTTAATAAAAGCGCAAGGAATTTTCAGTCAACAAACTCTTCTGAATAGATATTCTAATTCATTCAGAGGTATTAGGAAAACACATGAATAACATGCTTGAAAAGAATTTCAATGCACGATTTTTTTCTTCTTCTCTTTAATTTTTCTCATCTATTCGGCAATAAAAATCAATTGAACTCTGTTCCTCTGCTTGTGCTGAGTTCGTTATTTGTCTTTTGTTTTCTCTCTTTTGGTCACTTACATCGTAAAATCACATCAAGAAATAGCACACACTTGTTCGATACACGAAAAATTCGATGAGAACAAAAAAAAAACTAAAAATCCGATTGATGAGAGAAAACTTTACTCTCTTCACATTAAAGGTTGATCAATTTGAAATCCAAGAGGAGAATTAAGAAAACTCAGTTTTGATGATGATATATACACAAACCGTTCTGCTTGAATGTCGTCAGCGCACTGAACGCACAGCAACGGTTGAATATATTAGTACGTGAGAGTTGAATGTTTGTACAAATGAAGTTGGTATTTATATGGTGTTTATGTGTGCGTGTGCATAAGAGAGCAAAGCTGAATTGCCGTTCTTCGGCTTTTACTCTGCAAACAAAACGAGAAGGAGTGAGACAGAGATGCGATCAAAGTGTGTGAACAAAGTCGAAAAGAGAAGTAAAAACAACAACAAAAATAACACCGTCCAATACAAGTACAAAGTAAAAATAGTCTCTCTATTTCTTCTTTTTTCCGTGGACCCGTTGGCATAAACAGCGAATATGGACGATCGCATTTTGCTGTTTGCACCATCGTGTAAGTGAGCTCGGCATATTTTCTTGGTGCGCTTCATCGCAAAACAGCGATCAATGTGTATGTGTGTTGAGAGAGAGAGAGAGAGAGAGAGAGCCACACTCACTCTACTTGTATTCTTGTTTATGATTCTTTCATCTTCGTTTTGTTTCTTCTTCCATTCGATTTTATTTTCTGGTTGCGCTGCTATTTAAGAAACTTATTTTTTTTTGTTCCACCATCACAGAAAGAGAGACAGAAAACCAGTTTTCACATCTTAATGCCTGTACCTGTTGAACAATCGCACACAAATAATAATAAAATGAAATTCCAGAGACCATGCTCAAGCAGAAAGAGCACCAACAATGCCAAAGCACATTCAATGCTTGTGTATACATATGACATTCGACGATTCTGTGCACCATATATATATCGTTTTGCTGCTCCCTCAATAGATGAGCTGTACGTGCAGGTCTTATCCTGTCTGCATTTTGAATTGTATTGCACAGTGTGCATTTGCATGACATGGCATTCACAACAATGCTATATATACACACATCGAACCTATCTATGGGGCCATATTACTATAAATATTAAATGCATCTCATGAATTGTTCTCATTCAGAGAAACCAATTTCCATCTATGTTGGATACATTCCACGATCATTCAAAACATTTCTCACACATTGCCGAGAAATTGACTTTCTGTCAACTACACAGATTGCTTGCAGAGACTGTCTTTGAGCTATTGATGGACATTATCTCTTATCTTTAAGCCATTACAGATTACATACTGCTGAGAGCAGTTATTTAAATATTTGGCCGGGGAGTGCAATGTGCTTTATTTTATGTGATTGCATTTTCGGTATGAATGTGCCCTTTTCCTTTTGAACTGTGCCTAAAGTGCAAATGCAATATGTGTGCTCTGCATTTTTTTTTCTTCTGATTCTATCTTTTTTTATGATTAATTTGTTTTGCGGTTGTGTATACAATATGGGAAAAAACAATAACACAACTTAAATGCCATTGCTTGCCGATAGCATGCTCAAAAAAATGTTCAACATTTTCAAAGGTTTCCGTTCAACAGGCAATTTTCAAAGGTATTTCTATGCAAAAGCCAATATTCTATCTCAAAACGAACGACAAAAACAAAAAAAAAATACTTAGAAAATGTTCTCTTATCTACAGCCGAAGAATTCGAAGAAGTATCCATAATAAACGTATCGATAATTATTTGAAACATACAAAATGCCAATAATCATGAATTCATCAAAAAGTCATTGTTTCGGTCTGTTCCCTTTGAACCATTTGTTATTATTTGATACGACTGAAAATAAACAAGACAAAAGTTCACGCGACATTGATTCATTTACGAACCTAACTGATATCATTGCATATTAAATTCATTTTCGAATTATTTTCACACCTATAAATAATGCACGAAATTCGAAATTCGAATCACGAATCTAGTACGATAACTTTTCGAACTGTCGTCACACTGTCATACATGACAATCTTCTATATTTGTAATTGGTAAATGTGTTTTTGCACAACAAAAATCGGAGGAAAAATCGCTGTTGCGTTTATAGAACGGAAGACGAAACAAAAGGGTTTCGTGAGATCTGGCAAATATTATGGACGCACATGAAACAACGTGTGCAGCAACAAAAAAACGAAACCAACAATCACAACGACAACGTCGTGAATTCAATCCAAAAACACACTCACTTAACAAACGACCTGTATCAAAGCCATTCCAGAGAAAAGGCGATATCTATGTTACAAATAAATCGAATTTTCAGGTAAATATTATCAAATTGATCGATTTCAGAGAACTGGTTTAATTGCGTGTGTTATAACTGTAGGCTCAAATAAAACAATGTCTAGAGACATTGGAAACTGAAGCAACTGGTGAAATCTATTTGCATTGTTTGGGTAATGCGATTAAACGTGGAATTACATTGGCACTGAAGCTTGTACAAGAATCTGATAACGGACTGGGATACGAGGCAAATACATCGACCATTGATTTAACTGGTAAATATTTGGATAAAATTAAAATGACAATATAAAAACCAATTTTAATTGGAACTATTACAGATGACTTGCATCCACTGAATGATGAAGAAGATTTTTCCATCCAAAAGCGGAAAAATTCATGTTTGCACATAAGAATCTTTCGTCATTCGAACAATCTCAGCAATAAGAAGCCACAGACATAAATCACCTCTCGTACATATACCCGCTGAACTGAATTATTGAAAATCATGTTTGATCTTAAAGAACTTGTGCAGTGGTTAGGTTTAGATGAATTTGAAATATTTACGAATTTGATTGCATTATTTATATTTTCGATAATACTTGCGGTTCGTTTGGCTGGCGATATAGCAGAAGAGTCAATGGATTGGTTTACCGTATTTTCTCCACTATTTTGCGGTGACATTTGCAATAGTTATTTTAGCATAATTGTTTGCATTCGCATGTATTTAGATAATGATAACAAGCGGAAAGCCCTACAGCGACTCTTATGGAGTATTAAATTCCTTGTTTTAACCGGAGTTTTTAAATATTTATTATGCTTGAAATTGTCGGGCGCACAGAATCTAGATTATAGCGAAGTTTTTGCACCAATTTTCGTACTGCTACAATTAGTTGCGGTTCGAGCGTGTCAGCTATCGGGCTCAACATAATTTCAGAGATCGTATTTCATATATAAATCCAAATAAATAAAAGCATTAACAAAACTGCATCTCAAGTCGAACATTAACGAATTTTATTTTATTTCTTATTTAAAAAAAAAATGTTTTCCATTCAGAACTTGTTCGAAGGTCAACACTCAACAGTCGGAAAATTATCAAAATTAATTAAATGCATGGATTGTTGTTCGCTGTGATATAAAACTGCTACCTAACTTCGCATGCTACAGACGACGCATTCTCAGCAAGATATTTTAATATACTGTGGATGGCAGCAGCGCTGAGCAAAACTCTGTATATGACAATATGTTGTGTGGTACAAAACGCGTGCGGCAACCGCTTCGATTCAGCATCTGGGCAGCAATGCTGTACAGACGCTACGAATAGCTAGCGCTATTCAGATAGGAAAAAACCATCACTGCCTAAAATCGAACCTTTTACCCAAAAGTGGGCTACGGACCAAGAAGTCGCAGACACTTTGAAAGCTATGGTATAGAATAGCCTTCTGCTAACACATCACTTTGTTGAAATAAAATTTACAAAATATCTAAAAATGTTATTGTTAACATTGAAAAGTTGCGAAAAAAATGCCTGATGATAATAAAAGATTAAATACATAGAAGTAATATGGCTACCTCTTGTGTTTTTTTTACTGGCTTTAACAACTTATTCGACATTCGTGAAAAAAAAGAGAAGTAATAATACGTGCTTATCGGAATGAGGGGGATTGAAGTTGTTTTACTAGTTTCATACGAGTGGACCTTTTTGTCGTATTTTCCAAAACAGCGTCATGAACGAATTAAATTTATCCCAGTACATATTACATTTTTTTCCCTTAATTTATATGGTTCCAATAAAATAACACACCAGCAGAGTCATAAATATTTGAATTCATTTAGCTAACCGGCCAGCAAAATGTTTCGTTTGAGAAAGTTTGTCGTTATGTAGACATTCCCATTCCCTTTAATATTCTAAATCACATCAATAGAATATGGTAAATAATTGATAAAAAACATGAAATTTTGTTGTAGATTTTTTTTCTTCAGAAATTGATGTGAATTCTATAAAACAAAAAATAAATAGAGTGAAGACATAATTGATTTTGCTTTTTCGATGAAAAATGTTTGTATTTTTATTACATTTTCTTTTGTCTTATGTTAAGAGTCTCATAGTAATTGTGTATGAGTTTTTTTTTAAAATAATTTTATGTTTATTTGAGTGCAATGTATGTTGTTAACTTGTTAACAGTAACTGGATTTAATGAATGTTTTGAATAGAATGCACTGCACAGTGTATCCTGTTTATGAGCCAATTTTCTCGATTTCATCGGAATCATCGGCGTCCAAAAGATGAATCTTCTTTCCAAAATGTTTTTCGATTGTTCGGCACACATTCATTGACTTTTCCGAATCGACCAAATTGATTGCTATTCCATTTTTGCCTAGAAATGACACGAATGTTTACATATCACTCTAATTGAATGACTTAATCACAAATCCATTTGATACTAACCGAAACGTCCGGTTCGACCAATTCGATGCAAGTATGTTTCGCAATCGGCGTCGCCCTCTTGATCAACCGGCAAGTCAAAGTTTACAACAATTGTGACTTGTTCGACGTCGATTCCTCGAGATAGAACGTTGGTTGTAATCAAAACCTTTTCCAATCCGGCACGGAAGCGATCCAACACAGCCAATCGCTGTTCAACGGTCAATTCACCAGACAACACAGCCACCGAATGTCCATCCTTTGTCATCTTCACAGCCAACCAACTGGCGGTTTTACGGGTCTGCGAAAGAGACGGATCAATTTTATCGTAACACTTAGTGCAAATGTGAGTTTTCATTAAAATACGTACATGACAGAATATGATGGCCTGACCAATGGTGATGACACCATAAATGTTTTGAATAGCCTGGTACTTTTCATCTTGATCACGGCAACGAACATAGTACTGTGTGATATTGTCCAATGACTCTTGCTCACGCAGCAATTTAATCACAATCGGATTCTTGACAATGTGTTGTGCGAATTCCATTACTTGCCGATCATATGTGGCCGAAAACAACATCATTTGACATGTTGTTGGTATTTGTCTGGTAGAGTTGAATTAATTTAAAAAAAAGGTATTGAAATCCTGAGAAATTAGGTAAAATGGTCAATAGAGTAGTATGATCTTACTTGTGAATTCGAGTGCATTGATCCTGATGACCTTGTGTTGCAATCATGACATCGGCTTCATCTAGCACAAAAACGCTAATTTTCTTGATATCAAAGACACGGAATTTGCTCGACCAATCGAGCACCTTTCCTGGTGTACCGATTATTATGTGATCGTCCAACTTTGACCCACGGGCAACTGAATTTGCAATGAATGTGAAATTTTTACAATTTTGCCGTATTTTTCGACCGGAAAATTCTTCATCTCACTTACCTTCTTCACCACGAACAGCATACCGTAGTTTGATAGGTGAAAATTGTGCAATTTTGGCCGCAACTTCACCAGTTTGAATGGCCAATTCGTATGTTGGTGACAAGCACAAGATTTGTGGGTAGTTTTTCGATGTGTCAACGCGACTTAGCATTGCAATGACGAATGCAGCCGTTTTTCCTGTTCCAGATTGCGACTGAGCGATCATATTTTGCGGCGGATCAGCGAGCAATGTGGGAAGTGCCGTTTCCTATCAATTAAAATGATTTGGTGACGTTGTAGAATAAACGATTTGTCTAAATGTCATTTAAGAACGTGTATATAAAGTAGAATGACAGAGCGTATACATCAGCAAATGAATCATTGTGATTGATGCTGTATAATAGACGTATTCATTCATAGACAAACTGCGTCATCTTCATTCAAAGCACGTGCTATGCATTGCACCCACAAAATTTATACCAAAACCTCTTGATTACGCTGATTACCTGAATTTTGGATGGTTTGTTGAAATTCATGGCGTAAACACCTTTCAAAAGTTCGGGCTTCCTGTAAACAAAATTTCGATTAAAAATTTCATCATAAAAAGCAATTCGCTAATAAATAACAAATAACTAACAATTTCAATTCCTCGAATGTTTTTGCCGAGTAAAGCGGTGAATTTGGATCTTGTCGAATGATATCCAATTCGGACCTTGTATCGATCAAACCTTTACGAATGATTTTTTGCAACAAACTAGCGTCAGCCGGACTGTAAGTAAAGAAATTATCAATATTCCGAGCAAAAATTTGTAACGCACAAACAATTGTACATACTTTGAAACGTCGACACCGTCATCTTCGGATTTAGCCTCGCCATCCTTTTGCAATGACAAATTGTCTACCTAAAAAATGTATGCACCACCGCAAACGAAAGAAAAATTTCCAAGAATATTCATGACGCAAAAAAAAAACAACCTCACGATGACAAACACACAAAGAAAAAAAAACTGTACTAACCAATTTGGCAATTTCTTGTTGGTTTTCTTTTGCTTCGGCGGCCGACCAAGTGTTTTCCGGATTCTGCGACATTATTATCGAGAATTTGCACGAAAATAGATAGGTGAAAATGTGTTTTTGATAAAATACGCCAAATCGTAAAAAATGCCGCAATGTTAAAAGTTGTACATTTGACAAACAACCGATATAGCCTAAACAAGTTGTTGTATGCGGTGAATGCGATTCTAATACACACACAAACTGGCTGCGTACTATGACAGCAGAAGTCACTCAGTTCGAATGGACTAGAATTCGATAACGTTATTTCGAAATTTGAATTTATTGCAATATTGTTTGGATTCAGTTTAAATAATTTTCAATAAAATTACAGTATTTTGAATTGATTTTTGATACAGATTTTTATTTATCATCCAAGCATAATTTTTCCATCTTAAAATAAAAACAAATATTAAAAACATACAAACATAACCTCAATAAACATTAACAACACATGGACCGCAAATACGACTGTCACATTTGACACGATACTATTTTGATTACATGTGTTTTAAACAATAGTTTTTCTTCTTGAAAATTTCTCACATTTTGTAAATTTGCCGGTAATTTCAGTTAAAAAAAATGCGAACCAGAAGTAGAACAGCGTCTCAAAGTGTAGCGGCCGATGAAAATGCCGACGTACAAGTTGTGAATAAGAAAAAAACACCGCAGAAACAAAACAACGATGCATTAGTCGCTAGCATTATTAGTTCAATCCAAGAAGAGAATTCAACTAAGGAAACCGAAGTAAAAAACAATGAAAATTCCCATACGAAGACAAATGGTAGCAAACCGCCGGTTCAGAAAGTCAATGCACCAAAAATGATTCGAGGCCAACCAAAGTCAGGACGACCATGGAAGGACGTTAAACAAAGGTAAGTACTTTTACTCTTCTTTTAGTAGTGGAACGATTATTTGAAGCACAGACTTCTGTTTATTGAATGCTTCTGATTTGCGGCATCGATTAATTGAAGTATATTTTTCATTTTAGATTTTCCACAATCAAAAAGTCAATGTATCGACGACCGTTTGAGAAGAAGCAACAATTACGCGAAGAATTGAAACACATTAAAGAATTGTCAAAATCAATCAAGCAAGACAAGAAACTTGAGAAAATCGAAAAGAAGGAGCGTCGAGAGGAAAATGCAAAGCGGCGCCTGGAAAATGAACGGAAAAATGAAATCGTCCAAATCATCAAAAATCCAGCCAAATTGAAGCGAATGAAGAAGAAACAATTGCGAAAAATAGAAAAGAGAGATTTAACCGCTAGCAACGGTCCGAAAGTCGTTTAAAATTAGACATATATTAATTGTGTTTCTATTACGCACGGTATCGCAATTACCAAATAAAATTTTAAGACACATTCTTGAAAAAAAAAAATCTTTTTTATTCGCTTGTAATTCCAATTTTTTTTTTCGATTTTAATTAAGAAATTGACACCGTATTGATTTGATAATAGTATGCAAATTGATATCGTAAAAATAAATTTGAATTAAAAATCCGTTGTGCCTATTAAGAAGGGTATGTATTTTATCTGATTATTCAAATATGACATTTATTACCCTCTACGTACTTTCGTTTGGCATGATTACTTATTCATGTACTTTTTGGATGTATTTTGGACTTGTTTTCATTCGTAATTTGTTTTTGCTTTTACGTATGTTAATTGAATCGACTAAAATGTATAATTTTTAAAAAACAGCTCCGATAGAAATTTAGGAAATAAATTTCTACGAATTTCCATCGGAGTAGTTTTTTAAAAAATATGCCAACAAAAAATAAAAACGAAATTTATACCCTCAGTAGTGGTAAAATGTAACATAAATATAAAAAAGCTTTTAAAAACAACATTGAATCCGAAATACATTAAGTGGATTTTTTTCCAAAATTCTTTTTAATATTCAAAATCAATAATATTATAAGAGAAGTTTACGTGCACAAATCAATATTACGCAGGTATATCATTCCGAAAAAGTATTCAACAAGGACAAAAATTGTGCCCGACAAAAATAAATACAAACGTTTGTTGTAAACAAAAGTGTTCAAAGACGAAAAAACACAATGACCTCATCGGAAGAATATTTACAATTTGAAAAAGGATAAAAAAAATGCTTACGTGATCTGTTGAATTATCTTTTGAAAATATTGGTTTTTGTTTAAGCTCAATTAACCAAGCAAACAGTGCAATGATGGTTTGCATAGTTTGATATTTATTCATCCGTTTGCATGACTCGAATCCATAATTAAGTGACTGCATAAATTGAATTCCAGTCATTAATCGAATGGTTCGTTATCCGTTTCATGTCCGATCAATTGGATTTGAGCCAAATTAGTCGAAATGTAATATAAAAAGAAATAGTAGCGTCTTTATGTCGGAAGGGGGGGGGGGGGGGGAAAAAATGAAACTTGACAAGACATTCGATTGGATGTGTTGCTTTAACTCGTTTTTTTCTTCTGTTGCCATGTTATTATTTATTTGGATTGTGTTTTGTTTCAACAAGTCAATCAATCGATTTCATCAATTAATTGAGGGGGTCAGTTTAATTGACTGAGTGTCACAATGATTCCAAAGTGTTATGTTATAACATCTTTTGACTGTTTGAGAATGTCTTAAAGACAGAGAGGGAGAAAAAGACGTCAACCAAATTGATTGAATTTTAAAATGTTATTCACAAAAATTCTCATCCATATAGTTATATTAATAAAGAAATTGCGCAGAATGGACAAATGGCTTGTTATTGATTGGAATGCCGGATCATAACGTGCAAATTGCGTATAAACGTAATCTCTTTTGACTAATCGTTTATTTGTTGTTTGTTGCAGTACGTTGATACCAATGGGATTGCACCTTATGTTATCCCAATGATAAAACCATCATCCGGATTGTATTGTATTTTCGAAAGTGTCGTTTTATTTTTCTCTCTCTCTCTCTCTCTCTCTCTCTCTCGCCGAATGTTTCAAATCGCCCTTCAGCGTTGACAAAATCCATTTTTGTCATAAGAGCAGTGATGGAAATTGTGCACTTTGGGTCAGTGGGAATGTTTTGCAATTCAAATGACAACAGATATCGAATTATCATTGCATTATACATATTAAAATGTGATGCAATATCGTTCACCCATAAAGAAGATTATATTTGATGGAACATATATTCTTTTTTGTAGTCGGTTGTTGATCTTTGTAACCAGAGAACAGTAAATAGAATGAAGATGATGAAGAAAAAAATGTAATCATGTTGGAGTAAACAACGTTTTATGGTAGGCATGCTTGAGAAAGTGCTGAAAAACTCGTGGCGTCGAATATGTCCTGTCGCATCATAGTCTCTATTTCTATCTCTCCGTGTCTCTTATTTCCAATTTTAATACACACACGTATATATATATACTTTTTAGTGTTAGAAATATGCAAATGATGCGATGGTGCTTGGTGCAATGTAACCAATGAACATGTTGTGTCATGGTGATATTAAATATTGTTTCAAAATCCGCATAACATACAACACACTCAATTGGCTTGTGGCAAGAATCAGCGAGTCAGTCGTTTGCTCGAGACACACTTGTCGAACGGAGAGAGTGAGAAAATGATATGCAAATGCTGTGTTTATTCTACCGCATATAATTCTTTCTTATTCCATTTAAATATACTCATACGACAAGTGAATTTGTATCCACCACCGTTGTCGTCGTCGTCGTCGTCAGCGCAGTGTAACGAATATGGTGTGTGCTTTTCGCACTTCATACACACTGAACTGTGTCATTTTGGAATGCGTATTTTACTATATTCGCTCCACAGCGTCCGTCCGACCACCAAAGATTTGAGACTCTGTGCGGGTGCAAGCATGATTATTTCCAATTCATATCAATGAAATGTATAGACGGTGCAAAATCGCATTTAGAAACATTTTTTTAATGAGAACTATTGAGTTATTTAATCCAGCAAAAACGAAAATCGTCTTGATCGTGTGCCGTCTCTCTTACTCACACTGTGCCTCTCTTTCGATAAACGAGTGAACTCCATTAAACACAAATAGTGAGTGCAAGTGATAACATTTTGCATGAAATCAATGTGATAGCATAGCACATGGTAGCACTTTGTGTTCATCACATTTGTTGCTATAAAACAATTTTTTTTCGTTTAATTTGTTCTCGCTCACTCGTTCGCGTTCGCATTCGATGCGATCCAATGCGCCACACGTTATCTCGTTCGTTTCAATTGCTCCATCGGTGTAATTCAACACGAGCAAAGGCAAACTACACAGCCAAGCAATGCGTTGTGATGTGACATGCCGACACTGGAGTATATATACCGCTTGCCAAAGCATTTGGTATATCAGTGTTGTTTAAACATTTTGAGTGATCACAACCCATAAAGTACATACAGTTTGTGTGTGAAAATACACCGAATTTCCCATCCGATAACAGCGAACGAACGGTTCATACAAATCAGCATTGCATTTTGCATTTAAGTAAATACCACTTTTTTTCCTTCTCACTCTATTTTTTATTGGTTTCAGTGTAGATTTGTGTTTTTGTATTGTGTGCATCATCATTTGTTTCGTTCAGTTGTCTCTCTCATGACATTTTTTCAATCTCTCTTTTTTGTGTTATTTTTTTTATTATTTTGACAATCTCTGCTGTTGTTTAAAGAAACGCAACAATTTGTTGTTTGCAAAACTGGTTTTATAGAATTCAAATTCAGTGCATCAAGATTTCTGTGATATCGTTTCATCTTTGAAGACATACGAAGAAAAAAAATAGACGAGCTATCCGATAAGAATGCTGTGCATTTTATTCGGTTTGTAGAACAAAAAACAAACATGAATTTATGATGTGAGCCATGCAACGAGTGGCATCATGTTTGATATATCAAAGCAAATGAGAAGCTGCAAAAAGGCGACAGCGAAGATATCTTTCGAGTGAAACATTAAAGGCGATATTTTTTGTTTCACATCATAATCATATAGAATACACATTTTTAACGTCTTTGGTTTGCAGTGCAATTTATTCATTTTTTTCTCTTCTATTCCTTTTATGTGCGTGTGTGCCGTGTGTACATTTTATGTATTTAATGCATTATTATATATTTTTTTTTGCTATTTGAAAAAAAAGAAACATATAATATGGGGTATCTCTTTGTGCAAATCTGATTCAGAAAAAAATACATTCACATATTTTACCAGACTAATTTGTGTGCCAGCCACAGTTTTCAAATAGCAAATACACTCACATAGAAAACGAAAAAGACAAATTCAAGCTTTCTCTATCTACCCCCAAACTACGAAAGCCAAATAATAATGAGAACAACGACGACGGACTTCATAGGATACAATATGCCTTAATCTTTTCACACTTCACAGCATAATTAATATGGTGTCATTGTATATGTGATAATCATGATAACTGTAAATTCGCTCAAAACATCGTTCCTTTTTCATCCCCTGGGCAATCCTGGGTGAGTGTGTGTGTGTGTGTGCATGTGTGAGTCACTTTTCATCATGAAAAGAGGCAAAGTTTTCTTCTGACAAACAAATTATCATAATTTGTTTTGTTAATTTTTCTTTCATTCATTTTCAAAAACAGAGACATTTCAACGACATATGCGTCCGCTTTTTTTTCCACCATGAGAGGCTTTTATGTGCCTCATTTGGGGATGAAGTTTTATTAACGTTTCGATTTTTTTTTTCGTTCATAATGAAGCACATAAATTCAATGCTTGAATTAACGCATTGAATAAATGGTGAGCAGGAAAAAATGTGACAGATTTTAATAGGTTGTTTAAAATTCATTATTAAACTTTGATTGCAAGTCAATCATAATAAGTTTCAAGCAATGTTTATCTTCTTTCGTTAGAAGAATTATCAAGAGTGTTTGGTTTTAAGTTTCTTTTCCGTTATTTTTTGCGCTCATTACGTGAGTATACAGATGGTAAAAATTTCTTGAGCAGATTGAAAAAAATTCACTCAATCATCTATTTAAGTTCATAAGTACTTATTACTATCGGCAATTGATCGAGAAGAAAAAAAAAACAACTTGAGTTAATCGGTTTTAGTCAAAAGTCGAATATTATCTCCATCGCAGGGAGTTAAATTTCTAATTAACCGACAAAGGAAAAAAAAACGAACACACACGAAAACAAATTGCAAAGAAATACAACGGCTTTCATTTATAATGATAGATATCAATGAACAAAGAGTAATTTGCCAACAATGGATTAATTTATTGATAAACAGTGGCATAGAGTAATCGTTCGGTTGATACAAGCTGTTCGTGTGTGTATGTGACGCAATAATGTTGCTCACCATTCGCAATAATTCTTTTCGATGCAACTAATTTTTCAACATCAAATTGTCTTGGGAGTACACGCTGTTTGGTACAGAATGACAGATAGAGAGAAAGAGAGAAAGAAAGAATGAGATAGGGAATGAACACCATACAAGTACAAGTGTTCAGTCTCGCTACTCATTCATTAGTAAACAAGTAAATCTATGCTCGATGCCAAATTATGGGATTAACTCCACGTTGCAAACATTCAATGCGGTTTTGTGGTTCATACAAGCAAAATTCTCTACTTTTATTTGTGTGTATTTACTTGATACTGCAATGAATGAACCGAGCTGAACCGAGAGAGAGAGAGAGAGGCCAAAGAGACACTCACATGAATTTTCAATTAGAGAATCTCTTCTTCGAGCACACTTTGGTTGTAATTAATTTATTTGTCATAGGCAAATGATGTAGTCGACATGTTGGCTAAAGCTGTGCGTTTCCAAACCTACCCCCCCCCCCCCCCCTTTCCAATTCATTCAACAATCCACATTTGTCGAATGCGCGTCTGAGCGTTTTGATCTCGAATCCAGTGTTTATGTCAAAGGTACGATAAGACGAGATTTTTGCTCCTTGGGCGCTACATCGAAATCCACTAATGTATGCATATCAGTCGTAAATATAAAATATCTACCCATCCACACCGACACATCCATGTATATATATATTAGAGATACATTTCAATCAAAATGTTTGTCATATTTGTGTGTCACACTCCGTTTCTGGTTGTTTATTTAACGGTTGCTCTGTACAAGCAGTACAGTCTCTCCATGTGTCGTGTGTTCTTTTCCCAAATTAAGAGATGCTACAAATATTTAAACTGATTAAAATAGAAACTTCCTTATATATGTCACATTCGATTGAATGATGAGACACAAAAAACATCCTATATATGTCGTCTACATTCTGCAAAGTGTAAAATATTTGTGTAAATCACATTTCTGCGGGATATCAGACTCAAACAAGCGATACATTTTATCACTGACCCGCAAACAATAACTCATTCCATAGACGGAATTGATTGAATACAGCATGAAGAACAAATACAATCGGTGCAAGTCACACATTCAATCATTTTGTCCATTTTGAAATGAGCACATTTACAATTCCAACCAATGGAATGACATCGACGCATGCATACCGAAATAGTTGCAATTCCTTTGGTTTTAATGAACGTTGTGATTATTTAATTATCGGGTGCCAAATTCAGTGCTTGGATTGGATATAAGACGTCTTTTGCATTCGGGGCGACTGTAAATGGTCGACGGATGTTTTTCAATCAATTAAATTTGAATAAAAAATATTCAGTTTTCTTTGAGCAAATTGATTGGGAGAATAGAATTGGAATTTAAATTGAGAAAATATGAATTTATTGATGATTCACTTTGTCCAAGCTAAGTCGATATTTACAAAGAAAAGTTTATATTCGAGAATACACAAAGACGTTTTTTTGTTATTTCTTTCAATACTTTTATTGTATTGTACATGGCGTATTTATATCTTTAGTTTGACATTGGTCTTAACTTTGCAATGGGCGATTTCCAACAACAAAATTACGCACCCAGTTATCATCTTTAATAACTTTTTCAGACTTTGTTTATCTTATCGAAAACTAGTTTTCAAAATTCATCCCAAAAATAATCTCAAATTCAAGCATCATTCTTTGCGGCGTAATACACGCGATGAAGACGAAGTCAATATCATATTAACGAAGAAACGATTAAATTTACATATCCGGAATTTGACGCACATTAAAAAAACATTTCGTTCACCTCTTAAAGCAGACTCACCTGAAATTTCTCATTAAAACCTATGCAAACCCAATTGAAGTCATTTGCAGAAATTGTATTACTTTTTTACTCAAGTTATTAAGTAATTTTTAATTTATGCATATTTCAATATGAAAAATCGTCTTTATTTCCAATTTTGTTTTTGCATTATCATGCACGTACTTAGTTGTTTTGATTTTTTTTAATCTTGAATTTTTTTCGAGCTGTTTATTGCATGGATAATTTGGAAAGCTTAAATTGGACGTAAATCTGTTTTATTTTTAAATAAAAAAAAATTGGAAATTAAATGAAATATTTTTTTCTAAATTTTCCCTGCCATCGAACACTCTTCAACGATCGAAAATTTGTCATATATCTATCAAACTTATATAAAACATAACAAACACACACAAAACACACACAGATCCATTAAAAACAAAATTGTAAAAAAAACCTAAAAAATGGGTGTAATTGCATCTTGTCAGAAAAAGCCAACAGTAATTCCGATGATGACTTCGCTAACGCCGTCACAGATTGCGATAATTCAATCCACTTGGGCCGTTCCAGCGAAAAATGCAATCGATTCGGGCGAAGCAATTCTGCTTGCGTACTTCGAAAAATACCCGAAAAATCAGGATAAATTCAATTCGTTCAAAAATACGCCGTTGCTTTCGCTAAAAGTAAGTACATGCATGACGTGATTGTGCATCACAATTCTATACAACACGATTACAATATAATTTACTTCAAAAATGAAGAGAAGGAGTCCAACAGAGACGAGCATAATCCATGCTGCTATCATCGCATCACACCAAAAAGATATGTGAATCTGTACGACCTGGTTTAAATACGATGTGAAATTGTGGTTTTCCATTTCGTGTTACAATCGCCTTAGGTGTTTTCGCATGTGAACTAATTAATTATATTCCAAATTTGTGGGACTCGGTGCGTGTACACGAAATGCCAAACACACGTCTTTGCAAGGACTCTTTTTTTGTCAGACATTTTTATTCCTTTTATTTTCAATTTCTATTTGTTTCTTTTTCTGTCTCATCAAAAAATGGTAAAAAAATAGGGAACTCCCGGATTTCGTACCCATGCCGGACGAATCATGACCGTTTTTCAAGAAGCGATATCGAGTTTGAACAAGAAAAATTATGTCGACGAACTAGAACAAATTTGGAATAAAATCGGTGAAACACACAACAGACGAAAAATTTCCCGTCAATCATTCAATGTGAGTATTTACACAGACAACATGACATTATTTTCATTTCGTCGTTGAAACAATTTTGAAAACGTACTTCTTTGATTAGGAACTCCGCGATGTGATTGTATCCGTGTTGGTGCAAGTGTGTTCATTGGATGACGAAGCAAAAACAGCTTGGGGCGCATTCTTGGATATCATTTACCATATCGTCTTTTCAAAACTCGATGAAAAAACTCCATATTAGCCTAATGTCTGAATGTATCGAATTGCTTTGAAACTCGTTTGTAACATATAATACCGGCACCATAATTCTATAGAAAACAGTTCTTTTTATACACACACGAGATTCTAAATTTTAAGCTAATTACATTGTTTCATCAATCGACTCTTACTAAATGCTCGATTCTCACGAAATATGTTTTCAAGTATAACGATCAATCAATAAAAATCTTATTCTGAAATCAATTATATCAACCGACTTGACTCGAATTAAAAACATTGACTTTTACAGCGGAATTCGTATTAAGTACTTTGAATGTTATCAACTTTGGAATATATGCCTTTATTCAACAGCACAATAACACCAAAATCCAACTCACATCACAGCTGATATACATACCATGGCCATACACAATGGTCACTTTGAATAATCAAACGGAATTCGTTGCACCGATAAAGCGGAAAAAATAACAATTTGACGAACGACAGGAGCGGCAACTAATGCGATTCATTTATTCAATTTTATTTAATTAAATTCTGTTTTTATTCATATTCTGCCTACATTTGGAAAACAATCAACTAAACACTTTAGAAATTGTCCAGTGAACCGGATAATCAAACGTTTTTTGTGTAAAACACGTTCAATGATTCATTTTGAAAAAAAAAAATCTCTTTTGTTTTCCGACGCTCAAATTGTGATTATATTCTTCAGAAGCCTTGAAACGTAAGCTGTTGATGAATTTTTAAGGAAAATTCGGTCAATGGCTCAAAAAATACGTAATATCATACTCTGTAACGATTTTTATTACTTAATTTTCGACCAAGCCCATAGACAAAATGCACACTCAAAAAAATCTTAAATTAATCGACACATCACAGAATATCGAAGTGTGAAAGTATAAAGCTATTCCCAAGTACTTGGGCGAAGCGTTTAAATAAAGTAATAAAAATACAAGTTTAATGACCACTAACAAAGCTGTAGTCATCTCATTCTCCCTCGGAGACTCTTATAGGTATATTGCAGTGTGAATAATACACTCTATTCTCGTATGTAAAATAACGGTAGCTGTTGATGGTTCTTTTTTCAATCCACTGTAACATACATACCTTCTCTATTGTTTCACATGTTATCGCCCCGTTGCGAGATGCTTTGCTTGCGATGAAATTTGATGGTATTGTTCAAAGTTTCTTTCATTATTTGTTTAGTCGTCTAATTAATTTTAATGATGCTTGGGTAAGTATTGACCATAGCCTAGCCACCTACCATATGACGTGCATATTTGTCAAATAAAATTCGCAAATTTAAAACTTATGAAATTCAATATTTTTCAAATATAAAATTACCACGCAACAAAACGTACTGCACTGACATTGTTCATCAGGTGTTCAACTCATACGTAAGAGTTTTAAACGGTAGGACTACTATTTTTGGAACTATTACAAATTCCAAAAACACAATTGAACTGTACATCGTTTATTTGCTTATTAATTTTCCATATTTGTCAAATTAAACAAAATTGAAATCCAACTCATTGTTTTTTTTTTGTAAATAAAAATATATATATATTTATGTTTGTCAAAATATTATTAAATACAAAGATAATTAATTGAAAGAAATTGAATGTTATGAGAAAAAAAAGTCCACAGAGACAACTTTAAGGCACAAATACTTTGTTATGATATTAACATCTAATTGACTTGTTTTATGTGTGCAATATATATATTATCATTAATTTGGCTGGCATTAGTTGGATAATTAAAAAAGTTTCTTTTCACTGTCTCACTAAATTCGGTGATATTTGTACGAGAACACAATAATCTAACTTCGATGTCGTTAATTGTTATTATAAGTACACAAAAACATGGCATTAATTTAAATTAAAATACACTTTGCCGTTAAATTGAAATAAAAGACTGAATTTAGGCAACGTTTCGGTATTTGGTGAAAAGGCTATAGAGAACACGAAGTGTGGATTTTAAATCCATGTTGACAATGTCTTCTGGCCGGGCTTTTGGCTTTGGTAGGCCAACATCTTGCATAAGCTCAAAGGAGAACGCAACATTGTCCACCTGAAAAAATCACAAGATATTTTCATTGAGTCACAAAAGAGAAAACACAAAATCATTTTCACAGACATAATTTGACAATTGAAAAGTGCCAAATTGCATCCTTCTTTTAACATTTTGATTTGGCGTGATTTGTTCCTTACCATATGTTCGACAGTCTTTGGTGTCAGATGAAAATCGTACAATGGCACAAAGAAGCCGCCAAGCAATCCCATTAAAAGGCACAAATAAACGCCGTCCTTAAAGTCGCTGTTCAAACTATTTACCTCGAAATTGAGTTTATTCAAATGTTTGTTGACAAATGTGATCAACGACTGAAAATAAGAAGAAAAATGCCTTTTTAGTATGTCTCTCAATTAAATCGCTTTCTCGTCATACAAAGTACCTTCTTAACAACGGCCAATTTATCTGGTGCACAATCGAATAGTGTATCGAATGCATCGCGTTCACACCTCATGCCGACGTCATCGTACTGCGATGTGAGTTGCTCTTGATATTTTTGTGCACTCAATATCGTTCCGTTCTTCTGTGCAATGACTACAGTCACATACACATTCTCGGGCAAACGAACCGGAGCACGAAAATGACGAACCAAAGAGACAAGCAAATGTAAGATGGCCACCATATTCTTTGAATGTACACTTTCCACATTCCATTTTGGCAATTTTTGATGGAAACCAAGAGTCTGAAACAGACAAAGGTAGAAGAATTGAATTAAGGCTATTTCCATGCAAACTATGCAACTTACGTGATTAACGGCATTCAAAACAATTTGCAATTTTTGACGTTGTCCCTCTTCGGATTGAGTCACTTCGGGCACATCCAATTTACGGCCGGTTAGTTTTTCAAGTAGTTTGTGCAACACCTGACCATCGTATAGATCTTCTTCAATATTTTTAACGATGATCCGTTCATCGGCCAGCTCATCATTTATCCAATCAATCAGAGTTTGAATGAGCTCCTTCACCGACGAATCATTCAGAGATTGGGGCTGAATTATGGCACGAGATTCGTTGTCACCTATTTGAAATATAAACAAAAACCAATGTTGAACAATTGACATAGTGACCCCTTTCAAAGTGTTACTCACGCAAAATATAATCTTCTGGTGGGATTTCTGGGGCATTTGGTGCACCCGGATCATCGATTGCATGTCGTCCCTCTTCCTGGACTTCTTGAACTGAAATTAACAAAAAATCACAATTCAATTGATTGCGTGGGTATTTTTTTTATATGCATGACAGTTGCTGAACGTATGACACAAAGTCTGTGAACCAAAAATCGAATATTCCATATTAATGATACTCAATCCAAATGTATTTATTTGTAAAATCAAAATTGAATAGCAAATATTTCGATTGTTTACAAATTGCTTGTGGAAATGCACTAAAAACATTCGGATTCGAGAAAAAAAAAATCAATTCATTCCATATAAGGTAAACACAACACTGAGTCATAGAGCACAGATCATTAGAGCACGAATTAATTTACAAAACCACAACATTTGATATTTTACCTTCCTTAATCCGCTTCTTTCTGCCAATGGTTCCAATTTTATCCCAGAAACTTTCTCCCTCATTCTTGGAAACGGGAGTTTTTGGTGATTTTGGGCGAGGCGATGCCATTTTTTCTTTCAATATAGTTTCTGAATCTTGTTATTGTTTTTTATGTTAATTGTATTGAATGACATTTCCTCCATTCATGAACACATTCTATGAATTTACGTCATTTCGAAACTCTACTACGTTTTCGAAAATGGATATTTAGTGGAGATAAAAACCGCAATCAATTTGATCAAATTATTTCATATAATTCGGTGTATTCTTTATTCTTATGGAACTTTTGAGGAAAAATGGCATAGATAGCTAAATATGTCAGTAAAGTCAAGAAAAAATAATGAAAAGTTTTTTACATAATACACCGAACATGATTCGATCTTTTTTTACCTGATTGCCTGCATTCAGGAGTTTTTTTTTTTTTCAAAGTAACGGTCTTGCGTCTGTTTTTCTGAATGTATATGAATTTATTGAATGTTAAGCACTTTGGATAAACGCATTGATATTTTGAAGTAAGTTTTTTTCAGTATCAATCTTAACCATTGTATCTTAATTTGGTTATGATTAATAACCGAGTAAAGAAGTAAACTCTGCACAGAAGTGATAAAAATAACTCATTCAAACGTTCTCAAAATATATATTGCAAAAACTCAAATAAATAATACGTTCGTATTGAAATTTCGTTTCAATTGTTTGACGTAATAAATTCGCTTTTTTATCAATCGCGTCATCTACCTACGCACTTTAATCCAAAGAAATGGATTAATTTACTCCAGTTGGACTTTGGCATGTCAATATGTTGGTGTTCAATCTATTTCTGTAATGAAGTGCAAATTCGATACAAGTAAGTAAACAACTGTTTATATTCATAAACTTTATTTTTTTATTTTTTTACCATCAAAATATATCAAAATCTTTAGCATGTAGATTTTTGTTCTCTTTTTAAAATTCTTTTTTCAAAATGTAAAATTTGATTGTGTGATTTTTTTTTGTTAATTTCTGATTCAAAAACTTTCTCAAATAAGTATTGTTTTTTAGTGAATTCTTTCATCGTCCAAATTAATTTCGCTCAATATTTCCATTAGATCCATTGATTAGATCCATTAGATCGTTATCAATAATTTCTTTCTTTAGATCGGCTTTTTTAAGGAAGAGCGGGTATATGGTATTAAGACGGTCTTTGGTCAAGTGATGCCCTAGTTTTTGGCAACGATAGGCCAGAGCTGCTCGCCCACTTCGAGCGGTCAATATGATAGAACTTTGCTCGGCTCCAACATCTTCGGGAGCGATAATCTCGTAGGTCTTACGATGTTTGATGATGCCATCTTGATGGATGCCAGACGAATGTGCGAAAGCATTAGCTCCAACGATGGCTTTGTTTGCTTGGACAGGCATTCCCATGTATTCGGAAACCATATCGCTGGTAGAGCAGAGCAGTTTCGTGTTGATGTTAGTATAAAGATTCAGGTGTTTGTATTGTTTGATAATCATGACAATTTCGCAAAGTGCTGCGTTTCCGGCGCGTTCGCCGATACCGTTGATGGTGCAATCGACTTGACTTGCTCCGTTCATCAAACCGGCTAGAGAATTAGCAGTGGCCAATCCCAGATCATCATGACAATGTGTAGATATTACGACATTTTCGATGCCATTGACATTTTCGTTGAGAAAACGAATCTTTTTTCCATAATCGTCTGGTAGGCAATAGCCTGTGGTGTCCGGTATAGAGAGAGCCGTTGCTCCAGCTTTGATGGCAGCTTCGCATACTTGCGCCAGCATGTCATTATCAGTACGGCCTGCATCTTCGGCATAAAATTGAACTTCTTCGACAAAACTTTTTGCATATTTAACAGCCTCTACAGCCCGTTCGATAATTTGCTCCGAGTTGCTATTGAACTTGTATTTGATATGGTGAGGTGAGGTGCCAATGCCGGTTTTAATACGTGGATACTCAGCGTAGCGTAGCGATGCTGCTGCTACCTCTATGTCTTTTTTTACAGCCCGACTGAGACATGCTACTACGGGTCCGTTGCCAACGGCTTTGCAGACTTCTTCGACCGATCGGAAGTCACCGGGACTAGATATTGGAAATCCAGCTTCAATGATGTCCACTCCCAATGCTTTGAGTTGCTTGGCGATTTTGACCTTTTCGCATGTGTTCAGCTTACAGCCCGGAGTTTGTTCGCCATCACGTAAGGTGGTGTCCAAGATTTTTATCCTTCTCATCTTCTCCATATTTTCAAGGCTAAAGCTATTTTTATATTGAAAAAAATATATTGAATTGGCGACAATTTATGACTAATATTTGTATTTTTATCATGTTTCTCATATTATTTTTTTTAATGATTTGTATCTTTTCAGCAGATCAAAATTTCATTAAAAACAAAATACGTTATATTTCGAGTTTAGATTATATTCATAAAACACTGTTCTTTATTTAAAAAGCATGTTTTGTTTTACTTGATATAATGCAAATAAAAAGTACCTTTTATTTTGTGATGAATTCGATTTGGAATTTATAAAAATCACACAAATATTCACAAGTTCACAATTTTAAATGAAATTACTCGTTTTTGGAATAGGGCGGAAAATTAGGTGCTGCTCTTTTGCTAGTCTCTTAACAACTGTGGGGGTGAATGGAAAAGGTTCGTATATTGATAATAAAATGTTTTTGGCGGCCTAGAGAACAATTATGTTTGTTTTTGTTTATCACGAGATCGTTCACTTTAGATATTACCGACACAGACGCGTACAAATCCACAGACATGCCGATTTAAATACAATTTCGAAAGCAATTTCTTCATCGCGAGATGCGACGTATCGATTTCATATTTATTGCACCTGTGTACACGAATCATTGCCTATACCAAATACATTTTGCAATTCTGTTTCAATTACTTGGGATTATTTCGAAGTTTTGATATTAATTCTCGGACTTTTTATATTTTTCTCGTGAAATTTTCGATGAAAAGTAATTGTTTACCAGCAAAATGAGAGAGAAAAATGAACATTTCAGTACTTTATGTACCGAACCTGATACGATTTATGCTATTTACTTAGTAATGTGATTGCCTTCATGCAGGAGTTTTTTTTAACGTATAAGAACAGTTCGGTGGCTCCGTTATATTTGGACGATTTCTTTAAAATTCAAAACAACAATCAACGTCATTTTAGAGTAGGTTAGTGTTGTCGTTCATTGCCATGACAACGTCATTACCTCGATCTTTCAATATCAATTTACCCATTTATGTAATTCTTCTTATTTTCTTTCTGTAAATTATAGTCATATTTATTACGGCTCCAATCATAAATTATTAACACAATAAAAGAAAATAAATGACAAATAAATTAAAATCCATTTTACAAATGCCGCGATGATGAATTGTTTTCATTTCTGATATGATAGTACTGTTTGCTTAATACATTTTATTAAATGTTTGATATTTACAGCGTAATCGGATCTTAAGACGTGTTGATAACCGAACTGTGCATAGTTCAGCACAGAGAGTTGTTGTTAAGCCCAGAAAAATGATAAGTATAACAATTTTGGGCTCATTCAAATCTTCTCAACATCAATATAATTCAATTATGTCGCAAATAGAAAAAAAATATTACCCTGAATCAATACAATTCCACTTTAAGATAAAGGTTCAAGTTATATTGGTGTTGTTGTGGTATAATGTAAGCATAGTCCTTGTTTCAAGTATTTGAGATGATAAGACGATCGATAGAGTCAAGTACAGAAGTCTGCTCACTTCACTCCATATTTATTCATTCAAACTCACTCAATGAAATTAATTATTTTCGTCCAGTTTGGCATGGCAGTAAGTCTATTTTTGTAATAGAAACCCCGGTTTTGTTTCAAATTTTTCAACAATTTTAACATTGAACTTTATTTTTGTACAATCAAAATAGTATATAATATAAATTCTTCCATACATTCAACTTTCTCTTCTACATATAGATTTTTTTGTTGTTGAATTGTTATTGGTGTAGATAAATCGTTGTGTTAGTTAGATTTGTTTTGTTGTTTTGTTTTTTTATAAAGCTGATTATTGTGCTGTTATCATCTTAAATTGAAATATGTGGCTTTACTTTCATTCCTTTCGATGTGTTAGTTTACTTATTTAAACAGATTGTTGATAGAATGGTTCCGACAACGGAATATGGATCACAATTGGATGATGGGCGACGATCTTCGAAGTAACCGCAACCAGCATCGGCTACACCACGGGGAATGCGAATTGAAGCACCACGATGAGCAACACCTACATTATTGGAAAAATATAAATTTCACATGAAAAACTTGCTTCGATTGATGCCACTTTTGACTAGCAGCCAAAGGGCGATTTTAAATAGATTCTTAAGAAGTCAAAACGTTTCACTCACCGGCGCTAAAATCATGAATTGAACTGGTTTCGTGTCGGCCAGTCAAACGACGTTCATTGTCTTTTCCTCCATTTGGATCGTAGGCTTTGATGTGTTTTTCGTGGCATTTTGATAACTTATCAACGGCATCATTGATGGTTGTAATTCCGCCCTTTTCACGCATCGATTTTGTTGATACATTTGTGTGTGCACCAGCACCATTCCAGTCACCGGTCATTGGTTTTGGGTCGAGTGTGGCAACAATCTGTAAATTAAATTCCAAAATGAATACGATGCGTAAAGAGAAAAAGACATGATTTTTTTTAACTTACGCCAAATTCTTCGGAAATTCGGTGTAATAAGAAACGTGCAACCCACAAGTCATCACCGACACTAACTCCCACACATGGTCCAACTTGGAATTCCCATTGTGCAGGCATAACTTCAGCGTTTGTACCGCAAATCTTAACACCAGCATACAAACAGGCACGATAATGAGCTTCAACGACATCACGACCGTATACTTTATCGGCACCAACACCGCAATAGTATGGCCCTTGTGGACCGGGGAAACCATTTTTGGGCCAACCAAGTGGTTGTCCGTCAATGTCCAACAAAGTGTATTCCTGTTCAATTCCAAACCATGGTTCTTCGGCGGCGCATTTGGTTGCAATTTCGGCACATTCTTTGCGATGATTGGTGCCAGTTGGTGTGCCATCATATGAGTAGGTTTCGCACAATACTAAAATGTGTTTTCCACGACGGAATGGATCCTTGTAGATGGCAACTGGATGCAAGTAGACATCAGAGTTGGTGCCACCAGCTTGGTATGTTGAACTACCGTCATAGTTCCAAATTGGAAGTTCTAAAAATAAAATAGAAAATAAAAAAAACCGTTTTAGATATGATAATCAACGAAAATACACCGTATCAACGACAAACATGTGTTAGAATTGATGTGCATTTATTCAATTTATTGAAAATAAAAGCATCCTGCTTTTTTTAACCGATAGAACAAATCGTTTCGGTTAATGTTTTTTTTTCACATACAATTTTCATGTCGTTATCCAATAAACAGCAATAATAATATGCTATGTTCTGACGTTGATGGGCATGATTAAAGGGGGCTTGAAAACGTTTGATGATTATGATTCGACACCAATTTACTGCCGGCCGATTTGTCTATATATCTGTGCCTAGCACTCGTTTTAACATGATGAGGGCGATTGAAGGTGAATTATACAGAACGCAACTCATTCGATTGGGATCGCAAATAAAAAAAAATATATCGCCATGCTTTAGTTTACAGTGTAGAAAATTAACCAATTTTGGTTTGTGAGACAGAAAATATAAAACGCAAAAGACATGTTGTTTTAATCAATTTTGTATCATTTGGGACGAAGACAGAGCTGCGAGACAAAGGAGAATAAAATTAAGCACACGAATATAATCAACAGAAGCCGTTCACATTCAAGTCGAATTGAAACTGTAGAAGTGCAATCATATTTCCATCCTTGAACCGCGCACAAACACTCATTTCTCTTTCTCACACTCGCCCATAGTCTACTGACTATCTCATAAAATGTTGGATGCTCTGAATGTACGACCAAAAGTTTCGGTCCTTAAAATAAGCAAAACTCAACATTGCTTACACATTCTATTAGCTCGTCTCGGCTAATCATCATTTTAATTTATTTGATTTTTGCCATTTTTAATGCGACGATAAAAAGCTGTTTTTAACTAATTCACAAAAGACTCAAAATATTTGGTTGTATTTATTGTCACGCTTCCTGCACGAAACCAGCAGTTGATCGAGAATGAATGTGGTTTTATTGCTTTTTTCGTCTCTTCTTCAAAATTACATCACAATATTTGTATCGTGTTTTTTTATTTATGGAATTTTGTCTTTAAACAAGAAAATCATGCGACATAATATTTATGTTATCATTTGCACAAATTAAACAATGGATTTGTTTTATAATAGCTTTAGATTATCTTGAAATTCATCATGGTAGTCGCCGTCAAGATAAGTCATCTCGTCAACTTCTGGCGTTTGATGCCCGGCGAAAAAGATCGCACGCTATTTTCAAAGCGTTTGTGCGTGTACTTGGTCATGGGAATCGAAAATTTTCCACTACCACCAAAACGCCCGAGTGATCGATGTGTTGCGGCTTTTTTTATATCTTTTTTTTGCGTTTTCTTCTTTCTTTTTCTGTTCCAATGAACTCCTCTATTAAGCTCTGAACCTATATTTATAGAGCTTGTGACGTCGTTATGTCAGCTGTGTTGGCACGCGCGTGCTTAACAGAGAGAAGGAATACAATACAAAAACAGCAAAATCTTGTCCGAACAGTAGCAGCTGCGATGACATTTTCAAATAGTGAACACAAAAACAAAATCTTGAACTTGTTTTCGTATAATTGCCGGTATGTTGTTCAGCTAAATGTTGTACGAGCAACGAAACGGTTTACGGAAAAGCACACACACTCAACGATGATCGTAGGAGTTACAAAATATTAATCGGACTTTGTGAACTGCGTATTTATGGCATATGTGTGTATCGTTTCGCTATGTAATTTGCATGGAATTATTTAGTTTTTTTTTGCTTATTCATTTATTCAAGGTTCACCATATTTGATAAAAAAATGTGCAATAGTACAAATGAAAGTCACAGCCGCAATGTCGTTGTAGGTTCTGAATCACTCACAACACTTTTTTTTTCACTTTTATTTTGACAAAATGTTGACTCGCTTCGAATACGAAATAATTCATGAAATGAAAGGGTTGAAAAGCCTTACCTTTTACGGATTTTGGCACAAAGTCAAGTGTACGATCTTTTGCGCGTACATTTTGTCCGGTTCCATCGATCCAAATGTAAGTTGCTTGAATTAAATTCTCTGGCAATTCCAAATTCAAATACCGATCCAACACTTTTTTGTTGATCAATGCATTTGGTGACGAATCTAAAGTTTTCGACATCTGAAACAAAAAAAAATGATGAAAATATTAAACAGATGTGAGTTCGTGACATTTGAAAAGAAAAGATCATACGCAATTTCGTAATTAACAAGAGAGGCTATTTTGTATTTTTGTGTCAAAAGGTCTTTGAATATTGGCGCCTATACGATTCCACTTATAATTTAATTAAAACTGATGGTCAAATTGTTTTGGACCAATAAAAACTCCATATAATTAAATTCAGTTGAAAAAATATATCGCGAGAGATATACAAATGACATTACAAATGTAAACTAATTGCGTCATGCACACAGAAATTATTAGTTAATTCGAATCGATCGTCTCATTCATCCATCAAACTACGAGAACTTTTTTTTAGAAAATGTACTCAAAGACGCATTTCAAACATAGAGAATATTCTGTTTGTTTTCATTATGTAGAAATGTTCAATTGATCAGAGGACGATTTAGACGTGAAGCAATAATATCAACATAAGTTACCAACAAACTCATTTTAACTGATCACTGCACACCGAATCGAAGTTAAAAAGTTTAGAGAAAAGAATCACTGTTTTCTTCACTTGGAACAATGTCACACAAGATGATGATAAAATTGTGTATATTTTTCTTATATTCTGATTGTTTTCCTCTACGATATGTTATCGCGTTGAAAAATGGTCGGAAACTGATGTTGATGTTGCAAAATTTCTGGATATTTAAATAAGAATTTGAAAGAGACAGAGAAATTAGCACTTGTTTTTGGCTGTGTGCATATGCGTATTTGTGTTGGGTGTGAATCAGTATTTACCAAGTGTAAAACATTGTTTACAACCGATACAAAGTCAAAATAGCTCGAAAATTGAACCGGTCGACCGAAAGATGGAGAGAGAGGAAGATACACAAAATTTAAAGAACAAGCAAACAGGAAAAAAACCACATGCCCTTGAATCTTGATGAAAAATAAAAGAGTAAAAAAAATGGAGAAAGAATCGCTAAAGTGCTAATAAAAAATTGGACTCGAGAATAGAGTCTGTTGGGTGGCATGTGATCAGACCGTGCACATTGCGATGAGAACATAATGAATGCTGTTCTAGATTAGAGCTTGGATACGAGCGGCGTGTGCGCCGGTACTGCCAAAATATCTTCGATCTTCTTTTTTATTCATTTCGCACACGCAAAAAAAAGGTGCTAACTATTTATAAGCACACGAAACACGAGGCAGCCAAAAAATTGATTGTTTATTCTTGCGCCAATTTCTTCGGCCGGTGCCGAATTCTGTATTGAACCTGTCACTTAATCAGACCGGCAAAGAAGTCATAAATTGTATTCAATTAGAGTGAAGTGACACAATCATTATCATTTCACACAATTATTTGCAACGAAGCACTCTCAGTAGCTGTTCAAATTACCGTGTCGATATCAATCGGCAGTAAAAAAAAGCACATCAATTATCTTTTGCTCTACATTTTATTTCTTTTGTTTGATTGTGTCCTATCTATGGTGCTGAATCAATTCAATCGCAGAACTTATATTTCGTTCAAGACGATGAAGGATGTACACTGAATATACTAACTCTCTCACAATTCAGTCCGTTTTCGGTTATCTTATCGCCAAATGAACAAAAACAAAACGTTGACCTATTATCATGTGAATGAATTACAAAAATCTTTCGAATATATTTGAACGATGCAAATTTTAGTGTGCAAACGATAGAAAAACGAACGAGTCCTGGTGAACGTTTTCATCGATTTAAACCAAAATTGAATTGGTAGCCAAAAAAAATGATACGAGCAAATGCTTTATCAGCGCATATATTCAATATTTGAACAAATATGGTATAAATTACACCATTTGTTATTTCGTTGTAATCTTTACGACCATTTTAACTATATGAAAACAATTTAATTTGCTTTCGAACTTTTTTCGTTTTCGGCAATTTCAATCAAAGTATTTGAAAATGATTATAAGTTGATTTAGTTGTTGCTCAAAGAGCCAAATTAAAAGTGATCAATACACATTTCTTAGCTCATTATCAGGCGCGATATTCTTCCATTGTGTTTTTGTTGTTGTGGTCGTTGAGCACTTGCATGAGAAACAAATAAAAATTACTAAGCGAAAGAAAGAGAGAGAGAATGAGAAAAAAGGGAAATAAAAAAAATTGTACATTGCCTTTGATAACCTACATACAGAAATACTTTTGCGTACAATACGCAACGTATAATGCCAACAATTTAGTAATTATTTTTTACATTTATTTTTCAAGCAGCACGAGATTCGTTTCACAACATCACCAACAATAATAACAAACAATCAATTACTATGATTGATAAAAATAAAATGGAGTGGACAAAAAATACAAACAACAGCAGAAAAAAATTTAAAATTAAATCGCTTGTACCAAACAAAAATCGTGAGCTAATTCACTGAAGTAGTTGCCAAGGTAAGATAGTCAAAATAATCAAATTTTGAATTTGTTTGAACTTGGATACTGAAGTTGCTCAGTTTAAACAAATAATGAATCACATTGTCTAGGAAACAAAGAAATCAGTTCCATGCCATTGCAACTGGCTATTTTTAACCAGATTGAACAGCACACATGTCATATATGCTACACACAACAAATGCTATTGAACTTTCGAACGATGCGATAGAGTACAACTTTTTTTTCGGATAGCTTTTTGTTTGTTTTGACTGATAGAGAGAGAGTACATCATTGGAATTTAATCTAAATACTGAAAGTGAGTATTTTATCGTAGTTGTATTGGTAAAAAAAATCGTCAAAAAGTTCATAGCAATCGTTGCCTATTTGTGAATCGCTTGAATTATCGTGGTTTTTATCGCATTTATCGTAAATGATAATTTGTTCTTGAATTATCTAACTGTATGTGCTCAATTTATCTCCTTCTTTAACTATGTGTATTTTCATTGGGATACAAAGTTTGCGCTCGAAAGTAATTAGATAATCGCGATAGAGAGAGATAGAGACAGCGAGCGAATACGAAGTTCACCTTCAGAGCCATAAATGGTCTTAGATAGCCTACGATAAGAAAGTTTGCATGTCGAGTATAACTTTATCAAGTAAATTTACCATTTCTGTTCGTACATTTTCCAATTCAATTTTCCAGATCGGCACACGATAATGCCAATGACCCTGAAAATTCATCATAAATTCGCTTGCGTAACCACAATCATCCACGTTTTGCCACCATCATTATTATTGCTTCTAAACAACGTCTTTACCATTCAAATGTTCTCATATGGTTGATTGATGTTGAACGTAAATGATTATTGGGGCGACTATTAATCACTATCAAATATCGTTAATCAATTTTGAAATGCAAAGTTTGCATTTTTAATTTGATTGCCGTGAGTATGCAAAGAGACACTTTGTATTATTCCACCATTGTAATAGAAAAATAAATGTGCTTGGTTGTCTTTCGAAATGGAATTGACATTTGTATGTCGTACAGACCTTAACTAAGACGCATTTGCAGAAAGTGAATAGAGTTGCAAAGCGCTATCTCAACATCTGTTGTGTATGCATTGATAAATTTTAATTGAGTCGTTTTTCTCGTAATATGCACACAATTGCATTCATTGTCACAATTTACTTGAGATTCATTGCATATTGCGTCTAATACGGCAAAGCGAAAAAGGAAGGAATAATCAAAATGGGAACTCGTTACATCCCACGCATTTCGAATTGTCATCAATTCTTGTTCAAACCGTTCAAACGAGCAATTTATATTTTCTTATCATCTGTTGTTTGCACATACATTAATCACCTTGACAATGAAAATTAACTTAAAACATATGACGACCTGAGTGAGTCGACTGAGTGCCGAGGGAAAAGGCAGAGCGAAATAATATGATCTTGTTGAATTGGATTGTGCATATATAATAATTTAACGACGGGACTGGTTTTTTTCGGTGCCTCTGGACATTCGATACATATTTAATTGAAATCGATCAACGGCGGGGCGGGTTTCGAAACTCGGTGTGCACAAACGAACGCATACAACCTCATATTCTAAACAGACGTTTTGTTTTGTTCAGTTATTTTTAGAATCTGATTGCCACAGTGACACACTACGCAACGAAAGTCTTTTTTATCAAACGTACAGTATGTGTGTATGCGATAGGTTTGTGTCGATTAGCTTGTATGCATGCATGCATTTCATTCTCAGTGACCATGGATAAGTGAGTTTTTGAGATGTTTAAATTGTTGATTTCATCATACACAGCACTTCAATGACAAAATGTAATTTTAAAATTTTATAAAAGTTTACTCAATATACACATTTGTTTCCTGCTATTTCTCTCCATGTTATGATCGAATCGAAATTGATTTGTTTTCTATTCAATGCTGTATTTGAAACAATGTTTCTAAATTTATTTATATTACTGATATGCCAATTTCAGGGGACAAAAGAATCAAATTTCTCTCATTTAAATGCGGAACAAGAACCATTCACATTGTCTAAGTGATTAATTGGCTTTTAATTATATGGACTATGTGACTAATACAATGTTTACCAGCGAAATATCTAACAGGACTGAAATTTAGTATATCAATGTTATCAGTCATATCTTATGTGTTTTGTTTCATTAAACGTGCCTGTCACTCATTTTATCATACCACGTCATATTCCATCTCTGGCACACGAGTTCGATATAATTATTGCGACGAAATATTATTAATTTAAAACCGAAAAAAACCTTTCTCTGAGTCATTTTGGTGGTTGACATGTTTATGCTATTCTAAGTCGGAAGAGATAGAGTTCACGGGACTTTATTTTTTGGTAAACAAATTGAGTGAGTCAATAAACGGTTGAACAAACAACAATCATGATATAAAAAAAAATGTGAATAACAAAAACAGCTGGGAGAATCGATCGAATAACAAACGAAATAAAAATTCTATTCTTGATAAAAATTATACAGCTCACTTTGTGATAATTATTAATAATATTCACGCGCAGAAGAGGAACCAACATCGTACGATTGATGAAAAAAAAACATCATACGATTGAGTCCATCAAACAAATGTGGGGCATTTCACTGAAAAAATATGTGTTTCTACGTCCCAATGGAGAACAGAAAAAAGAGAAGAAAAAAAGCAGGAAATTGTGCAGAAATTTATTACCTTTTAGCGACAATCATATGGAAATTCGATACACTGCTTAGAAAAATAAGCATACTTTGAATCAAATTCCATTCAATTATGCATTAAAACCGAAAAAAAATTTGCATATAAACTCTTGAACGGCCTTAATATCGGAATATTTGGTTGATTATATGGCTCTGCGTTGGTTATTGATAAAACGGGCACTATCAAAAATTGAGAATTTTATGGCTCATTTGGAAAATATCGCGGTGAAAATGATGCTCACTAAATGGAAACCGTATGATACATTTAATCGTTTTTCATCATGCCATTTTCAACGTTTTCATCAATTTTTCACATATTATAAACAAAATAAAAATTCGTTCGAAATGAAACAAAAAAAAAATTATTTTTGGATCACATTCACACAACACTGTTCAGGAAGAAAATGTTTTTTTTTGTTCGGCTAAATATTCATTGAAAGTGATACGTACCTTGAATTTTGTGATGAGTTCTACTTGGAATTTATACGAATCACACAAATTATAACTAATTCACGATTTTAGGTGAAAATGCTTGCTTTTTAAATAAAACGGAAAATTACTCGGCTCCTTTTTTTGCTGGTCTCTCGACAACTATGAGTGAATGCTACAGAAAAATCGACAAGACTAAAATAAAAATGAAATGTTTTTTCAATTTATATAGTGTTGTGTGTTGATCAGCTCACTGCGACGCATTGTTTCTCGCTCATTCGAATTGTTTATCTCTTTTCGGCTCGTTCATTTCAGCTATCGGTTTGCAATGGTGTGATGTCGATTGATGCTATCTGTTGCTTTGTGCTTTTGAAGCCGCATTTGCGGAGCCGTTAAGCGTATGCTTGCGAAATGTGTATGACGAACGGCTGGCTCATATGTGTTACTCCAATACTCAAGTAATTGATATTTACGCACTTATATATGTGGTCAGTGTTCGTTTTACACAGTTTTGCTACCAAACAGAGCCCGAATGATACAAACTATACCGTATGCTGAGAGTGAACTACGATTGGATGCACGTGTGTAATATATTTGCGGCGCGGACGATATGGCGGTGTGTAGTAATAATATTTTTGTTCATTTTCATTGCGCTGTGCTTATCATTTTCGGTACGAAGAGAAAAAACACTCGACATTGAGTGGCTCGTGAATAGAGCGCGATTATTACAGAAACGATACGATTTTTTTTGGAAGAAATTGCTCATTTTGTTTTGTAAGACTATGCAAGGCACACACACACACACAACAGTCTCCAAATGAATCGATTTGCTGTACTCCAAATTTATTGGCATTTTATCACATCTCATAGAATGGGCAAATATGCGAGCCCAAATACGGAATATCAATGAAATTACACAGGAAATAAAATTTCGGAGAAATGTAGACAAAATTGCTTCCATGGAAATGAGGTGCCAGAGATGGCGAACAAGTTTGTGAAAAAAAATTGCAAATATTCACTCCAACGTATTTAATGACTCTGTTTTGTATGAGCGCTAAGGTGACATGGGTATTTTTTATATACGTCGTTTTTCTAGCAAATGAGTGCATGAGAGAGGAAACATTAAAGCGTGATAATCATTGCAAGAGGTAGACTCTATTTTATATATGAGGACATTTTTTTCTCGAATTCCCCAACAAATCTCATATTACACGTCGGGTAGCTCGGTTTTGTGTACATTTTTGGGAGCAAATAAAATCGCGCAATTTTGTTGTACAAAGTTCTTTTTTTTGACCAGCACACAAATTTTGTTTGCATGCAGTAATCAACTCAATGCATGAACTACTTCAAATTGATGAAAATTAAGAAGTGTGTATCATGAATTGCGAATCATCACGCGATTATTATTTATTTTTTATTCAGTCGATCCATGCCGGTCTCTTCGTGATTGTTGCGTCGCATTATTTGTAAAAATTAAGCCAGGCTGTGTGTTTGTCGATGAATCTCACAAATGCCTAAATGAGTCAATTATATAAATTCATGTAATTAACATGGCATTCGAATAGCAATTCGTTCTCAAACTTCAAAGATAAAAAAAAAACGTAAATTGTTTTGCAATTGACAGAGAGGCAAGATTAATTTTGGATTTTATTGAAATCATTCTACTAGTAGTGGATACACTGGATTTGTTATTATTTGTCTAAATGAATGATGTTTACGACACCAATTTAGCGGGCGAAGTTAATCAGTATCAGCAATAGAAGAGTGTCGAACACGAAATCGAAAGAGAAAGGAAACAAAAAACGTCACAGCTAAATTAAAATGTGATTTTTCGTACGTGAGTTCGCAGAATATTCGACGATTTTTCGCATATATCGTATTCTATACGTTAAAGCTATAGCTATCGTCGTTGTCTCCGCCGTCATTTATGACGATTCAAACACATTTCGTGCTTCAAATACAAATAGCGTTTATCAACACTCAAAGAGATAGAGAGAGGGGGAGAAACTGTTTCGATATTTTTATTTTAAAGTTTGAATTACAAACCTGTTAAACCAGATTCGGTGATTGATGGCGACGATGTGAACATATCAAAAATACAAAATGTTAGTTAATTTCAGCGAGTCGGCAAATGAGGTGTTCAACTATTGTCGATTTACCTTCATTGAACGTTCAACATGGGCATTGATAGACGATTTCATGTTTGAAAATGTTGTACTACCAAAATGAATGAGCTTCGATATCGAAAAGAACTTCGAACTTTGTTTCAGACAAACGTTCTGTTAAACTCTGTTCAATTTCTTGTAGCTCGTCAACAAAGGGTATGAAGATAAACGCTTTTAGGTGATAAAACTAATCTTTATATCTGCTCGAAAATTTCGACGCTCAAAAGTGAGCAATGATTGACAAGTTTCCATCTTTTATGATTATCAATTCAGAATGGCGTTCGTAAATGTTGTTGTCAGTATTGAAAAAAATAAACTTCGCATCAAATAATTTATGGTCCATCGTAAAATGTTTCATTTTATCGGTTTCCTTTAATTCAGAATTTCAGTCTAAAAAAAACCATACATCCAACAAATGTTTCAGCGTTGAGCGTGCGATTCGACTACCCATGTATGTTTCTACCCAACGAACATTTGTTGTGGCAAATTCATCCATTATCGGGCATATGTTGACGGTCAATATTGGGGTTGGATTTGTGTGTAGTTTCAGTCAATTTTTCCGTCAAAATGGAAAGGAAAAAAAGAAAAAAAACAATTCAGTTAGATTGAATGCAAAAATAAACTATCAATTCAATAAAGTACTCACCTACGGGTTCTTTTATATTCCGCACAGCCCTAAATAGGGACCCGTACTGCGGTCAAGGGTACAATAGAAATCCTTGGATTTAAACTATTCACGCCTAGTAACTAACAAAATTGTTAAAATATTCTTCTTATGATTATTGTTGATTTTATGCTGCTATCAGTTGACATTGTTCGCATGGTGTGGATTGTCAGGTCTCTTCAACGAATCGGGCAATGGTATGCCAAAAAGACGACACATTCCTATAAAATCAGAAATAAACACAAAACATTAATCAATTAATATGAACACTGAACACCTAACGCTCTGCTCTCTATTCTCAATTTAATATTAATACAATATACAATTATGCACATACCTTTGAATAAAATATTCTTTGCGGCAACAATGTCACGGTGCCAAATGACTACGTGTTCAATCATGTCTTCTGGTGCAGCATCACCCAATTCATGGTATTCTCGAGTTAATGACCAAGTTTTGAAGATAACTTTTATCTTTGGCACTAAACGCTCGATGTTCTCACGATCTGGATTGATTGCTCTCTCTACAATTCGCTCTTTTTTAAGCTCTTGTCTGCTCAAATTCGTCACAATTATCGGTGGTAGTCCAACAATCGGTTTTGGTATGCAATTTCGACAAATTTTGAATCGATGATTTTTGGTTTCTCTTGGAAATCGCTCGTGACAATTGGCACACGTTATTGATGTACCCCATTCATCTTGAAAACTGACCTTTGTGTGCTCTTGTTTCTTGAAGCTGGTCGCCAATTTACGCGTTCCTGGGCATCTTTTCCGCTTCTTTATGCCCCATGGCCGATTTGGTGCCATTTCTCCAGCACCAATCCAAATCCAAGACGGTTTGTTGTTCGTTACCCGCATGGCAACTTTATCACTTGTTTTGGTAGCCTTGATGTGGTGATCGAAATCCAATCGTGCATATTTTCGAGTCGCATATGCTTGCATTCCCATTCGTAGCATTTTGATGCGATGCAGAATGTACGCTTTCCATGTGGATCCACGCGGCGATGGTATCACTGGGTACGACTTGAAATCCATTTGTTCTTCTTCAACAAACCACCAGGTCAATCGATCTGCCTTTCGATCTCTCTTCTTCTGCTCGGTTTGCCAATGAAATCGTGGATTGGATATTTTAATGTTTTCCTGTTAAATAATTACGTCAAATTTCAATCACGTTCCGAAAAAAAAAATGTATTAACAAACTTAATTTACCTCAATGTTTGAATTGATATGGCGGCGCACAACGGCCACCCACGTTTTCTCGTTAGGATCGATGGCACTAGCATATGTCATGTTGTTAAATGTGGCCTGCTCCGAATTTTCCACCCAAGCCTTCGCTGGCTTCTCGTACAATATTGACACGCAAACACTATTGGTGATGATTTGCGAGTGAAACCGCTTCTGCTTGCCGATTTGTTTGATTTTATCCATGTCGAAAACCAAATTCCACAATTCATCTCTATGGCCGTTCATGTAATAGTCCAGTGTGTATTTGTTCATTCGATTGGTCAGCGGATTGCGAGAACTGGGCACCACTCCTAGTACAGTGTTCGCCAAATAATACATATCTTTCATATCCAATCGAACGTTTTTCAGTTGGAATCGGCATAACGGGACAAGTGCGAAATTGTTCACTTTTGGCGGTCGATTGTTCATTATCAATCCATCGCGACGGAATGCATGCCATTGTTGTGAATATTGATGAAACACTTCGATTTGGCGTTGCATTTGACCGAACATCCACAGTGATTGGAACCAATTGTCCTTAACGAACTCATTGACAGTGACCGGAACCAATTGTTCATTGTGAACTTTTTGACACTGCCAACCGATTCTTTCCAGTTCATACAATAAAATTTTCATCTTATTTGTTCTCTCTTCATCGCCATGTGTCAGATCTTTGTTACTAGTGGCGTACACTTTTGCGTTTCGTATATCGATGCCGTCGAATTTTGATCCATAGTATTGATGCACATTGATATTCATGTTATAATACCAGCGTTTCATTTGAAAAAACGATTCAACATGTTCTGAACAATGAGTGTTGAGATTGGTCTGATTATTTCGAATGTGATCTTGGTAGAAATAATTAAAACCATTTCCCAGGCATTCATTATCGGGCCATTCAAAATTCTCTACACCGAAGTGTGCCTCGACAATGTTACGAAAAGCTGGTGGCATTAGTTCCTCTCTGTCGACTTTATCGGCTAAAACACCGTTAAAGCACTCAATGAAAAATGTTTTACCGTTTTGTACAAAAAATTGTTGGTTCCCATCATCGATGGCTCCTTGAATTTTGTACAACGCCAACAATGATGCCAGTGACGAAATCAGTGTCATTTTGTAGCTTCGATGATCCAAAAACTGAATCACTCTGTCGCGATATTCTTCCCGTATGATTGACTTGACGCCTTGTTTTATGACTACAAGGTTCTTAATGTCGTCTTTCCTTTCGGGTGGACTGTATAAATGAAACGAAAACAAAGAAAAACATACACACTTATTTAAAAAAAAACTGGTCACAAAACAATATCGCGAAATTGCATCGAAAATCCAATGAAAAATAAAACACAGAATAAATATTACGAAAAACACTGCTTACATATTAAATTGATCCTCTCTTGATCTTGTTCTACTCATGGTTTAATCAATCAATCACAATTTCTGGTGCTTTTCCAAATATTATGGGATAGTTATGTCAATCAATACGAATCAATTTCACAATTCAAATTGTAATTTTTAATGTGTTTTTGTTGGTTCTGCTTGTAAACTGCCTGACGAAATTCAATTATTATTATCAATTTAAAGTTATTTTTCTGACTTGATGATGAGATTTAATGGTATTTCAAATAGCTTCACAGCGCGAACGGTAACTTTGAACTAAAATGAATGCAGAAATTCACCGCTATTTATAGCAAATTATTGCTGTATTGCAAAAAGTCAAGCCTCGAAAACTAAAATGACTGGAATTAAACGATTCCATTGATAAATCAATATATGCAAACAAATTTACAATATTTTCATTCAACAACTCAATCACTCCACTTTGATTTGCCACAAAACTCTGCCGAAAATGCATTTTTAAACTGGAACATGACAAATCACAAACGAGAGAATTGTCGAAATGGCTCTTTTTTTAAATGTGTTTCGATGATTTGGAATATTAACAGTAATACTTTATAAATGTTCTGTCGTTTGAATTGAAAACAAAAACAGACACAAAATATTTCCGCAAATATATCCATCACATTTCGTGAACACACGATATCGTTGTATCAAAACACTGACGAAGCACATCACAAAAACAAGCGGTGATCGGGAATACTGTTGTACGGTCAAAATTCTACAGTTTGTTGCATTCGCACTAGTATTTCGTTTACAGAAGAACAAAAACACAAACACATATTATATTGTCTTTCTCACATGTTTCGTTTCTTTGTGCTGTGACATAAAAAAGCCACTGATACAATATTAGCACTAAAATCCATTTGTCTTATTTTATCATGTTGAAAACTGAAATCGTTTGTCATTTTGAATTTAATTTGTTTGAAAAAAACAACAACAACGCAATTTTTCTGACCGCTAATAAGAACAATGAAACTCGTGCGTATGAATATCATGGATATACTCTACATTCCGTTTGACACTAAAATGGCCACATAATTATCCTTGTGAATGTGTGACTCTCTCTTTTGTGCATTTGTGTGTGTACAAACTTTCAATTGTTTATATGCGCGACCGGTTCAATATTGCATGTTTCAAACCGAAACACCGAATGAATTTGTTTATATCACTTTCCCTCACACACACACAAACTCTGTATTCGTAGCGATATTTGACTTTTTGAATTTGTCCAACTGAATTTTAGGCGACGGAGAATGCAATCGTATGAGATTGTTGTTGTTGTATACCAAAAATCATCTCTTTCTAAACTGGCGGCACTTCTCAGTATAGTTTTGGCCGCAATAAAAAAATCAATCCCGTTAAACATTGAATAGAGTGATTTGTTTGTTTGTGATACATGTTAAATCGAAGCACAAAAAATTCCTTTGCTACATTAATTCTGTTGAAAACTGAAAAATGTGAATACAAACTTTGTGTGTACTCCAGTTGAAAAGAAAACAAATCTGAATGGCAACTCATTATATTTCGTTGTGATTTTGTGTATTGAAACATTTTTGTCAATACACTGTAATTTTGTCGATGTGTGATGTTCAATATTCAACTGATCCTTGCCTTCTTAATGATGCTGGACATATGTATGAATATAAGTGATACAAAATGCAATCAAACAGCGAAAACAGTCGATAGAATTGTTGATATAAATTTTATGTAAACAAAATCGAACATTTGAATCTCATGTTACACATACTTTCATTCTTTAAACGAGTAAGAGTCAGCAAAACGCGCATTGTATCAATACCGTTGTATGCTTTGAGATTCAAACAAAAACGGCAACACATTTGAGTGAGTTTGAATGAGACTGTAAAATGTCAACGTAATAAATGAACAATTTTATTGGAAACTATGCATATAATCAACTTTCCATTGACACGAAAATTACCACCGAAATGGGTGAAAACGTTACATTTTTCAACGTTAAAATAGATAAAAAACGTTACATTTTTGTTTGCTGGGTAGTGAATAATGTTTTGTTGCTAATTACATCTTTTTTCGAATGTTTGAACTTTTATCAATTAAAATGCTCGAAGAAAAATGAATTTGTCAGTATGACAGTTTGGTTTTTATTATCTCAGCCATATTCAAGTATTTTTAAATGCAGACAATGTATTTCGATTTAGAATGATAGAATTTAACCGAGAGCGCGAAAGCGTGGAAAGAACAACTGAATCATTTAATAAAATGTCTTTAAAATGGTATGAAATTAGCACAATTGTTTCAAGCAATGAATAAATAAGTAACATGAAAAACGAGTGTTGTTTTGTTAAAATGTTGCCGTAGAGCTCGTTTCATCAAAACGATATCTCAATTCCGTAAACTAGTATACTTAGCCAAACATTTTGCAGTTGAGAATAAACAAAAATAAATCATGCAAAAAAAACAACACCAGAAAAATGTTACGCTCACTAATCGCACGCTACCGATTGTAAACACGAAAACGTTTTTTTATAAACCAATTTAATGCTTCCACAAATGAACTTTCGCTATCAATTTGAACTTATCAGCCAGCAGACGTCATTAGCTCAAATGATTACGACAACAAAAATTGCACGAAAAACTTCAATTTTATTCTAAATCAATTGGTTGGTTGTGTGTCATTTGGACATTGTTTTCAAACAATTATGATTAGGTTCATGCTATTTTCAGAAGAAAAAACAATACAGTATGCGCCCGAAAATGAACCGTTTTTCTCTTATCGCGGGGAATGTTTCAATTTAAAAAAGTCTAATAAAGCCATCAAATGCATTTTTAATTAACGCACAAAACTGGATCGAGCTCAAATATCTCCCATGTCATTTAATTTTTAAAAAAAACATGATAAGTTTTTTCATGCTTACCAGACATTTCCAGTTTTGTTGAAGCCAATTTTTTCGCAACGAATTTCAATCATTACATTATTACTCATTTTTGTTAGTTTTGCTTGTCATTTAACGGGAATAAAATTGTTAAGAAAGAAACAGTCAGTTTGTATTTCAATTTGACCTGTTATTAGACAAATAATATTTACGCCTGAGTTTACAAGGGAAAAAAAACTGAATTACCCCCCGTGACAGCTAGATAGAATGTGCCAGATCATATAATTCTATTTAATACACAATATGATAAGATTCCAACGCATGTGCGTTAAGAAAGTAGAAAAACAAACTCACAGTTTGGAAATTTAATTGTTTTTGCTAAAGTGTGAACCGTTTTCTATGCCACTTGAAACATGGCCTTGGAAAGAATGCGCAAACAAAATTGAATTCAAAACACCTCCATCAACGAATTTTCAAATTGTTTTTCACTCGATTCATATCAACCACTTGGGTTTTATTGGCCCAAAACACCAATGTAAACTCCAATAAAAATATTTTCTTGTAAACAATTACGTCAATTCAGCACCCAACTATTATTTCAATTTTCATTTGAACACAACCTTCAGTGAATTTCATACAACAGCCCAGTGTAATTCGTTGAATTATTTTACTTTTATCAAACACCGCACTCAACAAGCTTACGACTTTGATTAAATTATAAGAGATAGTTAATTAATTGGCTTAAGAACTAATTATATGAGATGAAAATATTTCTTTATTTAAAAAAAAAAACGGGTTATAACCCGTTATTATAATAACTCTGAATGAAAATATTATAACTTTAATTGAAAGTTCCAAAAAGTATGCAATCTTTCAAATCTGTGCACAACAGTCAAATGTCATGTTCAAATGATGTCATTCAATATTCAAACTAACACATTAAAATTAAGAACATTATCGGTACTGTGCCTTATATGAATATTGAATGTATCCTTTTGTTTGTGTACGTTGTTATATTGCATATGATTCACATGAATACATTTACAGCGACAATGAAGGGACGCCATTATCTTGATTTGTATTAAAACATTAGAGGTTCTCAATATGGTTCAAGATTCATTTAAGATTAATATTTGGTAAAAATGGACAAAACACCAACGTACAAAGTTCGTCATTCTCTTGGTAATCAAGAGTGTAAAAGATGTGCAAAAGAGATCACACCGCATTCGATTCAAATTGGTATCATCCTTCAAGTAAGTTGTAGCTCTTGATTCCATAAGATCATTGTTGAATTCAATAGATAAAAAAATGGTTTCTTTCTACTGAATTTTCGTGCAGTCCGACAAAAGATATACTCGATGTGATGAATGGTATCACCAAAACTGTTTTTTCAAAGTAAAAGATCCAAAATTGGAATCCGAATTCGACGGACTTGACACATTACGACCGTTCAATCAACAGGCGATAAAAGCACGCTTAGGTTTGCACTCTTACTAATTTGTTGATATTTGTTGATAACTATTTTCGTTTATTTAAATTAGGCATAACAAAAAGTAACCCAAACGAAAAAGAAACTGCATTTAGACGCAAATCTCCAAATCGTGAAATTACTAGATTATCCACTTCCAATGGGTCAAACCAAACTGTCAAAATGTAAGTATTTTAATTATTGGAATATTGTTGGAAGATGTCAAAGCAATTTATGCGTATATTATGGTTAATTCTTCTTCAATTCAGAACTTGACATTGCAATACATTGAATTGTTCTATTTACTATTTCTGTATTTTCTGATAACTAACTAGAACGAATTGGCGAGAAAAAAGAGGAGAGGATGTACGTTTGTTCCCAAAATCAAAGTCAACACAAAACCCTAATAGCTCAAATTGGCGAGTTAAAAATGCTGAAAAATTGGGGAGTGATGTAAGTATTTGGATATTATTAATTGTATCAGGTAACCTTAAAAGTATTGGTTCTTTTTTCATGGAGTTTACAACCATTTTTTATTTTTTTATTTTCAAAAGATAATTTAGAAAAAGGCCCTATATTTTTTAGGTTACCTGATTTTATTATAATTAATTGAATTTTCTCCAATATAGCCGCGTACTGGTACCAACAAAACAAATGTACCGCAGAGGAATGGAACGTCTTCGTCACAAGAAAATATACCCAAATCGGAAGGTACATGGAAACGTGATGAAGGCTTCAAACCCTTTGCAAAGAATAAACCGAAGATGTCAGAAACAAAATCCATTACTAGCGAAAAAACTGATATTTTGCGAGCAAACTATAACAACATTGAATTCAACAAAAAAGCATTTGGTATGGCTACACAAAAAATAATGACTTCTCAAAACTAGATTGTGAATTGTTTAGAATTTTATTCGTCGTCTACTTTTAAAAAAAATCGTTTAGTTTGCGAAATCCGGACATAATAATGAGATATTTTTAGCCAGATATCGTCAGGAGCTGAAATGGAGTGAAAACAATAAAAATGATTTTTATATATATATCTACTGTTTTCACTCAATTTCAGCCCCTGAAGATATCTGTCTGAGCTGATTCATCTGGCCCAAAATATCTCAATATAATGTCTGGAGAAATCATAAATGTCAAATTCTCATAACGAACAAGTAAATTATAGGAGTAATCTGAATAAGAATTCTACATAAATCATCATATAGTTTTGAAAAGTTATTACTTTGTGTGTAAAGATAAATGAAATATATTTTGAAATGTGTTCCAATTTTATATTCATTCATTAATTCAGAACCTAAAATTGAAAATTCGTCGCCGATTTCAAGCTTAATAACTGCTACTTTGTTTAATTTTGATAAAATTATCAATCATATTGAGGTATTTAATCAATTTGTTTGTAATCGCTTATTAAATCACATTCGACAGAATTGGTTTCACCTATGTGTGCTTTATTACTTCTATAGGAATTGAAAGTTTTCTCCGGATATTGCCAGAATATGAATCAAACGGATGGTAATTGCGTGAAATCGTTAAGAATATTTTATGATGGACTCAACGACACACTGGAAAAAATGCAATCAATGTTTGAGAAATCTGACGAAGATAATACTGAAGTCAATGGAATGCGAAATGATGTTAGAAATTTGCAGAAACTTATTTCCACAAGTAAAACTATTTATTTGAATTTTTATTCACGTCAATTTACTGAGTGACTTTATTTATTCAGGTGAAAAATTGATTGAAAATCAAAAATATCTTGAAGCCATAGACAAGTACACAGAAGCACTGCAATTGAAGCCATCGAACAACTTGGTTACTTTTGATTTGCTACAGCATCGTGCGCTCGCAAATTCGAAAATTGGAAACTTTCGTGATGCTGTGAACGATTGTGGCACAGCGCTGGACATTAATCCAGATGACATAAATGTAAGAGCTCTACGAGCTCAATGCCATCATTATTTAGATGATTTCGAAGAATGTGTTGTGGACTACGAGATTTTACAAAACAACAAAACAATTCGAAGCGACAGTCAAAAATGTGCAGAAGTGAAATCTCAACTGAAAGTTTGGAGAGCCGAAATGAAACGCAAGCAAGCAGACGAACAAAACTCTCTTGGCGACCAAGAATTGAGCTCACAAAATTACTATTCAGCGGAGAATTATTACAATAAAGCTATTGAATTATGGCCGAATAATGTCATTTACTATGGCAATCGATGTACGTGTTTGATTGAACGAGGTGAATACAAACGAGCACTTCAAGATAGTCGACATGCTGTTGCATTGGAAAACAGCTTCACGAAGGGTTATGAACAAATGGCAAGATGTAGTTTGATTCTTGGTTACTATGGTGTTGCCGATCATGCGATCAAAAAACTCGACGAAAATAAATCTTATGAGATTGTTTGTAACAATTTTAAAGACTTGCGCATAAAATTGCAAAAGAGTACGTCACTTTGCATCCAAAATAAAAATGATGAAAAATTCGAAGAAGCAAGTAAGTTAAAGTGATTTTTATTTCTTACAAAAAATAAGTCAATTGTTTCGTTGTGTAGTTTCGTATGCTGATCAAGGCTTGAAAGCATCGCCGGAATGCGTGAATATTAAAATGTTAAAAGCAGAATGTTTGATGCATCTTGGCAAAATTGAGGTAATGATGCGTTTTGATGTCATTGTGCTTGCTTCAGAATCTCTATTATAGTATTTTTACGAAAAACTCTAGGAAATTGAAGCAATGGAAAAAATGTGGGGCCTCTCGAATGCCGATCAATGTTATCTCAAAAGCCTTTGCTCTTACTATCATGGAAATTTGGAAGAAGCCATACTGCAGTTAAAAGAAGGCCAAAGAGAAGATCCAGATCATACAAATTCCAAACTTTTGCAAACCAAACTCGAAAAAATACAGAAAGGAAAATCAAATGGTAAATTTAATGAACATTTTGCGTATTTATTCTTTTGGTGATTTTCGAGTTATTATATTTTCAGGTGATAAAATGTTTGCAGAAGATAGATTTTATGAAGCTGCTGATTTATACACAGAAGCACTTGACAGTGGCGATATCATAGATTCGATTGCATTCCATTTGCTAAAAAATCGTGCTGTAGCTCAAAGAAAAATCGGTAATTTCCGTGATGCCATTTCTGATTGTTCCAAGGCATTGAAAATCGATGAAAACAATCTCGATGTTTTATTGCTACGAGCAGATTGTCATTCTTGCTTGGAATTATTTGAACAATCAATAAATGACTATGAGGCTGCAATAAACACTGAAACGCTAAAAAATGATGCGGAAAGATTTGAAAAAATTCAGTTAAAAATAAACAAAATGAAAGTTGATGCAAAACACGAAAAGGCAAAAAATATGAATAGTCACGCAAGTGACAGAATGGCAAAGGAGGAATTTGAAGAAGCGTTGAATTTTTACAGCCAAGCTATTGGCTTGTGGCCTGAAAATATCTCATTTTTGAGTAATCGTGCGAATTGCTATATTAAAATGGAAAAACATAAAGCTGCTGTGGGAGATTTTCAATCCATTTTGGCGACCGGTAACATATATCCCGAAGACTTCTATCAAATGATCGCATGTTTCATAATTGTCGGTGATGTCATCAATGCAGAAAAATTTACCTCGAAAAGTGACGAATTTCCAACAAAAAATGGAATTCGCATGAACGTAATAAATTCAAGAATAAATAAATTAAAGACCTATTGGTTAAAAGCGGACGAATTTTACGAGAAAAACAATTTCCAAATGGCGCGTAAGTGACAATTATATTAAAAATGAAATCATTTCCATTCTAATGTGCTTTTCACCGTTTATTTTACAGTTGAATTTATTGAAAATGCGTTAGATATTGCACACGCAAGTGCAAAACTAAAGCTATTAAAAGGGGAATGTCTTGCACTAACGGGAAATTTCATGGTATATTTTTTAAAAATTTAATTAAATTTTAATTTGCTCCTCATTTGCTCTGAGCAACAGTCTCTGATTATAATTAAAAAACCAAAATTATTCGATTAACTATAATTATTAATTTATTTTGTTATTAAAGGAAGCAATTAAAATCGCTACATCGTATATTAAGTCTGATAAATCAACTGCGGATGCTACATATGTTCTAGCGCTGTGCGTGTATAAGGACGATTGGGAAAAAGCGATAACACATTTGAAGAATGTGCTTTTATTTGACCCCAACCATGACAAAGCAAAAACAATGTTGCAACGAATAAACAAATTCAAAGAAATGGAAAGATCCGGTAACAAGACACATATTAATGTTTTTTTAAATATTTTATTAACTTAAAAAATAATCCCATAGGCAAGAAATTAATGGAAGAGAAAAAATATAGAGAAGCGATTCATACTCTAAGTGAAGCCATTGAGTCCAATCCAATTGATAATACAGATATAACAGATCTGATATTCAATCGTGCTTCTGCAAGTTCCAAATGTGGAGTCTATCGAATTGCAATCGATGATTGCACAAAATTGATTAACAATGTCAAGTATCGCGCCAAAGTTCTGGAAATTCGCGCGGAATGTTACCTTACCTTAAGATTATATTCGAAAAGTGTTCGTGACTGCGAGGCATTACTGAAACTAATCGACTCTTCATGCACGCGGACTATGTTTAATCGGGCACAGATCAAATTGTTAAACTCGTCTTCTCATAGCCATTACGATGAATTAGATATCTCATCGACTGCCACCCCGGAAGACATTAAAAAAGCATATAAAAAACTCGCACTGATTCACCATCCTGACAAGCATTCGAATGCGCCCGAAGATGAGAGATTGGAACAACAGGAAATATTTAAAAAAATAAACACTGCTCATGAAGTGCTCTCAGATCCAATAAAAAGAGCAACATATGATCTCTGATTTTATAATTATTAATTCTCTAAAAAAATGAAAAGAGACAAAAATTTGAAATTATTTGTGAAATTGAGAGCTCTCCAAGAAAACTTCAAGTATAAAATAGATTTATGTAGGATCAACATTGCATATGTGACCGTGTTCATTGAGACTGTGATTTATGCGATTCTGCCACTTGTTGTTTTATTCTATTTAAAACTTCTGTATTAGGTATGTAAGCTTGACATTTTCCCGGATCTTTTGTGGCTTAAATTCTCTCTTTAGTTGTGTGATTGACTGATCATAAAAAGTGATTGATTATTATTTGCAAGTTTAGAGGATCAATGGCAAGAACACTCATGAATGAGAAATCATTTGAAATAATTTTTTAAACATACGTCAATTGCAACAAAATTCTTCAATTTTAAAATGTGTCTTGTTTTTGTTTTCGTCGTTGATGCATGCGAGCGTGTAATTAGTTAACGTTTGTGTCTATTAATTAAGATGGCCAAAATCATATGATCGTGTTTCACAATCGTGTAAACAATTCAATTGTGCGTTTTGAGTCGGTTTAAAAAGGGCATGACCGAAAAATCATTCAATTCATTTGATGTGGGAATGACTTTAAGTTGAAACATTTTGTAATTTACAACATGACATAATCATCCGTCGTTATTTAAGCTGCGCTATTTATTCGAATGCAAATATATTTGTCGAATGACAACAAAGCACACAACTAAATAGAGCCAAATTAAAGCACCCAAAGGAAGCGAGCAATTTTTTTGTTATTTTAAATAAAACCATAACATGAACCGTAGCTCATGCAAGCAGTTCGTGTATATTTATCGTCATCGGTCTTGTTTTACTTCGCATGTGCGCCCCAAAGCAAGTCTGTCTATGTTCTATCGAAATAGCTATTGTTTATTATTCTGAATGAGTTATCAAACAGTTTCTAAAAAAGTAATTTGTATTAAGAATTATGAAGCAACATTTGTTGAATATATGTATGACGAGATGACGATGACCTTCAGTATCGAACTCTCATATAATTCAAATTCATTGCATTCGTCAGACATATGTTAATAACAACTTTTTTTTCGAATTCAATTTCGTTCATTTTTTCTCATATTTATTTATCATTTTGCGATGAAAATTAAATTTGACATTTGTAAATACGAAAAAATACATTTTATTGAAAGAAAAAAATGGCTTTATATACTCGAAAGAAACTTAACTAAATAAAAAAAAAATAATCAAAATTCTATGTGTCTGTTTTATTCGTCGTCTTCGGCCTTATTTTTCTTTTTCTTCTTTTTCTTTTTCTTTTCACCGCTTGGTTCGCCACCGTCTTCAGTTTGAATTGTTACATCCATTTCCGACTCTTCGACCTGTTCGGACTTGACTTTTTTCTTTGGTGGTTCTTCGACTTCAGCAACTGACTCGTCAGCATCCTTGTTCTTCTTTTTCTTCTTCTTTTTCTTTTTCTCGCCATCGTCTTCAACGGGTTCCTCTTTCACCTCAGCCGGCTCTTCTTCGATTTCTTCGATTAATTTGCGTTTTTTAGTTTTGCCACTTGTCGTTGGCAATGTACTGTCTGCTTCTGATGGATAGCTTAGCACTTCGGTTTTGACATGGTATTTTTCTAATTTTGCCTTTGCTTTGCCCGTACCCGACAGACGACGCAAATTACCTTCTTCTAATAATTGTAAGCGAGTCTCTAACTTGGCTTTGTGTTCAACGCCCAATTCATACTGAACATCTTCACCGAACGCATCCAATCTGGTGGCCAATGATGCCTTGGCGGCCAACGAACGAGCCATTTTTCCTTTGTTCTTTAAACTGGCCGAACCAATCAACTGTGCATGGTAGATTAAACCATATTTTGGTGTATCCTTCTTTGTTTTCAATGCACGGAACAATGCTTTTTCGGCACCTGTGAAATTTTCAAAGAAAACACATCTTAGTATGAGTAAAAGTAGCAACTTCTCAAATTGTAATCATTCAAATTTTTAAATTAACATCAGACAGCCAAGGTCATATAATCAAACCCAAATTGTGGTTTGGAGTCACAATGGTGTTTTCATTTTGAATATTTTTAGCGAAACCAGACCTTTTAAATCATCATTCTTAGTTTAGACAAAATGTTTTTTAAAAAAATGTTTAGCTTACCTAAAATTTGAACCGTTGAAGCCGGTTGTTTGGCCAAATTGACGAGGGAACCGCTGTGTGCGATTAATCGAGCACCAATGGTTTCACCAACTAAAACGGTTAAATTTGGTGCCATGGCCAACATACGTGCCTTCAAATAGTCTGACAAATGTGTGCGATATTCATTGATTGCGAGAATTTCATCGCAAAGTGATTGAATATTCATTATATCTTCTTCGGAGATTTCTGTTCCCATTGAAATTTCAGCCGCTTCTTTGACCTTTTCTTCAACGTCTTCCGGCAATATGTCCGATAAATCAGTGGTGGCCATGTGATCACGTGTACCGACCAATTTTACCGTTTTGGCGAATGCAATATTATCGGTGATTAATTTGCTGAGCTCAGGAAAATGCCAACCATACCTGTTCGCCGTCACCATTCACGGAACAAATTAAAAAAAAAAAAACCTTGAATTAATTGATTTCGTAGTAATGTATGAACGCATACGAAACTCGAAAACTTTCATCAGACAGCCAAGAGAATTATGGTTTCATTCATGTAATAAATTCAGATGTTATTAGCGAAACCAAGGTTGGGTGATCATCATTTGAAAGCAGTATTTGTTTTGAAAATCATTTAATAACAATTAAGAATGCATTTTTTTTCGTTGGATTAAGAAAAAAAGTAATTGCTTACCATTCACGTGCTCTCATCATATAGTTATTCAATTCTTTGTCAAGATCATCAAGCAAACATTGTGCTTGCACGATCATCGTGTCAATTTTATCGGGTGAGAATTTCAATTTATAACGTGACAACGAGTGAGCCAAACCCAGTGCCATAGCGGTCATCTCTTTCTTTGGTAGACCGGCCAAGAGACTTTCACTTTGTGATCGAATGCAACGCAGTAATTCCTGTACACCGCTGTTTGACACACATTGCAAGTCCAGTTTATCCTTAATGGCATTGCCCAATTTGGCGTCGGCGACCAACAATTCATTTTGAACCTCATCAACGATCAATTTCTTCAACGTTTTTTTCAACGTTTTCGATACTTTTCCTTCAACCGTGGCTGTTGCGGCGGCCAATGCTTCGGTGGTGTCCGTAAATTTTTGGAAATGTTTAAGTTTCACTCTGAAAATGTGACAGAAAGGAAAATCATAAGTAAACGAGTACCATAGTATGTACCATGTGCCGACATATTGAATGAGTTGTAAGCATAAAACAAAGAAAAAAGATGCAATGCTTCGCAAACATTATTTTCAGTCTATATATGCTCTCGTTCAATAAAATTGAATGAAATGTTCTGCGATTCTCTTAAAACTTTCCCGAACATTGACTTCGATTCGACAAAGGGAACGAGTATCGCACATTGTGTGACCACATCGCGGATTTTTTTTTTCGATGTACTTACATTTTATTGGCTTTTTCTGGTGTTTCGAATTCCAAATACAAGTTATCGACTTGATCCAATTTTTTGTCGTCCAATAACTGCAATTAAACACATCGTTTTAATGAAAAATGCAAAAAAAAAGAAACAGTCGCACATGTTTTATCTAATGACTGTCGCACGTGTGTTAACATAACCAAACTTCACTATTCAATCAAACAAAATTCAATAATTTACCTTAAAAATGGCATAACCTGCCGGAGTTTCGTATAAAACAAACATTTTTCAACGTTTTCTATACCAATTTGTACTTTAAAAAATATTTTTTTTACTAATTCTTTTCAAAAAAAATTGAAATAATTTTCTTCAACTATCGGCACGCACAGAATAAACACATGTGTGTCTGTTGTGAACCGTACGGAAATGAACGCAAGTAAGTGATTAGTCGAATGACATTTAGCTGTGTGATTCGGTAGAATGAACTGACGTTGCTGCGGTATTATTATCTTTTTTAGTGTTGTCGCTTCGAAATGTGTGTCAGTTTGACGTTGCATTTTATTTGCTGTGTGGGAAATAGAAACGAATGTTTTTTTTCCCTTCATGATGTGAAGAAAACAAGTGTTTGAAATATTTTCTTATCATTTACATTCTAGGCGCATGCAAGAAATCATTCTATTGACATTAAAACCATCGATGACAAATAAATATTGAGAAATACAAAAAAAAAACCGATTGGCACTTCATGCAACAACACTCAAGGTGAATATAAGAAGTGTAATAATTTGATTGTAGTGTCAACATTCGTCAGTGTTATTGAAGTGTGTATGAATATATAGATATTTATAAATGCGTGTAAGGAATAAAACATCACTCATCCAATTTGTGGCCAAAAGACGAGAGTGAGAAAAAAACTCTTTACTTTATTTTGGGAGAAACAAAAAAGTGAGCGAAACGACATTAAATAAATATAACACACATGTATTTTGTGTAAGCTGAATATTGTTTTCTATTCATTTTTCTTGAAATGATACCATATTGTGAATTTAGATTTGTTGTTATCGTGTATTATTTTCGATTTTATGTATGTGTGTCGAAATTTCACAAATTGAAAGTGTTTTTTTGTCGACCCCGATGATGGTATTTGTTTTCTAATTCTGGTTTTGTGCTTTTTTTGCAGCTAGAAACCTTTCGACGGCATTCGAATGCGATTTTTTGTTAATAGATTGCGTCAATATTGAACAGTGCATACTTGAAAGCCGAAGAAAAAACTCGATAAAAAAACAATGGCTGGATCGTCGCTGAGACGTTTAATGGCCGAATATAAACGTAAGAATTTTTTATATATAGGGTATATCTATTTTAAAGACATGCACACACACACATATATCACATCATTAGTACGGTCAAGGCCTCATAAATCCATTTTGTTCATTTTGATTGACAAATAAATGCATAATTAATAAGCTAATTCTCGATCTTTCCGTTTTTTGTTAAATATTTATAGAATTGACGCTGAATCCGCCTGAAGGGATCGTAGCTGGTCCAATCAGTGAAGATAACTTTTTCGAATGGGAAGCCTTGATTCAAGGTCCAGAAGGAACATGCTTCGAAGGCGGTGTATTTCCAGCGCGTTTAATATTTCCGGCCGACTACCCATTGAGCCCACCGAAAATGAAATTCACGTGCGAAATGTTTCATCCAAATAGTAAGTTTCAATCGAACGATATCAATTATTCAAAATGTGATCAATTTTACGTTTTTTTTTACAGTTTTTGCCGATGGTCGAGTGTGTATATCAATTCTGCATGCGCCCGGCGATGATCCAATGGGTTATGAGCTGTCAGCGGAACGCTGGTCTCCCGTTCAAAGTGTCGAGAAAATTTTGCTTAGTGTCGTTTCGATGTTGGCCGAACCGAATGACGAGTCTGGAGCGAATGTCGATGCCGCCATCATGTGGCGTGATAAACGTGATCAATTCAATAAAATAGCCAAAAGTATTGTTAGAAAAACACTCGGTTTGCCTTCATAAATATGTACACGGGATAATAAATGAACAGTTCTATTCTTTCGAAATGAATACAGAAAAACAATATATTCCTGAAAATAAAGTGGCAAAAATATATACATATACAACAACAAAAGAAATGCATACAACAATAGAGAAACACAAACAAAATACTAAAATTACAACATATTTTTTATAAACAAATGTTCAGTAAACTCACGTGTATTCGATTTTTCTTCAGTTCGATATAAAACAATTCGGGTAAATTGTTCTATTTTGAACGAAAAATCATATAGCTCTTATTTAATCGTCGCCACCTGTTCCCCATCACTCCCGATCATTCTCGAAAATGTTGCGAATATTTTTGAAATTTTTGTATTAAAAAAAGAGTGGTAGCTATTTCACAATGCATTGACGATAATGACGAACATTCTTCTATTGTCTTATATGTTTCTTTGTTTTTTTTTTCGTTTAGGTTGTAATAAATTCAAATGACGAAAATTTAAAAGTACTGGCGATTTTTTTTATATTTCTTACGAATTTACATAAATCCTTTTGTACAAATTGACATGAATTTTGTTGATTTTGTTTCAAATGCAGCCACTTGTTTTTGTTAAACGCAGTGCTAATATATCGGCAATAGATTTATTTGAATTCTGAGTGTAATACATTTATTAGGATATTTTTCGATATGATTCGATATATACATTCCTCGAGTCAAATTTAGAAAAAAAATATTCCATTGAAATTTCACAATTTTTTTTTGTTGCTTACTTTGCTTGTTAAAAAAGAAACATTTGAACATCTTATTTTTATATATATATTTACGTTTTTTTCTTCTTAAAATTGAACTGTAAAATAGGTGGGTAGAATAGATTTTGCAGTGACGAATTTTTCGGATGATTAGAAATCTTGATCGATTGAAATGGTACGTCTGATAGATTTCGGTGGTCGATTGATAACATGGTGAGTATGAGCGCTATGGGCAGCGACCTGATCGTTGGCATTTTGATTGTGTCTTGTTGCCAATTCTCTCATTAGTTGTTTACGCTTGGAAATGATGTACGGTGTTTCTTCTCCGTCGCATCCGAGTGCAATCATTCGATCTTCCACCTCTTTCAATAATGAATAATTCGGAACGTCGTCCATGTAATGTCGAATACTTCTGTTGAATGGTGAAGTCGGCACGATGCTCATATCCTCACTAACGTTATTTTCGTTTGCATTCTCAAGACTACAAAATGCTTCATCCTCTTCTTGAATATTTTCCGGTCTGATCGGTCCGGCGGCACTTTGAATGCTCTTTGATGCCAATTCTCTCATTATTTGTTTGCGCTTGGAAACGATGTACGGTGTTTCTTGTCCGTTGCATCCAATTTCAGCCAACCGATCCTCAACTTCTTCCATTAACGGTGAACATGGTCCCATTCGATATGGTGTAAACGGTGGTGATTCATTTTCGGCCTCATTTCGCAGTAGCTCACTAACGTATGCATGAATCAATTGTCGTTTTTTGGCCATTTTTTCGGGTGGCGGTGATTTGTAGCCGCACATTTTCAAACGCCACTCAACTCTTTCTAATGTGTCATTCAAATCGTCTGGCTCTTCAATATTATCCCAATCGATGTCTGTGTGATCGATGTGATTGTGAAACGGTGAACTAGTCACTGGACCATTGTTGACAATTGGTGATTTAATGAAACTTTTGTCTAGATCATGTTGCTGTGGTTGATCGGCGAGAAATGGTGACCAAACAAGTCCTCTGGCTGATAATTTTCCCGTTATTTTCGGAATTGATGGCATTGATGCTACAGCTGGCGAGTTGGGTTGCCGATAATGGTACACGTCCAACGAGTCACCTTTGTATGATTCATCACCAACTTGATCCGAAAAATATGCACTAGATTCGTTGGATAAACTGAATGAATGACCCGATTCATCGTTTCGATTATACGATGAACTTACTTGACCCGAAAAATATGCACTGGAATTTGTATCCGGCAAACTGTTGATTGATGCGCTTCGTATACTTTTCGGTGGGCACATTGAAATCGCACGTAAATCACTGCAAATTTCTTTCATATTTATGTCCGATTCAATTTCGTTGGATTTTCGTAAAATGTCTCGTTGCGGAAAGTATGCGCTTTCGTTTGGCTCAGAATGTGCCGGTGATACCGGTAAACTAATATGTGTTCGGGCCAAAGAATTTTTCGTTGAGCTTAATAATGTTTTATTGAGTGTCAAATGCAATGGTGAATCGTTGAGAAATATTCGTGGCCGTGGCATTGTTTTTTCCGTGCCGATTAAAATTTGCTTATATTGTGTGATTTCTTTGTGATTGTCATCTTGACGAGCCTAGGTTGATGTCAAATTTATGTGTTTAGATCGAAATAAATGATTGCCATTTTTATGAAAATACTTACATTGAACTGATTTGGCAGCATTTTTTCAAATAAAAACTTTTCAAAATGACTTTTTTTTTCAAAGATACAATACAATTTACAAGCAGTACAACACACACTCTCTCTGATGTTCTCTGCGTTTAACTCACAGTGCTTTCTGACATGAATAACGGTTCTTTGTCATATAAATGTTGTTGCTATTGTGCGGCACTGTGCAAAAAAAAAAAAACGATGAAGCGATGTTGTCCGTGTGTTTGTGTAATTTTCGAAATGCTGTTCCTTCATTTAATTCGAACGTTGTCTGCATTTCGAACAGCCACTTTTCGAACATTCCAAACATTTTCAAATAAGAAAAAAAAAATGAATAAAAAATATATTTTTGTTTTTCAATGTTTTTTTGTCACTTTATTTTGTTATTGACACGTACGAGATTTCATAGATTATGGGTTGGGCTTTTGTTTGTATATTTGCTAAATTTGAGAAACAATATTGAGTTGTTGGTTGGTTGTTTGCATATTGTTGTTGTGTTTTATTTTTTAATTTGCGTCTGTTGTTCTGGCTAAAGTAATTGGGCTATTGCATTGTGATTGTATGTCTGTGGGACATATTATGTGTTTTGCATTGGAAGAAGATATTCTTTTTGCGTATATATTTTTTCTCCATGTTGTTGGATTTGTATATTCTAAAAATCTAATCTCACCGGAATTTCGAATAATGAAAAAATTATCGGCCAATCGAGTGGAATTTATTTTGTTTTAGAAAAAAGTTATTTTCAAACATTCTAAAAATAATTGTTGTTTTCATTTTTTGTACCAATTGGTATTGTATATATATTTAGTTACTTAAAATTACACTTCGATATTTTGGTTTCACACAATTTCGTGTACTGTATCATTAAGAGCGCACAGGCTGTTCATATCATCGGCTCATGCAGCTCGTTTGTATTTTGTGAAATCGTATAATGTGCATATTTTATACGCATCATTTTAAATTTTCTTATAAAAACAACCACTAAATAAGATGCTCTGCAGTCTCAGAGCATCATATTGCGCCTTGGCTTGTATGCCCTTTTTTTTAAATATCATTAATACAATTTCGTTTAGTTAATGTGTTTCTTTCTTGTTTGTATATGGAATAATTTAGATCCAAATCTATTCAAATGACTAGTATCATCTACTTGAGCAATGTTTCATTGCCATTATGATTTTTTTTGTTTTGTAAAAAAATTCAACTAATCTAAGGAGCTCTACGAATAGATTTTTCAATCATAAAATTAAATGAACAATTCAAGCAATTGAACAATTATAAACAGAACTATGGATAGGCTATAATCAATCTAATTTAATTTACAATTTCTTGTGTGTGAGAGAGTTTGTTGTTTTTTTTTTTGTTGTCACTTTATCGTGATAGCTAATGGGCTAATTGAGTAATTTTTTACGGTGTGTGTATTTCTTGCGTTGAACATATCGATGTTGCCGTTCGCGTTCATTGGCAAACATTTTATCTTAGAATCACATGCTCTTCAGCTTCATCGCTGTGGTTTTCTTCATTGTTCTGCGAATGAATCGATAAGAAGTAAATAAAATGATAATGTTTTTGCTTCATTTTTTTCGTACGAAACCTACCTCGGGCGTTGGTGATTGAGAACTATCGCTTTCGACCTGCTCCGAGTAGCAATTCTTGTAGCTCAAATAATCGAGAAGTCGTCGTGGCAATGGGAGTGTTTGAATCAAATCCTTTCGCACGACTGCCCGTCGAATCACGAATCTAAAACGAATATAATTAAATTTCATTTCCGAGTATAATTTTGAATATTTTCGGTTGCATTAGCGAAACACTCACCGACACATGTGCTGCAAACTCTGAATATGTTTGAATCGTGACACGGGATTGGTGAGTTGAACTCTCATCGGGCCATGTTCCGGTCGTCGGTGAAAGAAGAACAAATATCTATAAAGGAGTATGAACCGAGCATTAGATTGGATTTAAAATTGTTGGATGAAAAAGTGAATGCTTACCGTCCACTGCGTGAACTTTCCACCGCGTTTTCGATGAATTCCATGATAGTTCGCGACTTAAATTTTGCACATGATCCAAATGAAAATGTACCCTGATCTTGTTCTATTCGAACATGGCGTACACAGTTGTTGAGTTTAAATGTTAGCGAGAAAATGTAATGATCATCGGAGCTGTCGCGCACGATGAAACTACCATCTGGTTCGTTTGACAAGATTTTTTCGGCTGCTTCACTTGAAATCGGTCCCCAGTACCAGCCATACTGAACGGAAAACGAAAACGATTTAAAAAAAAGTGTTTTCAAATTATGAATACAATGAATGTTACCTCTTTGACTTTTTCAATGTTGGCTGCAAAATCCATGGTGGTTTGCACATCATTTTTCTTTCCATCACGATCGTCTACATTTTCTTCTGCAGCTGAGCTGGATTCATTTGTTGCAGGTGACTCTGTACGTGTGGTACCTATCGAAAGAGAGAGAGAGAGAGGGCAAACATCTATTTTAATCATTTGTTCGGCAAAGTGCGATGATTAAATATGTACCTTTAAATTTTGGCGGCAATGGTGGTAATGCACGTGTCGAGAATTTGGCTTTTTTATCATTGCCACCAACACCGGTGGCCACTTCATAATCAGTCATATCACGATGATTCGACCCGTTGTTGGATGAATGATGCGTTGAATAGGATTTTCGAAAGCGAAAAATGCTGCAAAATTTTTGCTTTAAATTCAAACTGATTGAAAATTGTGATTTTTTCGTTGACGTTGTTTGCGCTGTGTTTGTGGCATTTGTGGTCAGACCATCGTTGTTACTTTCTTTGGCAATACTTGGCGATGAATTGATTTTTTTAATGTTGCACGCGGCATTTTTTGCTGTACCGGTGGCAGCTGTAATGTTGGTGTTGCTGCTACTGCTGGTGTTTCGTGCATTTGGCAATTTCGAATTGGCTGTATTTGCATTGTGATTTGGTGTACTTGATGTGGATGTTGCGACCGACAATAATTTCGTATGACTATTTGCAATGGAGTTGTTGATCGTGTTATTGTTGTTCAGATTATTGTTATTGATGTGTGTTAAATTGAAATTTCGATCACTTTTTAAAATCACAATTGAATTGTTTGCATTATTATGGTTAAAACTGGTCGAATTGTTATTATTGTTGTTATTTGTTGAATGTTTGTTGGATGAAAATGTGCCGAATAGTGCGAGTTTGTTAATCCGCCCACTGCTGTGATTGCAATTGCTATTAAAATTGTTTGACATATTTTTTGTGATTGCCTTTAATTCGAGCGCCGATTCACTAGAACTTGAACACAAACTGGTGTACATCATTTGTTGTTTCACTTCGTCGAGCATCACGTGCTTCGGAATCGGTTCGGCAATTACATTTTCTGGTACACTGTGTCGTTTATCAGTTGCGGTGACTGTTCCATTGCCGCTATTATTCGATCGGCATGATTTCGATGGAATCACACTGTTGCCAGCGCCAGCGCCATTTGCCCCATCCAAACTCTGTTGACGTTTTCGTCGCTTATTGTTTCGTACATACTTTAAACGACCGCGAAAATGTTTTGTGCCACTTTTTAATAGCATCGATGTACGCGACGACGCTGGCAATTGAATATCACTACTGATTGCGTTTTGCATTGAAGCGACCGATTTTAATGTCGATTTATCGCTCAATGGATTTTTGCCCGTTTTGCAAGCACCATTTGTGTTGTTGCCACTGCCACAGCCACCGGTGGTGGCCGGTTGAATTCGGCCACTTGTGCACGTTCGACTTGTGTTTGTTGAGCTAAAAATAGGCCGAATCACATCAATTGGCAATGCATAAATGTCTGAATCAATGGGAACGTTATAAAAATCGGATATTTCACGACTTGTTAATGCGTCATGCGACATGGCTTGTGTTATGAATATCGAATCGTCCGCTTTATTTGATGATGATATTGTTAATGAATTGTGCGAACTGGACAATCGACTGTTCAATGAATTACGTGAATTGGGCCGTTGGCCCGTTGACAAATTACTATTAGCATGATAATGTAATGGACTGTACAATATTGATGGTGTTTTGCGATGTTGAAATGTTGTTATCGACGCCGATGTGGTTGTTGTTGATGACGACGATGTTGTTTTCGTCTTTGACACCGACGACAGTGTCGACGATTTCGATTGATGCTGTGAATCCGTATGATTGGTGGCCACACTTGATTCGGATGGTCGCAATGAATTGTTTGCGGATGCCATTGAATTAATTGTATTCGATGCTAATGTCGATGCGCCCGATGAATATGGTTCCGTTACGATCATTTTATTTTTATCATAATTTTTGCTACATTTTACTTTCCGTTGATAATATAAATCATAATCATGGATTTCATTGGCCAATTCCATGTGATGCAAACGATTTACGCAATTGGTTGGCGCTTTAATGTTTGACACATCACAAACTTTGGTTTGAGTATCATCGAATAGGGAAAAATGTTCGCTTCGCTCCAAAATCGAATCACAGCTCACATTCGCTGGCGCATATTCATCACATGGGACATCATAAATATTGTCGATATGCGTGTTAAGTACTGAATCACTAGCATAAATATCATAAGTATGGTAAAAATCGTCGGTTGTACGATGATACAAATGGTATTCGCATTGATACATTTGATTTTCATCATCATCGACAACGTAATCGTTTCGTTTGCGCGGCAATCGATCGTATGCGTACGATGGTTCACGCTCGATTTCGGTGGTCGGTAAAATTTCCAATGATTTTGTTTTGATCAATGCATTCATTGGCACCTCGTCGTAATTTGAATTTGCATTTGGACCGACGGTGATTGCTGTTGAAACGATATTTTTCGCCAATTTTGTTGAAAAACTTTGCAATGCGGTTGATCGCAACAGTGTTGTTTGCGGTGAATCCTACAATGTAAAATTGATTAGAAATATCAAAAAAAAAAATCTTTGTATAGTACATACCTGAAATTCCGGCGGTGGATCAATCGGTGCCAATGGAACTTTTTTTAGTGTATTAAAATTTTCAGCGCTCATACCTCCGTCCGAACAATTTTCCAATGAATCGAATTGTGATACTTCCGCATCACTTTCGGTAGCCAACTGCAGTTTGAATACACAGAGAGATTTAATTCATAAATGGATTTTTGACAAGGAATGTTTTGTGTGCTAATGTGTATGTGATTGTGAATGGGTAAATTTACCTCGAATTCAAATTTACATAGGCCCATACGGGTGGAATCACCGCTTGAGATGGAACTGTTTGTGGTGAGCGGCAGACCAGAATCTTCAGACAATGATGACGTTGTCACACCGTTCAATTCAAAACTGTTTCCGCTGTTGAGCTGATGCTGTGAATGCGATATGGCCGGCGGTGTGATTTCAATGGCAGCATGTCTCACCAACAAATGATGATTCGACGGAAATGTTGTGCTTATTGAATTACTACTGCTAACACATCCCACTCCCAACATGGATGCTGAGGCTACGGTTGCTGCTGATGCATTCGTGTTTATCGCTGTCGAACCATATTCACTGGACAATAACTGTTCATGGCTATTCAATTTTGCCATTTCTCGAAATGGTCAAGTTTTTAAATAATTTCGCTCTTGTTCGATGCTTACTTTTGTTTCTTCGGTTTTTGTTGGGCCGTTATTATTATTATCTTCTGGTTTTTGCACTTCACTCTCTGGCTTTTTGTTTATTTGTTGTTGTTGTTGCTGTTGATTCGTATTCCCTTCGCGTTTATTTCTATGGTTTTGCTTTGCTCAACTTTTCCTTTACATTAAACTTCCGCTTCTTGCATTTGTGTGTCTAACACATAATATCCAATATAGACACACTCGTTTTCGTACCACATATCTCGTTCGTTTGTCCATTCGTGGATGGCTTAACGATACTTATGCGGTTTTATGCACGTAACAGTACAGAAAAATTGGAGACGAATTCTCGATGATAACGATGACGCGCCGAATGTGCACCAAGCGAATTGCATGAATCAGTGGTTATCATAATTGTGAGTGCACACACACGTCGATTGAACGTGCAAAAATGATACAACTGCTGGTGTTTCTGTTGCTGGTGCCGCTTTTGACGATGATAGTAGCGATGACGGTGACGATGATGATGATATCGATGAAGAAGAAGCAGAAGGCAGAGTGAAGCGAAAAAAACGAAAGCGACACACCATACAGAGCCCAAAGCGCGCGCGTTTCTATGTATATTTTACGTGTTTGTTATATGATGAGTGAGAGAGAGTATATCTGTATGTAATAATATTGGTTAGCGTAAATGGATTGACATCGATTCTCTCGTGTGTGATGCATGCATGTGTATATGTGTGTAGGTGTATGTAAATGAGAAATGAAGACGGTGCATGTGTTTGCGTATTGGACCAACAACAACAACAAAAAAAAACGAATGTTAATGAAAATTGCATTGCAGCGAATGCGAAAAATAAAATAATTAATTTTTCGTTGGGTCCGATAATTGAATTCGCGGTAGCCGTGTGCGAGGCAAAATATAAATTCATCACCGCGACTATCATTCATACACACACACGATGTGTGGTGTTTCGATTAGGTGAATCCACTGAATTTTTAATGGGAATTTAGCAATTGGATTTTCAAATAAAAAACAGGGAAACGAATAAAAGCAAGGACATTCCAACGGCTCTGAAAATGGGTGATATTTCTTATCGATTTTCATCGACGTCTATATGCAAAGTTCAATTGAATCAATTCTTTTTTACACGAACATTCCGTGAGAATATGAATGTGAACTTTTGATTGGTATTAATTGTCATAGTGATGAAGTCAATTGAAGAGCAATTACACAAATGCAGCACGTCAAACGATATGAGCATAAAAAAACAATCAACATACACGAAAAAATACACTTACCGCCCCGCGAAACTGCCCACAATGAATAATCAATGATTTATGTGTTTTTTTTTTCACCCTTTCCCTCTTTCGACACAATAAATTCGAGGAGGCGAATATTGTTTTGTTGTCACTTTAGACGTGAGTCTCTTTTTTTTGCGTCGTTGTTTCTCTATCTGCTTTGTTTTTGTTATTGATTCGAACACAGATTATTGCACACCTTATTCACAATTCGATTCTTCACTTCATTTGATTTGGACGTTCACGTAAATTTCTTCACATGATGTCTGCGTCGTTGTCGGCTGGCCATTTTTCTTTCTTCATTTAATCACAAAATCAAAGCACACTCTATTTTACCATCGTCGATTGAATTTTTCGTGCATTTCGAGTCTAGACTAGTGTCTGGCAGCCATTTATAATTTATTTAACAATAAAAAAAATTTCTGCACACAAATCGCGCGAGAGATACTATATACATAGGACACTCACTGCTCTCTGGCGAATATATGTGAATATGTGTTGAGTGGACGTCTTAAATCACACGATCGTAGTAAAATACTACATTATAGTGGCTGTCGAACTCACTCTTCTTTTTCATCCATTCGCATGAATGCCTCTTTTTGCGTATGTGTGTATGGGCTTTTTATGTTTTGTTTATTTTTTTTCTCCCGTTCGATTGGACGAATCGAGTGTTACCCGATACGAAATACACCATACACAGACATAAAACACGGTTATGACGACGGTACAAGCGGTGAAATGATTCGACCGCTTGCACTATTCACCGCACCGATGTGAAAGTATGATCTTTTCAAATCATTCGAGTTATTTTTAAGTTTCCCTCGAAATACACAATAATAAAGAAAGAATAGCTGTCTCGCAGTGCTCTCTATTCGAGAATTCAATGAATGAAACAATTTTGATTTGCGAATGAATTGCAATTCAATTGGATTTTCAAATATGCATGCACTTGTTCTCTTTTGTTTTGATACCGTTCACATATATTCACTATTTCTCATGTGCCTTGATAGCAAACGACTTTCCAAAATTATGAAAATGTTTTTGTTTTTTTATGCTCAGTCAGCTAACGTCTTCATGCAAATGTTTTTATATATAACACAAATGCGGCGGACGGAATGTCAAGTGTGCACTTTGCGCACAGTTCATCAAGCGGTTCTATGGTGTAATGGTTAGCACTCTGGACTTTGAATCCAGCGATCTGAGTTCAAATCTCGGTAGAACCTGTATCTTTTTTTTATTTTATTATTTTTATTTATTTTCAATTTTAGATTGACATTTAGATTGATTTCTCATTATCATCAGACATCACGTTGTTCAATGCTTCTTCATCTTCCGCTTCCATGTCGTTTGGATTTGCTTCACCTGAATCGACGTTTGTGAAAACATCAGATTTGTCAATATCATCAGACATCACGTTGTTAAATGCATCTTCATTTTCATTCATACCTTCCACTTCTCCCTCCGAACATGATGTGCCGAGCGCTTTGACGACTCCTCGTACCCGATATGTCTTTTTTGGTGTTTCGTCTTCAGAGCTGTTCGATGGGCCGAGCGCTTTGACGACTTTTCGTACCCGATATTTCTTCCGTGGTCGTTCCTCCTCTGAATTGTGTGAATCTCGACGTCCCAACATTTTCAAAAATTGATAAATAATGCTTATGCTTCTTTTCCGAAAAGAATTTTTTTAATTTGTTTTGGGTTTCGGGCTCTCATCTTGTGTTCGAAACCACTTTTGAGTCAAAAATATCATCACGAAATCAACCGAAGGAAGCTTTCTTCAATTTAAAGTTTTGATAGGTGTAAATTTGTTTAAAAATGAAAAAAAAATAAGAGTCCCGACATTATATTCGACTCCGTCTCTATTACAAATGGAAAATTTTTGATAAGGAAAAAAATCAAAATTCAATGCTTGAAATAAAGTATTTTCCAAATAAAAATAATAAAATAAAAAAAAGATACAGGTTCTACCGAGATTTGAACTCAGATCGCTGGATTCAAAGTCCAGAGTGCTAACCATTACACCATAGAACCGCTTGATGAACTGTGCGCAAAGTGCACACTTGACATTCCGTCCGCCGCATTTGTGTTATATATCAAAACATACTCATGAAGTCGTTAACTGAATAGAAAGAAAAAACATTTGCATAATTTTGGAAAGGTCGTTTGATAACAACAGGCACCTGAGAAATAGTGAATATATGTGAACGGTATCAAAAAAGAGAGAACAAATGCATGAAACAAGAAATGGCATAAATATTTGAACTTCAATTAAATGAAATCAATCAAAATTAGTTCATTTGAGAATCTTAGTTCGCAGTTTCAAAGTCCAGAGTGCCAAGCATTACACCATAGAAAGTTGAGCGTAAAGTATACGCTTGAGAATCCACCAAAAACATTTGTTTTGAATGTATTATGCATGCAAATATCAATCCGTTGCCTTGATGATGAGAATAAAATACATTTGCATAATTTTGGATTGTCAATCGTTATTGAACAGCTAAGAAATAGTGAATGTTGTTAAATCAACATCTTCTCAATTTCGTTCGTACAATGTGTGAGAGTATCAAGCAAGGCATACTTACTTAAAAATTACTATTCCATTACTCATTGATTTATTTCCATTTTTTGCATTCTTTCTCAACTCTAGGTTTGATACCAGGTGCATGGGTAATTTAACTCTAATTCATTCAAAAGGAAATGAAAAATGTTGCATTAATTTTATTTTCAAAATTAGAGCATACGCGTTCGATTCACTTTGCATTGTATTTTGACATTACCATCATTAAACTTGAAAAGATGAAACTTTCACATCGAAATAGTTTAGTAGTATTTTATGTAGTAGTCGAGTAGTCGCAACTGTACATTTTTATTATTTGATTAATTGTCAAAATTAAGCTTGCAAAAAAGTGTTTGCATTCTCATACGAATTTTACAGAAGTGCTGTGCACAGCAATATACCCACTATATATTGAACAAGTGGTTTCAGATATTCGTTTGAATATTTTTGCTGATTAAAATCATTCCAGTACGTTCTTGATTTGAAAAAATGTTTGAATTGAAAATCCCTTACTAACATTCCTGTGTGACGTAGTGCTCTATAAATACATACACACAGTGCACACGTGTACAATGTTGCATACTTGAATTACGAACCGTCTCCACTTTATTCATATGAGTAAATTCTCCACATGAGTTTGGCAAGAGTAGATTTCTTTCCGCACATTCACATTTAAAAGACGATTTCATGTAACAACCAATTGGTTTCTCATGGTTCAGGATTCATATGAATGAAAATTATGATTTAAATAAGCTCAAGAATTATTCAGAAATATAACATATTCCACTTAAGATTATTTTTTTGAATCCACATTTAAAATGAATTTATCTGTTTCAAGTAGAACATCCTTTTGTTATCATTTCATTGAATTCAATGAAATTTAAATAAAAATTACAAACGATTCTTTTCTTTTGAACGGAAAAATTAATTCAATTTTCGTGTGCAAAAACTACCAAAATTAGAAAAGCGTTTGAATTGGAAAATGATGGGATTTGTATGCGTATTGCAATGTCAATGCAAAAAGTGCAAATCAAATGATTTGAAATGAATAAAATATGAAAAATTCAGATAATCCTTATTATCCTGATTCGCTCATCTGTTTATAAACTCAACAAATGTATATACTAGTTGAGCGGTTCCATGGTGTAACGGTTAGCACTCTGGACTCTGAAATTCATTTGAGAGGTATCCAGCGATACGAGTTCGAATCTCGTTGGGACCTTTTTAGTTTTTTTTCACATGTTTTTTGTATGCATTTCGAAATTTATTCGTTGCTCACCAAAAAAAAAATGAAGACACCAACAAAGAAACTAAATTTACAAAATGATTATTTTCATTCTAATAGGTAACCCAAAATGCAATGCAAGTAGATAATGTGCGATTTACTCAAAAATGTGAAAGAATTGCATGTAAAAGACCAGAAAAAAAATTAAAGTTGTGAAAAAGTTGGTGTAGTAATCGAACTTTAGATTTTGGTTCCATTTTAGACTTACAATTCAAATACGATTAAATTTCAATTATAATTTCTTAAAAATGGATTTAAAATCTTTAAATGATAAGAAACTGACTAAAAAGAGCATGAAATAGATTCTAGAATAAATCGTAGGAAAAGTTTTCATTTTCTTCTTTTTCCCATTTTGTTTGAACTTAAAGATGTTTTGGGTTTATTTGTGTTAACCAAAAAAAGGCGGTAGTTGAAGACGACATTTTGTGTAGATTTTATGCAAATATTCCGTGCATATATCGCTTGAAATACACAAAAACAATTCACATGAATAATATCAAGGGAAGAAGAAAAATGACACTATAGAACACAGTCATTATCTCCATGGGAGCAATACAATCAGCAAATAAGTGAAAAAAAGTAAACAGTACAACAGTGACTTTGACTCAAATGTGGCAATAAAACTCGAATAAAAGCTGAAACAGTGCGGATGATGATGATGTTGTAACGGATGAGATGCATTTACTTCGATGGAGTGTTCTTTTTTTCGTCTTTTACATTACAGGCATGTAAGCACCAGGATGAGTTGAATTTATTGTTTGTTACACGGTTGATTGGCAGTAAGTGCATGGTGTACAATATTTTTCGTGTATTTAAATTGTATTGTTCGCTCCATTTGTTCTTTGACTGATATGCAAATAATATTTATAGGCACATTTTAAATATTGCACGATTGTTGTGCTCACATATCAATACGGCGCACGTTCATTTCTCCATGTACCTCATGAACCACTATAAAAATGTGAAACAATGACAAAGTAGTTTCGCGAGGAAACGCAAATCTTTCCCAATTGCTCGAGAAAGGAAAACGAACAATGCGCACCAATATTTTCATCTGAATTGCTCCCGAAAAAACGACGAGAAAAAAAACCCAATAAAAGCCAACGATTTACTCGCGAAAAAGGAGCCATGAGGCTTTCGCGATATGCGAACATAAGACATAATGCAACAATTTGTAGTCGTAAAGCGAATATACAGACGAAAAAAACCGTTGAAATTCACAAAGCACGAGAGAGCCGAACACACTTCAAGATTAAAGGCAATACAACGAATCATGGTTAGCGGGAAAAAAACGTCTTCAAACCATTTTCGTTGTCTTGAAATCATACATCCACGCGAGAATATATGCAATAAAACAATAAAAAATACTAACGAAAACAACAAATTCAACGATTATATTTTATTCAAAACAATGGCAAAATGCTTTTTTCCAAATTGTTTTTCGCTTTGTTCAATTGCAGTTCAGTACTCTCACTGCCCAGAAATTTTATGTTTTATATGCATGTGCTGAATGAACGAAATTATCATTCGAAATATTCACTCATGAAAAAATTCAACGCATTTTGAAAGATTTGCTGATTTCATACTATCATGAGAATGTGGAAAAGTCAGCGATCATTTTCTTAGACATTTTTTTAGCAAACACATTGAACAAATATTCCTATTGGAGATTTCATCGAATAAATATAGAGCGAAGAAATTGAAAAATA